TGATACGACAACCACACAAGCAGAAACAACAACTATTCAAGATGATACAATAACCACACAATCAGAAACAACAGGCAAACAAGCAGATACAACGACACCACAAGCGGAAACAACAACTATTCAAGCTGATACAATGACCACACAAGCAGAAACAACAAGCAAACAAGCGGATACAACGACAATACAAGCTGCAACCACAACAACACAGGCTGCAGTAACAACAACAGAATCTGCAACAACACCAGTAGATACTGCAACCTTAACAACACAGGCTGCAGTAACAACAGCAGAATCTGCAACCACAACAACACAGGCTGCAGTAACAACAGCAGAATCTGCAACCACAACAACACAGGCTGCAGTAACAACAGCAGAATCTGCAACAACACAGGCTGCAACAACAACAGCAGAATCTGCAACAATACAGGCTGCAACAACACAAGCTGCAGTAACAACAGCAGAATCTGCAACCACAACACCACAGGCTTTAGTAACAACAGCAGAATCTGCAACAACACAGGCTGCAGTAACAACAGCAGAATCTGCAACAATACAGGCTGCAACAACACAAGCTGCAGTAACAACAACAGAATCTGCAACCACAACACCACAGGCTTTAGTAACAACAGCAGAATCTGCAACAACACAGGCTTTAGTAACAACAGCAGAATCTGCAACAATACAGGCTGCAACAACACAGGCTGCAGCCATAACAGCAGAATATGCATCCACAACAACACAGGCTGCAGTAACAACAGCAGAATCTACAACCACAACAACACAGGCTGCAGTAACAACAGCAGAATCTGCAACCACAACAACACAGGCTGCAGTAACAACAGCAGAATTTGCAACCACAACAACACAGGCTGCAGTAACAACAACAGAATCTGCAACCACAACAACACAGGCTGCAGTAACAACAACAGAGTCTGCATCCACTACAACACAGGCTGCAACAACACCAGTAGATACTGCAACCTTAACAGCACAGGCTGCAGCAACAACAGCAGAATCTGCAACCACAACAACACAGGCTGCAGTAACAACAGCAGAATCTGCAACCACAACACCACAGGCTGCAGTGACAACAGCAGAATCTGAAACCATAACAACACAGGCTGTAGTAACAACAGCAGAATCTGCAACCACAACAACACAGGCTGCAGTAACAACAGCAGAATTTGCAACCACAACAACACAGGCTGCAGTAACAACAACAGAATCTGCATCCACAACAACACAGGCCGCAGTTACTACAGCAGAATCTGCAACCACAACAACACAGGCTGCAGTAACAACAACAGAGTCTGCATCCACTACAACACAGGCTGCAACAACACCAGTAGATACTGCAACCTTAACAACACAGGCTGCAGCAACAACAGCAGAATCTGCAACCACAACAACACAGGCTGCAGTAACAACAGCAGAATCTGCAACAACACAGGCTGCAACAACAACAGCAGAATCTGCAACAATACAGGTTGCAACAACACAAGCTGCAGTAACAACAGCAGAATCTGCAACCACAACACCACAGGCTGCAGTGACAACAGCAGAATCTGAAACCATAACAACACAGGCTGTAGTAACAACAGCAGAATCTGCAACCACAACAACACAGGCTGCAGTAACAACAGCAGAATCTGCAACCACAACATCACAGGCTGCAGTTACAACAATAGAATCTGCATCCACAACAACACAGGCTGCAGTAACAACAGCAGAATCTGCAACCACAACACAGGCTGCAGTAACAACAGCAGAATCTGCAACCATAACAACACAGGCTGCAGCAACAACAGCAGAATCTGCAACAACACAGGCTTCAACAACAACAGCAGAATCTGCAACATTACAGGCTGCAACAACACAGGCTGCAGCAACAACAGCAGAATCTGCATACCCAACAACACAGGCTGCAGTAACAACAGCAGAATATGCATCCACAACAACACAGGCTGCAGCAACAACAATGGAATCTGCATCCACAACAACACAGGCTGCAGTTACTACAGCAGAATCTGCAACAACACAGGCTGCAACAACAACAGCAGAATCTGCAACAATACAGGCTGCAACAACACAGGCTGCAGCAACAACAGCAGAATCTGCATCCCCAACAACACAGGCTGCAGTAACAACAGCAGAATCTGCAACCACAGCAACACAGGCTGCAGCAACAACAATGGAATCTGCATCCACAACAACACAGGCTGCAGTAACAACAGCAGAATCTGCAACAATACAGGCTGCAACAACACAGGCTGCAGCAACAACAGCAGAATCTGCATACCCAACAACACACGCTTCAGTAACAACAGCAGAATCTGCAACCACAACAACACAGGCTGCAGCAACAACAATGGAATCTGCATCCACAACAACACAGGCTGCAGTTACTACAGCAGAATCTGCAACCATAACAACACAGACTGCAGTAACAACAACAGAGTCTGCATCCACAACAACACAGGCTGCAGTAACACCAGCAGAATCTGCAACCACAACAACACAGGCTGCAGTAACAACAGCAGAATCTGCATCCACAACAACACAGACTGCAGTAACAACAATAGAATCTGCATCCACAACAACACAGACTGCAGTAACAACAGCAGAATCTGCAATCACAACATCACAGGCTGCAGTTACAACAATAGAATCTGCATCCACAACAACACAGGCTGCAGTAACAACAGCAGAATCTGCAACCACAACAACACAGGCTGCAGTAACAACAGCAGAATCTGCAACCATAACAACACAGGCTGCAGTAACAACTTCAGAAACTGCAGCAACAACACAGGATGATACAATAGCAACAACACAAGCAGCAACAACAACAACACAAGCTCTTACAACAACAACATTACCTACCACAACTACAGAAGATGTCTGTGCTAATATCAGTTGTCAAAATGGCGGAGTGTGTGTCCGGGAGAGTAGTGGGGGTGCTTGTCAGTGTAATGGGAACTATACTGGAAATAGATGTCAGTATGGTAAGAATTTTTTTTTTCAGCTTTATCAAATGTTTCTATTGATGATATAATGCTCCAAACTATTAACTGGTTAATCTAAGTGTTTAATAAAATTTTAATAAACTAAAAAAGGAATAATATTATATACATGTGATATTTTATTAAATAATAAAATAATCACCATATTTTATATTCAGTACATGTTGTACATAATTATTAATATTTAATGAAATATACAGCCATACCAAGCTACACCTCATGGTCTTCTTGGGGTGCCTGTGATTCGGATTGTGGGGATGGGCTCCAAACAAGGACACGTAACTGTACTGATGTCACAGGAGCAGAGAGAGGCGGGGATTGTGGGAATGAACTGAAACAGGAGAAGGCGTGCACTGGTTTAGCACCGTGTGTTGGTTAGTTAGTATGTTTTTATGTATAAACCTGAAGTATCAATTAGCTTGGTCTAAATTTTTATATTTGTTGCAAATGAATTATACAAATTTAAAAAAAAAAAAACACTACAGTGTTAATTGCTTTGGGCTTTTGTTTTTTGTTTTTTCTTTTTTGTTTCTTTTTTTTTGGGGGGGGGGGGTATGTTTTTTTTTTGGGGGGGGTATGTTTTGTTTTTTGGATGTGTGTGTCTGTGTGTGTGTGTTTTTATTTGTTTGTTTATTTTTTGGTTTGTTTTGTTTTTAGGGGATTTTGTTGTTTTTTTTTTTTTTTTGGGGGGGGGGGGGGGAATTCATTGTAGGTATATGTTAAAAATGAAATATGGCAATATACAATAAGATTAATATCTTTAAAGTGCCAACTCGAAGAAATATGTCTGCCTTGGTGTGTTTCTGTTTTATTCATTTTAAATTAGATAGTAAAAATGAATGTTTGAATCAAGTATCTATAATAGCAATTCCAGTTTGTTTTCAATTAATATCTAATTAAGGTCCATGTGTCTGATTTAATTTTTATTTCAGTAAATAAAGCAATATATACCTTCACAGAGGTGAAACTACTGAGTAGAATGCATATTTTGCTTTGAAACTTCAAACTTTTGAAACTTTTTCTTCACTCAAGGCCTCACATGAGGCATAAGAGTATAAACAATAATACAATTTTTAAATATCTTTGCAGGATTAAGCTATATTTTTCAAATTGTCCCGCTTGAAAACCTTGTATGACTGCCCCATATGTTATGCAAAAAATTGTTCAAATCGTCAACTGCGTCGAGTTCAAGATTTAAAAATATATGATCGGGTTTGATGTCCGTATTTACTTTTTAAATGGCGCCAACTGAAAAGTGAAAAATATTAACAGATTAATAGTTTTGCTAACTTGTTTAACAGTGATGATAAATTTACCTTAATTGGCTTGGCAATTTTGTAAGATTGTAATGTCTTTATTTCACTCTTGAATTCCTTCCAATACCTCTAAATTAATATTGTATATATGTTAATCCTTTGTTCATTTGTTACCTTTTCATTGTCGATTTATTTCTTGTTTGTACTTTTATGCCTCATGTGAGGCCATAAAAGTGAAATAAAATGTTTCAAATGAAAGGCAAAGTTATACTAATTTAAATAAATCCTTTAGTAAATGGACGATTATAATTATGATAATACTGATATATACATGTATATCACATTGTCAAAGGAGACCCTAAACATCTTAAAGATGGAAGAAAATCGGCAGAAAAACTAAAGCATTAAAACGAAAAATGGAAGAAAACGGGACTTCTCATGGACAAATTAGCCTTTTATCCTTCATAAACAAAAATTTGCAAATATGTAAAGTTTTATGAAATATGTGGTTACATGTGAGAAACTGCATAATATGTTATACAAAATAGATGAAATTTCATTTATAAAATAGTTATTTAATACTCAAATGTAAAAATAATAATAACATCATGTATTATAAATAAATTCATGACTTTTTTTTTGTATAAATATGTACATGCAGTCATGAAATATTTAAATATGTACATGCAGTCATGAAATATTTGTTTTCATTTCTTACCAGTAACCACCAATCCATGTGACGCAATCCCTGATCCATGCGAAGCTGATGGAGTGACACATACCTGTAGAGTCCAGTCTGGTGGAACATTTAAATGTTCCTGTCTAACTGGCTTTGTCAATGAAGGAGTGTACTGTGTCAGTAAGTATCATAAGGCCAAATAAAAAAATATGTGTGGTTCCGGTTACCCGACCATCCCTTTTTTATACCCCCGAGCCTAAACCTTTTTTTTGACAATTTTCAAATTTCCGGAATTTTCCCCGATTTCCCTCATTGGCTCCGGTATTAGTTTTAGTTTCATCAATGGTGGCCTTCTATGACAACATCGTTTCAACACGCAGTACAAGTGTTTTGTCAGTTACAAATGTCACCACTTGAAAGAAAGCAATAGTATTATCTCACTAATATCACCAATAGTTAATTCAAGAACATTCAATGATATTTTTGACGTTTATTATATTTAAAAAAAAAAAAAAAAAACCCTACCTACCTACCCTAATTTGTTTGGAGGTGTAACCGGAACCACATATATTTTTTTATTTGGCCTAATCAAGGACAAGAGCTAGGGGCCAAAGATCTAGGTTCACTTTATGCATAAAATGGCCCTGTCATTATATCAATTAATTGACTATCACCCTCTGTCCCATTTCATGTATCAAATTAAAGTAGAGACTTAGTGCTTTCATTTCCTATAACAAAATGTGTTTTTGAGAATCCAGGTATTGGAAAACAGGCTTTGAGAAAATGCAATGTTCTTGAATTTTGCAGAAAACGTGTATTTGCATGACTGCCTTCAGCAAAGAATTAAAATATGAGCACAGCCCATGATCCAAAAATTAAAATATGTTTTGTGATCTTCAAAAACAGATCTTTCATTATGTTATTGCATATTTTGGATCAGAGGTTGTGCTCTATATGAAATATTGAAAAAATACCTAAATTTTTGGCTATTTTTAAGGGAATTTACAGGATATTGGGAAAATGATGTATTTTATGAAGTCATAATGCATTGACTAGAGAGAAAATTACGTCGTGATCAATATAGATACACGGACACCAAGGATCCAAGTTATAAATACTACATTTTCAATCAAAACTGAGCAGTTTCAATTTTTCAGAAATTCTTAGGGCCAAAAAAGGCCCTAAGTGGCTCTTGCTCTTTCTACTTCAAAATATGTCCATAGCACCTGGTCCTACCTAAGATATGTTCAGTAGTCTCTACTTTCAATTTGTGTTGTTAAATTGGACTTTCATGCATGTTAGCTGTTCGTCATCTTCACATTTCATATTCAATGTGATTGGGTAGTGCATATATTCATGCATTTTCAAATTCAGATGTTAAATCTTCAGATGTGGTAATACATGTTACTAGTTCAATGTGTGAAATGCTTTAAAATTGTAGGACAGTATTCATATATATTCTATATTATAATTCAGCTTTTTTCCCCATGCATAGCATCCTTAATCCATAAAAAAAATTGTCCTCTTTAACATAAAATTTCCAGTTTTAGTTGTCAAATAATGATGGAAAATCAATGAAAAATTTTCAGAAACAGGATTTGAGACAGTTTTTATTAGTGAATGATGAATTATGTATAGTTGTTAATACTCCAGCATACTAGAGGTTCATGACGAGATACTTTTGACTTAATTAGTGTCGCGTTACCAAAGTTACCTTCTGGTGACAAATTGAAATAATGATCAATGATGCATACTGAATAAAGTGGATTTTATGATTTCTTGCGACTTTTATACCCCATATAAACACATTGTTACCTGAGAATTACTTATTTACAGTTTATTTCACACATTATATGTTCCGACCAAATTTTAGTCGCAAAGAGCTCGTTAGAAAATGGCCTTTGGATGTAAGAGTCCGAGGTATATAAGGAGCATAGGATGTAAGAGTCCGAGGTATATAAGGAGCATAGGGACGTTAACCGAGGCTCTTTCTTGTAGGAGTATAGTTGTTAAGCACTCATAATCTTAATTTCTAATACTATTCACAACTTGTGCACTAGACATCTACCACTAACACATTCTGTTACATTTCAGATGATAATGAATGTAATCATGACAATAATGACTGTAAAGACATTAATACAAAAACATTCAAAGTGGGCGTGTCTGGGTGTAGGGACACTGTTGGGAGCTATGATTGTACATGTTCCAGTGGATTTACTTACAACAGTACAACCAGAATATGTAGTGGTAAGTCCATCTTTATACATGTTCTAGTGAGATTACTCATCAACAATTAACCAGGGTAGTGGTAAGTCCATCTTTATACATGTTCTAGTGGGATAACTCATCAACAATTAACCAGGGTAGTGGTAAGTCCATCTTTATACATGTTCTAGTGGGATTACTCCTCAACAATTAACCAGGGTAGTGGTAAGTCCATCTTTATACATTTTCTAGTGGGATTACTCCTCAACAATTAACCAGGATAGTGGTAAGCTGAAGTCTTTCTTTATGCATGTTCCTTTGGGTTTACTCACAACGGTAGAACAAGAGTATGCAGTCTCTATTTGTATATACAACCAGTAGGTCTTATTACTACAATTGACCAGGGTATGCATTGGTAAGTCTATATCTTTGTTCATGATCCAGCAGTGAGTTTTAACTTGAAATAGTACAACCATGGTATACATCGGTAAGTTTATTTTTGTACATCTTCTAGAGGGTTTACTTACATACTAAGTATGCATGTACAGAAGTTAAAGTGAGAGCTCCTTTGTATAGGACAAAAATTTATATGTTAATAATTTTGGATTAGAAAATTGAAATGTTAAATCATGTTCTTTTCATGCATGATTCCAGTATTATGTTTCATTTATTTTTTAGATGTTAATGAGTGTGACAGCAGTAGTTTAAACAACTGTGACATTGCATCCAGAGCTACCTGTACTAACACACCTGGTAGTTTTACCTGTGCTTGTAAATCTGGATACACAGGTGAAGGAAACACAGGGACATGCAAAGGTAAATTGAAAATTTTTATCCTATCCATGTCATTGAAATCAGTCACCTTGCTGACTGTTTACTCAATGAGCCTCTTTTTCATAGGGAGAGCTGCATCACAAGGCATTCAGATTAAAGCAGTAACTGATAGACAGGGACAATTAAGATACATAATTGTTCAGTTAGTAACAACTACCAAAAAATCTGCCATTTAAAAATGGTTTTTCTTTATACAATCTTGTAAATGTAATATATTTCTAAAAAGGACTGAAATTTTAATTGACACAACAATTTTGGAGTGAACAGAGATGATCTACATGTTATGTTTTACCATCCATAAATTATTTTACCATTTTAGTAGAATAAATGATTTTTATGTCCATATTTTTAACTCACCTGAGCCAAAGGCTCAAATGAGCTTTTCCGATCGAAATTTGTCCATTGTCTGTCATCGTTGTTGTCTTCGGCATTGTTGTTGTCGTAAACTTTTCACAATTTCATCTTCTTCTCCAAAACTACTGGGCCAGTTTCAACCAAACTTGGCACAGAGTATTTGTGAGTGAAGGGGATTCAAGTTTGTTCAAATGAAGGGTGACGCCCTCTTTCAAGGGGAGATAATAAAGAATTACTGAAAAATTAATAGCATCTTTTAAAAATCTTCTTCTCAAGAACCACAGGGCCAGGAAAGACGAAACTCATGTGGAAGCATCCTCAGGTAGTGTAGATTCAAGTGAGTCCAAATCATGACCCCCATGGGTAGGACGGGGCCACAATGGAGGATCAAAGTTTTACATAGAAATATATAGGAAAAATCTTTAAAAATCTTTTTCTCAAGAACAGCAAAGCCATTATGAGTCATATTTATATGGAAGCATCTTCAGATAGTGTAAATTCAAGTTTGTTCAAATCATGACCCCCGGGGTAGGGCGGCGCCACAATGGAGGATCAAAGTTTAACATAGAAATATATAGGAAAAACCTTTAAAAATCTTCTTCTCAAGAACAGAAAAGCCATGATGAGTCATATTTATATGGAAGTATCCTCAGTTAGTGTAAATTCAAGTTTATTCAAATCATGACCCCTGGGGGTAGGGCGAGGCTACAATGGAGGATCAAAGTTTTACATAGAAATATATAGGAAAAACCTTTAAAAATCTTCTTCTCAAGAACAACAAAGCGCTGATTTATCATATTTATGTGGAAGCATCCTCAGATAGTGTAGATTCTGTTTTGTTCAAATCGTGACTCCGGGGGTAGGATGGGGCCACAATGGAGGATCAAAGTCTTAAATAGAAATATATAGGAAAATATCTTCTGAAGAACTGCAAAAGCCATGATTAGTCATTTTGATATGGAAGCATCCTCAGGTAGTGTAGATTCAAGTTTGTTAAAATGATGACCCTAGGATAGGGTCAGGCCACAATGCAGGATCAAAAATTTTACATAAGAACATATAGAAAAAATATTTCTTCTCAAGAACAGAAAAGCTATGTTTAGTCATATTGATATGGAAGCATCTTCAGGTAGTGTAGATTCAAGTTTGTTCAAATCATGACCCCTGGGATAGGGAGGAGCCACAATGGGGGATCAAATTTTTACAAAGGAATGTATGGGAAATTTTTTTTAAAGTCTTCTCAAGTACAACAAAGCCATTTGTTATATTGACAAGCACCCCCCCCCCTTCCCAGTAATCTTTTCAATACTGAACTGATTTGTGCTTTTGCCAAGCCAATGTGCTCAGGTGAGCGATGTGGCCCATGGGCCTCTTGTTAACATGGAGGGGCAAAAAGCATCTTTTGTATCTCTTATTTTATTTCAGGGAATCAGTCAGTTTTATTGACAATACAGAACTCTCTCTGTATTTCATGTTTTATTTCAGGGAATCAGTCAGTTTTATTGAAAATGCATAACTCTCTTTGTATCTCTTGTTTTATTTCAGAGGATTGATGACTGTTGATTCCTAAATATATTCGAGGAATTAATTATTGCGTAATTTCGCGAGAAGCACCTTTTACAAAATAAATTTACTAGCTTTTATTTTTATGGTTCTGATATCCATATAAAATCTCTTGATCGACCGTCCACTTGTGAATTACTGTTTTCACGATTTGACGTCAAAGAGCCATTTCACTATATTAAGTACTCCCTAAAAATAAGGAATCTACAGTAGTCAGTTTTACTGACCATACAAACCTTTCCTGGTATCTCTTGCTTTATTTCAGAGAATAGATTGCTCAGTTTTACTGGCCATACAAACCTGTCATCAGATGCCTATTCTGGGTACTTCTTTCCACAATATGCCATTCCTGTTGGAAATTTCCTGTATCCCTCATTTTATGTAAGTAATCATGTTATGTAAGTAATCACGACAGTTGACCTACACAAAACATATGCACTTGTTAATTTTTTTAACACACCAGGTGATCATGAAATTGGATTGATTATTTATGAAGTTCAACTTTATATTATGATATAAAGTGTACATTTTATTATCTATTTTGGTCTTCAAATACTCTTATAAAAAATCTTGGTTAGGTTCCACGTCAATGAAGACCATGGTTTTAACAGAGAGTATTTTACAATGATTTTTACTGGTCTCACTGTTCAGTGTCCAGATTACTTCTATACTAGTATTGTTTTCTTTTCCTTGGATCATTAGTAGTCATTTGTTCCTTAAATAGTCTTCTTGGTAAAGAATATGCAGTGTATTTTAACAACATTTGGATTCAAAAGAATGGTTTTTGATGTCAAACTTTTACAACTCTAGGAAAGTTATACAGTGTGTGTATGATGTGTTATGCATTGAAATCCATCTCGAGTCTGCTCAATATACAACTGTATGTTATAAGATCAGAAGTCTGTGGAACACTTTTGCATTCTATGTTTAATAATTAGCCATATGATTTAGTTTTAAAACAGTATTGAGGACATTCAGTGAACATCTTACTGAGAGGGAAAAAAATTTGAAAGAATTCTTTTTTTTTTTAAGAATAAAAGGTAAACAAGAAACTATCATATTGTAAATTTAGAATTTACTATGTGGAAGTGAGGAAAATTAACTTTACATTTAAGCCATTTGACCTTGTCAGTCTACATGACCTAGATCAGTACAAAGTTTCAAACTTCAGAAGTTGCAAGTACAATGTGTTCTTTTGTTGAAGGGAATAGGTGGGAAAGAAGTTAATTTTTTTTTTCTACACTGTAGTTCACGAGAGGAGGGTTACTGTTGTTCTCCACTGTCACCAGTGACACAGAGAGTACAGGAACAAGGAGACTGTTCACCAATCCTTCCACGTTCTCCTTGGATTCATCATTCCAAGAAAAGGCAGCATTTGCTCCTTGGTGGTCCAACATGGCCGTGGGATCAGATGTAAGTTGGAAAGGAGGAGGCATTTTCATCATTTTTTTGTTTTTGTTTACTAGGCTAGCTGTTATGTAAACCTCTGGTCAGAAAAATGTGAAAAATGAAATATTTAGAAAAGCAGTGACAATGATATATTTTTTGAACGTTATTTTTATGCCCTACCATGAATATGGCCGGGACATATAGTGCTTGTCATGTCTATCTTCCATCCTTCCGTCCCTCCATCCTTCCGTCTGTCCTTCCGTCACACTTTGCATTAAGCTCTGTTCAAAGCTCAGTTTCAAAGAAACTATCCAAGATATTTTTATCAAACTTCATATGCTGATAGATATTGATGAGAGCTATGCAACTGCATCAACATTTTTTGACTTTGACCTTTCATTTTGACCTTGACCTCACTTTTCTTAAATTAGTGTTTAGCTCAGTTTTAAAGATACCATTCAAGGTAGTGTAATCAATCTTCATATGTTGATACAAACTGATGTAAGCTATTCAACTGCATCAACATTTTTTGACCTTGACTTTTCATTTGACCTTGACCTAACTTTTCTTAAATTAGTGTTTAGCTCAGTTTTAAAGATACCATTCAAGATAGTGTAATCAAACTTAATATGTTGATACATACTGATGTAAGCTATTCAACTGCCGCAACATTTTTTTACCTTGACCATTCCTTTGACCTTGACCGCACTTTTCTTAAATTAGTGTTTAGCTCAGTTTTAATGAAATCATTCCAGATATTTTTATCAAACTTCATATGCTGATACAAACTGATGAGAGCTTTTCAACTGCATCAATATTTTTTTTTTACCTTGACCTTTCCTTTGACCTTACTTTTTTTAAAGTAGTGTTTAGCTCAGTTTAAAGATACCTTCAATACAGTGTTAACAAACTTCATATGTTAATAATACATACTGTTGAGAGCTATTCAACTGCATCAACATTTTTTTACCTTGACCTCCCTTTGACCTCACTTTTCTTAAAGTAGTGTCAAACTTCATATGCTGATACATACTGATGTAAGCTATTCAACTGCATCAATAGTTTTTGACCTTGACCTTTCCTTTGACTTTGACCTCACTTTTCTCAGTTGTGTTTAACTCAGTTTTAAAGAAAACATTCATAATATTTTTATCAAACTTCATATGCTAATACATTCTGATGTAACCTTTTCAACTGCGTCAAATTTTTTTGACCTTGACCTTTCCTTTGACCTTAACTTCATTTATTTTAAATAAGTGTTTAGCTCAGTTTAAATAAACCATTTAAAATATTTTTATCAAACTTAAATATGCTGATATGTATTTGTGAGAAGTATTCAACTGCAACAAAAACATTTGACGTTGAACTTTCCAGTGACCTTGACCTCACTTTTCTTAGATTTGCAGTTTGCTTAATTTTCAAGAAACCAGTTAGGATATATTTATGTAAGTTTATGCACGTATACATAATTTAACGAGAATTTAATTATCATCTATATCCAACTTTTTAGATTTCAATTTCAATTTTAAAGAAACTATTCAAGATATTCTCATCAAATTTCATACACTAATACAGATTTTCATGTTGCACTACTAATATACCCTCGGTGGGGCATTCATGTCCTATGGACATATTTCTAGTTTTTTTTCTTTTTTTTTTTTACAGGACAGTGCCAGTGGTGTTTATTACAAGGAGTACTCCTCTAATGCTACAGCTGAAAACAATTTGATGTTGGCACAAAAAAATGATTTCAATGCAAATTTTGCTGGATTTAGCATGTCTGCTCCAAAGTATATGATTGTGATTACATGGTACAAGATGGAACTGAGCAAAACTCCAGCAAGTCCATCTCAGGTAGCTCATTAGTGTATAAATCTGTTACACAGTTCTTTTTATTGCTTCCTTGATCATTATTCAATTAATTAATTAATTTGGATCTTTGGAAGAAAGGTTAGGAGGTTGGAGAAGAGAAAATCCAGATCAGGGTTTGCAAAGTGCCGTCAAATTTCAAATTGATTATAATAATGTTGATTTTTTTTTATAACTTTCAAATTTGTACTTTTTTCACAGACTGTAACTTTCCAGTTGGTGATGTTATCAGATTATGAGAACACCTATATCAAGGTCATATATAATGACAGAGAAATGACGTGGGACGTTCTGAACTCAGTGGGTAACTACCCAGTGAGGATTGGACTCTTGAAGCAGAATGAAACTGTTGAAGAATATCCTCAGTCTTATCTGGATCTGCTCTCTAAATCTGATGACAAAGATAAGATACAGAAGATTGATGAAGTTATTCCTACAGGGCTTGTTGGAGCTGTAGAGTAAGTAGATGAAACCTCCTTGTAGTTTAATTTGCTTCCCTATATTTGTCCAGACACAGTTGTGTTAAAGAGACAACTGTCTTCATTGAATTTGCCCCTTCGAAAATCATCCACATGCAGCGAGGGGGAAAGGGGCATAAATATTTCCCTGTATACAGTATGTGACGTGTTGAAGAAGAATTCATTGCTATTTTTAGATTCCTAAGGAAATCGGTCTCTGAAACAATTAAGTAATTGTTTATGAAATTGTAGATTTAAAAAATATTTAAGCAACTTGTTTATATATCTCCTGAATTTTATGGTCACAAATCAATTTGAAATGGTTGCCAATTTGGCCACCTATGATTTAATTTTAGACATCAATTGGAAATTTTAGGTGCCATGGTTAGTGGATATTAGTTGCCAATTAGAGGCCCTAAGGGCTCAGTTTCGTACTTAATATACCTCTTTAAGAGAGAATCCCATACTCTCCCCCAATGATCCTTATACATCTTAATATACCTCTTCAAGAGAGAATCCCATACTCTCCCCCAATGATCCTTGTACATGTTGTATTATGCATGTCTTATTTAATCTGTGCATGCACAGGTTAATGCCTTGTTGATTTTAACCATTAGACCTCTCACTTCATTTAAGTTTTATTTGCTTTAAAAAACACTCATTGAAAAAATATATCTATTTGAATAGAGACATATGAGGACCTTGTAAAAGGCAAGAAAAATATGATTCATCAAGATAAAATTATTCCATAACATTTTAGTGTTCCTTTCTTAATGATGTAAAATTTTACCTTTTTGCTTATCTAGATGGAGCAGAAAAGGTTTTGCATATTATCGAATCTCCAAGTCCGGAGGATTTACCTCTCATCCAGGTCTACAATGTAGTGCATATATCGAAACTCAGAGAACTCGACAACAGACCCCACAGTACTCAGTTGTGATAGCAGATGTCAGCAAATGTCCCCCTACTTTACTGCAAATGACTGATTACTTTGTGAAATTCACAAGTGCAGGTATTCCAAGCACCATGACATGCTACGCCAAGCGGAAAGCTTTGTCTTCAACAGCCTCAGATCAACGAAGTCAACGATGTTGCTATGACAACAGTAACAAAGGGTTGATAACTGATTCCGCTCTTACCAATGGATTTAATACTTACATGTATGTATGTTAGTACAATCAGACCTGTATTGTAAAATACTAACATGATTGTATGTATGTTAGTACAGTTATACTTGTATTAATACCAACATGTATGTATGTTAGTGCATTTATACCTGCATTAATACGTACATGTATGTATGTTAGTACAGTCATACCTGGATTTAATACTTACATGTATAGTCAATTCTCGAATTATCGCCATTCAATTCATCACCATTCTCACAATAATGCCATGATTTCTCAGGAACGATTTTCTTGCTATATAAAATTCTTTTTATAATGCCAAATTCGCATACCTCCATCCGCCACCCTGTTTTCACAAAAATTTAACATCCATTTCAATGTGTCAATTATCTTGATATACGGGCAAAGATGCATGTGGTCAGTGAAGCGGCTAATTGATTGTCGCTATCTAGATGACCATTGTAAAGCCAGACAAGATAATTAAAGAATTAAGTAAACAATATTTTTCTTAGCATGAACTGCTCTTATAATTTTGCTGTATGTTTAATATAAATGATTTAATCATGTTTTTGCCACGAAAGTTTGATATTAGTTCGATGATCCCTACTTCAAACAATGCAACATTTGCCTTAACAATAGTGATACAGTATGAATTGTGAAAGTTTTATCAACAACGATGCCATAAACAAATGTTTTTACTGGAATTCATTTTACATACTATTGGCAATAGATCACAACAATCGAAATCACATACATTTTTTTTAAATATCAGACATGCAGATTTACACTCATGTATTTATTTCATAATTTTGAATTTTGTTTTAAAACGAAACTGTTGTACATAAAAAAAACTATTTGAAGCATTTTCAAATTTTGAAATGTGTTTTTACATAATACTTAGAATAATACTTAGAAAATAAATGCTATACGTTTTATTTCCAAGAATGGTAACTCTATTTCTTGTTTCCCTAAAGATGGGAAATTCAGTTCGTTGCCAAATACCACCATGATTTGTAAATTACGGTACAAAAGGCGGCAGTTTATTGAGAATATACTGTTTAATGTAAATTTTGTTAAAAATTTACAACTATAAACAGAAAAACAGGGAACTGAAGAAATGTTTCTCCAGTATGACATGAGCAAAACAAGTTTAAGGGAAGTTACTGATGTTGATTGCTATTTTAAACAGGTTTGATTGTATATGGAGAAAAGCTTTATTCGTATTATAAGCCTCACTGCTCAAAGAATGAAACATTGAGTGCATGTAAATGTTACTGCACTTAAAATTCAAAGTTTTAAGAAAAAGAATTTCAACTACTGGATAAATTGGAGTCTGGGCTTTGTTTGATAAACCTGACAATGTTTACAAAGATTCCTAATTAAATTTCATGACAGAAATTTTATTGAAGGATTGGTCAGCCGACATCACAAGTGCAAATTGCAGCAGATCAGAATTACGGCACTTGTTGCAATGCAGAAAACAGTTACGCCTCAAAAACAGATCTTTGTGACAAGTTCTTGGAGCTGTTACCTGAGTGTTCTTCGGATAACTTTGTGGCCAGTGGAGCAGGTCCGTACACTTGCAGATTTAAAGCTTACAACAAAATTATGAACATTTACGAGTTCCATGAAATCATTCATGATAATTCAGTGTGTTTCATTGTTTTGTTTGAGTCATCAAAATGTTTTTAATTGTTTGGGTCTTACATGTAGTTTTTCCAGTTTTATAATTCTAAACCTAAGCAAGATTCAAGCTAGGTTCAATATTGTCCAAATAAAGTTGAAGTTTAAAAAAAATTCTCACATAATAAGAAATGAATGATTGAAATTCCCTCTGTTCCCCCCCCCCCCCCCTTGGTACTTTTCTGTAGCTGTGTTTTACTATATATTGACCATTTTTAATTTAAAAGCATTAAAAGACACCTTTTGATTATACAGGCGGAGCGTTAGGAGATCCCCATTTAACAACACTCGACGGTTTATCCTTCACATTCAATGGACATGGAGAATTTATTCTACTCCAAGCATCTGATGTAGAAGTTCAAGGACGATTTTCACCTCAGAGAAATGCTGCTGGTGTGAAGAGTGCCACCTACATTAGTGGTGTAGCAGGACAACAGTCCAGTCCGAGTAGTGATAAAATAGAATTCAGATTAAATTCTGGAAAAACTGACACAGGTATGTTTCTGTAAAGCACAAAAAGAAAACTTTTGTTTTAAATGGCCTGTTTCTCATGATAAAGTTTCTGGAGAAGATTATTTGCAGCTTATTAAGCCCTGTGTGAAAATGAATTTATGAATATGGCTAGGGCAAATACTGTTTGTCATGTCCATTTTCCATCCATTTGTCTGCCACACTTTGCGTTAAGCTGTTTCAAAAGAAACTATATTCAAGATATTTTTATCAAACTTCATGTTGATACATATAAGTGAGAGCTATTCAACTGCATCAAAATTTTTTTGACCCTGACCTTTCCTATGACCTTGACCTTGCTATTTTATTTTGCACTTAGCTCATTTAAAGAAACTATTCAGTATATTTTTATCCAAACACAGTACGGATACCCACTGGTGAGAACTATTGAACTGTGTGAAATTTTTTGACCTTGACCTATACTATGAGCTTGAGCTTACTATCTCATTTTACATTTGGCTCAATTTCAAAGAAACTGTTCAAGAATTTTTTTATCACCACATATACAGGTACATTTTTGTGAGGACTATTCAACTGTATCCAAAATTTATGACTTTGACCTTATACTTTTCTTTATTTTGCATTTAGCTAAGTTTCAAAGAAACATTAATTTAAAGATATTTTTATCTAAACACATGCACTGATGCATATTAATTGGTGAAAAATTATCAACTGTGTCCAATTGTTTTTACCTTCACCTTTCCTATGACCTTTGACTTTACTATTTATTTTGTTTGAAACCCAGTTTTAAACCCGAAGAAACTATTCATGATAAGCTATTTTCATCAAACTCCATACACTAATACAAATTGGTGAGAGCTATTCCACTGGATCATAATTTTCTGACCTTTACCTTCCTTGTGACCTTCACCTCACTATTCCTCATCAGTTACCCTAATCTTTGGCAAAGAAGAAAGGTAATTTCTTTTCATGTTGCTTTGTATGGAGAGCAGTGATAAAATTTTATCCCCTTTTGTGCTTCTTCTTGTCCACAAATTGGAGAAATGAAACAAATAAATATCGAAACCTGGCTCAAAATGACCCAATTCACTAGTATATTAACTATATTAATCAGTTGAGTAGAGAGTTTGCACAAAATTTGGAGTGCCCTTTTCAATGTACATTTACAGTGCAAATCACTAATTTTCCACATTTCATGAATCCAAAATCTCACTGTTATTTTAATAATTAATCTATCAACTATTGCAAATTTTCTCTTTCATAGAAATCTTGAAAAATGGTGTCCTCCAATCTGTGGATTTGTCAACAGGAGCCATAGATTGGAACGAGGTTTCCATAACTAAGTCAGTTAGCAGCCAAAACATATCCACCTGGAAAATGATTTTTAGTGGTGGACTTACAGCAGGTGTACAACTTAATAATCAGATGTTTCAGCTTGTTGTTGAAGCCTCTTCCAGTTATCGCAATAATTTCAAAGGTACTGGAATTTGCTTTTAATAAGTAAATTGGTTAAATTTATCTTATTTATGTCTCTAAAACTATAATATTTTCAATATATCTACTGCTGATCACTAATTGATTACTGTAGATTCCTAAATATATATGCAAGGAATTTATTATTATGTAATTTTATGAGAAGCACCACTTGCCAAATAAAATTACGGTACTCACTTTTAATTTCATTTATATTGCTGAAAAGCATGTAAAAACTCATGATCAATAGTTCACTTGCAAATTTATGTTCTTGTGATTTTTTTTCTTTTTTTTCGGATTTTTTTTTTTTCCAATATTTAGTACTCGCGTAAAGTAAGGAATCTACAGTAGTTATAAATAACAACACTTTGGTGATGCAGTCTTGAATAATATATTGGTTATAAACTGTTTAGACTTGTACAAATTTTTACTTATGCATGAACCATGATTTGGGGACCAGAGTTCAAAGTCCCAAGTAGTGCTGATTGATCAAGTCTCAAGAAACTGGAAAATCAAGATTCTATGGTGAATTTCAAAGCATATGGACCCTCTTGTTTACTTGTTGGATGGGGTTGATTTTCCCAAATTTTGTTGCAGTCCCGATGAAAATTGTTCCTACTTGAATTGAAAATGTATATACATGTATCTTTTTTCTAAATAATGTACTGGTTTATGAAGTTTCAAAATTGTATAAACTTTTGCTTCATACTCATAGCCTGTCACAGGTAAAGATAATTAATCTTGCTAGTAAGTAAAACATATGGAAACAACAGTGTTTGGAAAAAACATAAAGGATGACTGCACTTAAGGACATGCGAAAATTACGACAAAATAAACTTTCAAAACAAGCATTTTTCTTTTCATTGCAAGAATGGCCAACATCCCATCTACAACTTTATGTAATTACGCTTAATAGATGTGTGTATATTTACGAAGTTCAAATCTGTTTTCAAAGGCAGGGGTTATCACAATTTTTTGAATCTCCGTTCGATAATGAGGACACCCTCTTTTTTACTGACTTTATACATAGTCAGCGCATGTTTGTCTATTGTTCTACGTTTAACAGTAGTTGTATATTTGCACAAATAATAATGTGTCAAAAGGAGATTAATAGACAAACATGCGCTCATGGTTAAAAAGAGAAAAAACTGCTTCTTCTTACATTCGCTCTCTGTGTTGTAACCAAGCATTGCGACATGTTGAATATTTCAATTCACCACGTGATTTCTTACCTCAAGTAACTTTGTGAATACTAAATTCCGTCACGTGACTTGTAAGGTAGCATGTTTTGTGCTAACTAGGACATTGTGTTCGAACACGTTAAGTCATCTGGTATTGATATAAAATCTGCTTTAATTACATTGACGTGCTCATATTGCTTTTGAAACCTTTGTCAGAAGTGTATTTGTGCCATACAGAATAAAGAGGGAGATTGGAAAGAGTGATCACGTTCTTTTTTTCAAACATGTCATTGTTATCAAGTCTAACTTTAGACCCATTCTTACAATGTTAGCTCCACCTCTCATGCATATGTAATTTCAATCAAGGGCAGGTAAGTGTAAATTCACTTTATTTGGAAAGCAGTAAGGACAAAAAACATTGAATCATTTTACTGAATCACAGTCTAAAATCATTCTAAGATTTAAATTTGGTTCCAAATTGACAGGATTCTTTCATAAACTTACAAAAGGGGGAATAAGATTTAGATATAAAAGCAACAGAAGCAACCAAAAAAGACCCCAAAACAGGTGTTAAGTGCAGTCATCCTTGTTCTTGACATCCCATAATCTCCTATCATGCGTGCATCCTATTGTACCGTGTAAATCTTATCTGTCGTGAGTGTATCCTATTGTACCATGTGAATCCTATCCTATCATGCGTGTATCCTGTTGTACCATGTGAATATCATCCTATCATGTGTGTATCCTCTTTTATCATGTGAATCCTATCCTATCATGCGTGCATCCTATTGTACCATGGGAATCCTATCCTATCATGTGCATATCCTATTGCACCATGTGAATTCTATCCTATCATGCCTGTATCCTTTTGTACCATGTGAATCCTATCTTATGTGTATCCTGTTGTAACATATGAATCCTATCCTATCATGTGCGTATCCTATTGCGACATGTGAATCTTATCCTGTCATGGGTGTATCCTGTTGTACCTTGTGAATCCTATTCTGTCATGCGTGCATCCTATTGTAATATGTGAATCCTATCCTATCATGCATGTATTCTATTATAACATGTGAATCCTATCCTATCATACATGTATTCTATTATAACATGTGAATCCTATCCTATCATACATGTATCCTATTGTAAAATGTGAATCCTATCCTATCATTCGTGTATCCCATAGTAACATGTTGTATCCCATTGTAACATGTGAACCCTATCCTATCTTGTGTGTATTCTATTGTAACGTGAATCCTATCCTATCATGTGTAATCTATTCTATCCTTTTCGATGTGTATATCCTACCAGTTGTGGATTTATTGTAATGCCATGATTTTATGACACTGAAGGAAACATGTAGTTATTTATTAGGCTCATCGGTAGTACTTCCTGACAGAATGAACTTCAAATTTATGTTAGGATTAATCTACGAGTAGCCCTCCATTCTTTAAAAGTAATGGAGACGAGGCCCATTACTTTTAAGGAATGGAGCGCTACAAGTATATTAACCACTTAAAATCCACTGTTTTAAATGATAATTATTGTTTGTTAATATATGATTTAAAAAAATATATAAAATATACACAATAAATATATATTTAACATATTAGTAGCATTTAATATATATATAGAGAGAGAGAGTTAAGTGTTATGAAGTAATTTAAATCCAACATCAGTCAACAGCTTCAATAGCGTAGTGAGATAAGTGTCCGATTACCATGGTGAGGGTACCGGGATTGATTCTCAGTGGTTCCAAATCGGTTTTTTTCTTAATATGAAAATAAACTTAATGAAATTTTCTAAGTTCTTTCTTCCATAGAGGCACAGGAAGGAGAATTTGAACATAGCAAATACCGTTTTCAATGTAATTTGCAATTCTCCATTCCTAAAGATTAATGGAGCGCTCAAACAAAAGAGTGACGTCACAAGTGGATTTTAATACAAAGAAATTTGCAGGAAAAATAATTCTTTAAAAATTTGCAAAATAATAAAATATTGTTTATTAGGTTTTACAGTGATGTGAACTTTAGGTTCCTTATCCTATTGTATCATGTATTTATCCTGTCCTATCGTGTATCATGGCAGGAATGATATTGCAGGTACCTTATGTGTACTATATCTTTTAATACAATTGATTCATATTTCAGGACCTTTTGCAAAGTCCTTTTGTGCTTTTATAAAAACAGCAGAAATATGATTTATATATGCATGAATATGCCTATGGCAAGTATGCTAAATAAGTACATGAGAAGTTCTCCACAACATTTTGGCAAGCCAACTCCAACATTTTGAGAGTTCCAATCCAGGGCTAAAATTATTTGGAAAACAACACTTAATTTGTCTGATACAGTAATAATTATACCCTTGCTCCGAAGGAGAGGAGGGTATACTGTTTTCCGTTGTGTGTCTGTCCGTCTGTCTAGCTGTCTGTGTGTCTGTCCGTAACAAATTTTTGGTTGCAGTTTTCTCAGCATCTACTCATCGTTGATGCTTGAAATTTTAGCACACTCTTTGTTTAGGCTTGCCATATGGTGGGATTCATTTTTGTATGAATCGGATGTCAACTACCTGATTTTCCGTGCGTCTCTCTGTACCATACATAACAAATTTTGGTCGCAGTTTTCTCAGCAACTACTCATCACATATGCATGAGTCTTAGCACACTCTTTGTTTAAGCATGCCATATGTTGGGATTCATTTTTGTACAAATCCTGATAATGATTCTGATGTCCAATTCCTGATTTTCACTGTGTCTGTCCATAACTGATCATGAACTTGCGTATTCACATCAGAGCGGGGGTATTATTAGTGAGCATTGGCTCACAGACTTCTTGTTAAATTAGACTTGCCATATTTATAAGATTGATGTGTTTAAAGATAGACTTAAGTCTAGTGTTGGACAGGGTCTTTTGTTACATGTGTTCCTTGATGATGAAAATATGTTTTGATAAGTTTCTTACCCAGAAATGTGTGTGATATAGCAAAACTGTTTTATTTTATTTGTTTTCTGTTTTTGTTAGGACTGTTGGGTAATTTTGATGGTCAGACAAGTAATGATTTTACCTCACCTAACGGAACCATCACACCATCATCCTCTGTCGAAAGTGACATCTATACCTATGGAGTTGAGTGTAAGTCTTATTGGTCTTATTTGTAGCTGATATGGTTTATTTTCTGGACAGATTGATTGTAAGAGGTTTAACTGTGTGTCATTGGAAGTGGTTGAAACATGCTTTCTTTTATATCATCTATTGCAAATAGATCTGTAACCTATAAATAAAGTTTTTTTATAATCTGCATTGGATTCAATTGATAAATTTTGTTTGCATTACATTTTAGATGAGGTGACGGATTGCTTAGATATTTTTTTACACCTGTTAGATCTATACTGCATTTTTCATAACAGGGCAGAACAATGCCAGCAACACTCTATTTACATATGATGGAGGTGACAACAATACCGCCTGGTCCAGCCACATAGATTCTTCTTATACCCCAGTCTTCTTCAATGCTGACCTGACAGTCATGTTTACAAATGCTTCCAAAAGAGCTGCAGCCATCAGTACCTGTAACAATGGAGAAAGTACGGATTCTGATCCAGAAAAACGCAGGGAGTGTTACTTTGACTTCAAGGTCACTGAAAACGCTGCTCTGGCCTCTTCAACTTCTGACACCAAGACTGCTTTGGTGGAAACACAGTCCACTCTTGGTATGTTCCCGCTTTGTGTTGAAGTGAAGTCTAGTAATAAAATCACAGAAATTTTGATATCCTCCATGCATACTTATTCTCAAGTTACATTAAAGATTCTTATTTTAACTCGCATCCATTTTTTCCAGCCAACTATCCACCCGAGATAAAGAATGGCAATGTCACAATAGAGGTAACAGTTGGTGGGAACTTCACACTACAACTTATTGCTGAGGATCAAAATGCAGGGGATACCATCTCCTTTTTCCTAAATAGTGATGCTCCATCTGGACTTAGTGTGGATAATACAACAAAAATACTGACCTGGAGTGAAGTTCCAGACAGCAACTCCATGTCAATCCAGATCACAGCATCAGACGGAAAGGCTCAGTCTCTGTGGACACCAAAAATTAAACTTTGCAAATGTCAGGTAACTACATGTAAATATGATGCAGTATTGAAAGTGTCTCTCTCCAGTATTTTCATGTTTTCAGTCATGGATACATTTTAGTTTTGGGTCGATTTACAATTTCAGTAAGAGATTTGTTTAGCGTTTGCATTTAATTCTGTTGAGGATCACCTTTTTGTAATACGTGTATAATCCTAGAATGGTGCTACCTGTGGCTTCAATGTAGACAGTAGTGATCAGTTTTATATTGTCCCCTGTACCTGTGTGAATGGGTACGATGGAGACTTCTGTCAGAATGACATGGATGGTTGTGCAGCCAGTCCTTGTTTTCCTGGAGTGGCTTGTTCTGATGTTCTGGCTCGTGATCTAACAACTACTCCAGCTGGATTCCAGTGTGGCTCTTGTCCCACACATCTGGTCGGAAATGGAATCAGCTGCTCAGGTACTGAAAAAAACCATATGGGATACCATAAAAATGCATCATTGATAAAGTTTTAAGGAAATTGCAAATATGTCTCAAAACATTTTTTGGCACTACATGCATTGGGTATTTTCAGGACATACAGACTGTTTGTCATGTCCATCTTCCATCATTCTTTCTGTCTGTCCCTCCCACCTTATATTTAGCTCACTTTCAGATAAACTTCAAGATGTTCTTATCAAACTTCTAAAACTGATACAAATGGATGAGATCAATTCCAACAGTGTCAAAATTTTCAGATCTTGATCTTCCATTTGATATTTACTTCACTTAGTCCCATTTTGTGTAAGTCTAGTTTCAAAGTTTCAAAGGAACCTTTCAAGATATTTTCTTCAAACTTCATGTACTCTGAAACTTCTTGGTGTGAAAGCAACTGCTTCAAAATTTCCAGGCTTTATTCTTTGATTTGACCAATGTGTGACTTCACATTTCCAAAGTTTTCATTTAGCTCACTTTTAAAGAAACTTCAAGATTTTAATGTAGAATATAAACTAATCAATTTTTAAGGTCACCAGTCAGTTACTCATGTCCTTTAGCTATGATTCTTGCCGGCCCTCCTGGGTTGTTTGTAAACTTTTGAACATTTTCAGTTTCTTTTCTGTATCTGTTAAACCAATGTTAACCAATTTCATTATACAGTATGGATGGCTTAAGGGAAACAAAATCATGCCTTTTCATCATTTGGGTGAAAATTATTGATTGTCATACTTTTACCCTGAAACATATGAAAAAAGATAAAATGGTATTTCTTTGGAATCTTACAAGATTGTAGTGTATAAATGTGTCTATCTGCTAATGAATAATTCTTAATATTTTTTTTTTTTCAGACAAAGATGAATGTGTGGTAAACAAGCCTCCTCCTTGTAGCCAGAACTGTACAAACATTGCTAATGGCTACACCTGCTCCTGTGTTACTGGCTATATTTTGGGCAGTGATAGCAGTACTTGTCAAGGTGAGTTCTATTATGTAGTGTCTTCACCTATATCTGTAATGAATTGGCAAATAAGTCATCAAAGATTCATTTTAAATAATGGTTGATTTGGTAAAGACTAAATCAAGTTTCATGTGTATAATTACACTAGATCTGTGTGTTTTCATGTAAAGAGAAAATATTATTCAGGTAAGCTCTGTGGCCCATGGGCCTCTAGTTTATTATCATAGATTGTTACTGTTATATTTTACTGAAAATAAAGTCCTTTGCCTGTTTTGCAGACATTGATGAATGTTTGATAAAGACCGACAGATGTGATGCTGCCACCACAGTTTGTAATAATACTGTGGGTTCTTACACGTGTGACTGTAAAACAGGCTTCACCACAGATACGACATATGCATGTACAGGTAAAAAATATTCATTATTATCTCATAACTATCTCATCCCTCCCATACAACATGTACAGGTAAAAAATACTCATTTCTAACCATCTCATCCCTCTCATACAACATATACATGTACGGGTTAAAAATACTCATGTATTTACTATCTCATCCATACCATAAGACATGTACAGGTAAAAATATACCTATTAATTTCTATTTCATCCCTGCCATATGACATTTACATGTACAGGTAAAAATATACCCATTAATTACTATTTCATCCCTGCCGTACAACATTTACATGTACAGGTAAAAATATACTTATTACTATCTCATCCCTTACAACATTTAGGCTAGCTATTTGAATGTTATAATTTTTGAAATTGTTTGTTTGTTTATTTGTATGTTGCTTAATGTCCCTCTCGAGAATTTTTCACTCATATGGAGACGCCACCACTTGCCGGTGGAGAGCTGCAAATTTTGTCCTTTACTCGGCACTTATGGCCATTGAGCAGTGAGGGATCTTTTTTGTGCCAGCACCTACTGCGACACGGGACCTCGGTTATACGGTCTCATCCGAAGGACCAGTCTCCACGTCCCACAGTGGGATTCGAACCCGCGACGTAAGGATCAACTCCTTACTTCGCGACTCTAGAGCAGACGCTCTAACCACTGCGCCACGCGGGCGACTTTGAAATTGTAACATGTAACTTCAAATTGTAACACGTAACTTCAAATACCTTTCCCACATACATGAAAGAGCTAGGACCTCTAAAGATTCTCTATCCTTCTTTCTCTCTATATATAATTATGTATATATATGGATAGACTGATGAATGTAATCAAAAAATTGAATATATTTTATGTTCTTATATATTTACAGACATCAATGAATGTTCCACAAACCCATGCCCAGCTAACTCTAACTAAATTATATATTTACAGACATCAATGAATGTTCCACAAACCCATGCCCTGCTAACTCTAGATGTCAGAATACAGTGGGCAGTTATATTTGTGCCTGTAATTTTGGATACGAGAAAAATACACAGACAAATACATGTGAAGGTGTGTATAGAGAACATGTCTTTATCATTTAATAATTCTCCATGGGCAAAGTATATTTGCACTTGGAATAAAGTTTTCATTAATTTTACAAACAGTTAATTGCATTGATTTGAATTTGTAAATTCAAACTGTTGTCACTTCTAATTTTTTTCCCCCATTGAGAGGAAAAATTTAGTTAGATTAAGTTTTCTTGTCATCAAATTTTCATTGTCAGCCAATTTATGCCTATTTTGCTTAATTTATTAAATTAAGAGACCCTATATAACTGTAACTAATGGTATTATATAATCATAATATTTAGACAAAGATGAGTGTGCGGGATCCAACAATTGTCAACAGAAGTGTGTAGATGGTGTGGGGACTTACACATGTTCCTGTAACACAGGTTACCGCCTAAATGAGACAGATTTAGTCAGCTGCTTACGTATGTTTATAAATATTATAAATCAAAGTTTATTATGTTTTATACATGTATTATGAAAGGTTGTCATCTGGTTCATAATTGCTTGTTTGTCATTAAATTCAAATAAAATATGCTTCAGCTGAAAATGAGTGCACAGCAATCCAGAAAGCAACCTGTGATGGAGGAAGCGGTCGAGCTTCATGTGCCGTGTCTAATGGAGACGTCCTATGTTCTTGTCCCTCTGGTTACGCACTCAATGGAACAAATTACTGTATTGGTAATATGACATACTCACTTTGGTTCTATCATTATAAAGACAACGTTATGTCACATGGAGAGTTGCATACATTCACTGACTTTTTAGAGAAGAGAATTCTACCAATGTTATCATATAACATATTTAGAATTTACAGAACTGCCAACCCTTACAAAGGCTTATAGTGTAGGTGTCAAAAAAAAGCTTTATGATTTCTTGATTGATCCTTCTGATTTCCGTTTTTCTCAGTCAAAAGTTTGAAATACCAGAATTTCCATAGCTGTCCACCTTCAGTTTTTATTATCATAATAAAAAAAATTATAGTCCATAAGGCACTTATTGTATTGTCATTGTACATTTCCCTGCAAACTTGCGATCTAAATCATTTTTGAATAAATAAAATGGAAAAATCCATTTATACAAAAATCTTTCACAGAAAAGTCTGTGATTGGGTGTCTAAGGGACCCCTGGACCCCCTCCTTACAATTTTTCATTTTATGATGTTGGCATTCTTGGATTTCATATACATGTAAAAATGCAGCTGCAATTTGTCCATTTTTATTATAAGCCACTTTAAAAATTAATGAACTTCACTTTTAGATATTGATGAGTGCAGCACTGGAGCTGATAATTGTGTGAAAACAAAGAGTGACTGTGTCAACTTACAGGGTGGCTTTAAGTGTCAATGTAAATCTGGATATAAAGCACTTAGTGCTCTTGTCTGTACAGGTATGTAATCAATTTATCAATTAATGCATAACCTAAAAACTTGTATAACTTACATGAAAGAAACTTTGATCCCTTTTAACTTTTACACAATTTTCAATTCAAAATCTGTCGAGTGGAACCACCTTGAAGGTTGTTGCAGCTAATGCCAAGAAAATGTACATTTATTATTTTTTTATTTAAAGAAATGATATTTCTCTGAAAGACAAACCATTACCACTTTGAAAGTAATTTTACTTCTGATAGACAAATTATCATGAAATTAATTTTACTTCCTTAAGTAAGATAGTGGAAGAATTTGCAAAGAAAATTTGGAGGGGAAAAAACTTCTTCCTCCCACCTCTCCTATCCTCCCAACCCCCTTAAAAACGGGAATAAATGCATGAATGCACCATACCCTAAACTGTACGTGATACTGCATATTGTACAATAAAACAGGCTTATAGTGAACATGCTTATAACATGCGCGGACCGGGGGGGGGGAGGGGGTCTGGACCCCCCTGGAATTTGCAGAGCTACTAAAAGTATAAACTGAATGAATTAAAAAATGACTTTGAAACCCCCCCTAGGAAACGTGGACCCCACCATCACCACCACAAAATAGGTGTTTTTCATGTTTTGGAAATGGATTTTACGTTTTTGTGTTTGTTCTTTTTTCCCTTTCAAGAAATTTCTGGATTGGAAATTTTTTTTTACTGGGGTGGACCCCCCCCCCCCCCCTTGGAAAAAATTCCTGGATCCGTGCCTGTTATAATAAATTTACACTAGTCTTACAGTAAAGTGATTTTCCTTCATCATGGTATTAAAACATAATGAACATAATGGATGTAATGAATTACGTTTATAACGAAGCAAAATTGTCTGTCCCTGGAACTTCGCTATAAAAGTGTTTTACTGTACATATGTATGTTGAAGAATCAGTGTATTTTTTCATTTGACATAATGCCTTCAGATTTTGATGAATGTGCATCATCCAGCAACAACAGTTGTACAAGCCCTGCCACCTGTACAAACAATGAGGGAGGGTACACTTGTGTGTGCCCCTCGGGTTATGTCTCCTCCGGTCAATATAGCTGTAGTGGTAAGTTGTTTCTATTTTTCTTTATTGAAGTGCCTTGGAAAAATTCCCCATTCTGGTCTAATTCCATTGAATAGATCTTAACTGGACTCAACATTTACACTTGTCCTGTACCAATGAAAATTTTCAAGGACACGTGAATGGACAAATAATTTTTCTGTGAAATTTTTTTTTTTAAAAAGTGAAAATAAAAAACTTAAGCTATAGCTAACTTTTTATTGAAATTTCAAATTGAATTATGCAAGTTTGATAAAAGTAATCTTTGATCCTGATCTCAATAGTGATTTTCAATCCCAATTGTCAAACTTAATCGAGATTGAAGTTCACTATCATAATGGAGGCTTTATTTTCAATTTTGAACATTGATTTATGGTGGCAATAGGATCAGACGAAGATTGGGTTTTTAGTATCATGTAAGAAAAGCTGAAACAGAAGACAAGGGCAAAATAAGAGTTGGAAAAAAGGAAAAATATAAATGTTTGATGCTAAATGATATAATTTTGTTCAATAATTTGCTATGTTTGTCAAAAATTCACATAACAGACTCAAAGAATGTATTATAGATTTTTTTAAATTTTGATTTTATTTATAATATTTTTCAATCTGTCTATTATTTTTTGATTGAAAATTTTTAGACCATATAAAAGGTATGTTCATATGAGTAAATTTCATAGTCACTTGTCCGAATGGACAAATAAGAAAAAAAAACACTTAATGTCAAACTCTGCTTAAATATTGAAAGTAAACTTGTCCTTTGATTTTTTTTGAAAAAAAAGACCAATATTTGTTTTAAGACATCAATGAATGTGCCTCTGCTGCTACACATGCCTGTGATAAAGAGTACGGAGAGTGCAGTAATACCCCCGGTGGGTACACCTGTACCTGTAACAAAGGGTTTACTGGTAACGGATATGTATGTGCAGGTATGTAAAATATGTGAATTTCATCATTTATTGTATGTGTGAAATTTTCTGAAGTATAAATCATAATTTAAAAAAAAAAAATTGTTTTGTTTTGTTTTATAGAAATTGAAAAATAATTTTTGTGACAGTGAAGAATAGACAGAGCAAAATCCTGCAGAATTTTGAAAATTTTATAATTTTAGTGAAAATTTACTTGACATTAAAATATATTCATTGTGTCATAATAAATTGTCACAGTAAGGGCACTTTGTTTTTATTCATGAGATGAAATCTCTAGAGTTTTCAATTTTTCATTATAATTTTATATGATGTAAACAAATATAAATGTTTATTAAATCTTCAGATTTGAATGAGTGTGCATCAAGTTCAACAAACAACTGTACCCAGACCTGTTCTAACAGTATTGGAAGCTATACATGTTCCTGTCTTAATGGCTATCTGCTAGACGCAGACAAAATCACATGTAATGGTAAGTGTTTAACACCTTCTGTTGTATTTCATTTGGTACATTATTTGTTTACAAGTATCTAAAAAAATGTTTTAGAAGTTACTAGGAATCACCATGTCGGCACAGCCGAGGAAAATACCGGTAGTTGCTGTCGAGAGGGACAATAAACTCGCTATTGTCCTCATAGCCAGTAAATAGGTCTTTTATTAATAATATATATTATACCATGAAGCAGATCGACTTTACTTGTGTCATGTCACAATCCAGATAAAACCAGAAGAGTTCTGAGATGAAATGCAAGGGAAATGGAATGCTGCTGGTGAATAGTTCGATGACTATTTCACCATGGGCAAATAGCACAAAAACTATTCAACGGTTGGGGTTGTTTAGAAGAAATAGCAGGTTTATTCATCATATCTTTACAAAGATAAAATTCACAGAGCTATAATTAAAAAGACTTATTTCTTCATTTCATATACATGTAGCTTAATTTTGTTATTCCAGATGTGAATGAATGCAATGATACTTCTGCTAATGGTTGTTATAGCAACAGATATTGTACTAACACTGTGGGAAGTTATACGTGTTCCTGTCCTAGTGATTACCGACTTAAAGGCGACGGGAAAACTTGTGAATGTAAGTTTTTTTTCAAAAACTGCATGGCTAAAAAAATATATTAATTTACACTGCAAGTAACATGTAAAGAATAGCACTTTGTTGTCTGCAGAAATAAATAATATACTGTTACAATGTAGCCTACATTTTCCATGGGGTCCTATTTATTTCTGTTCAATCCGTGGGTAGAAAATTGGCGGGATTTATAAGACAACCATTGTTCATGTATGTTTTAAATGAAATATAAAAGTATGCTGTAACAATTTTCTGTGGAAAATCTGTGACCACATACATAGTGTAATTTAATCCCAAAAGTATGTCTACAATATTAGATATTAATGAATAACAATTATATTCTGATAGGTGACAAAGAAAGTAAAATATCGAGTACTCCCCATGAAGTACTTGCTTATTCAATAGTTATACCCCTCAAAGTGTCAACCATTACAAAGATGGCAGCAGTAACATCCAGAAATTTATAGGAATAGAATTTTAAGTACTTATCTCATTTCATAGCCATTTACCAGTGTGCAGCCAACCATGGATGTAGCCATACCTGTGGCAAAATAAACAATGTAGACACCTGTTCATGTCCTACTGGTATGGAATTGGATAACACAAATAAAACCTGCGTGGGTACGTATCACCATCATTCACATTTCATCCATATACTTTCAGCAGGAAAGTAATATACATGTAATTAAAAAGTAGTTCAAAAAGAGAACCAATGCATCTGGGCTTTGATGTAGACAGATTTTCTTTTGCAATTAGATAAATTTGAAAAGAGATTTATATGTAATTTTTTTTAACAAAGATACAAATGAATGTGCTTCTCAATCCACCAACCTATGCAGACTGGTAAACAATGTGGTTTGTTTGGACACCAACGGTTCTTATGTCTGTAATTGTGTCAACAGCTCTTATGTCAAAACCCAGGCCACTGTCTGTGTTGGTATGTTCACTGTCGACTAACAGCAAAACGGAATTAATATGTTCTCTTTAATTTAAATTTAATTTTGATGTGATTAATATTTCTAATCCCTGAATTGTTGAATTGTTGCTAACAGATATAAAGTTAAATTTGATTGGATATTCTATATGAGATCATACTTAGTCATGTTCTGATTGGTTACAGATGCTGATGAATGTGTACTAGGCACTGCCAACTGTCCTGCTAACTCTAGATGTGTAAATCAGAACCCTGGCTATGAGTGCCAGTGTTTGACTGGTTACTCCAAATTCGGAGCCACTTGTCAAGGTAATGGATAGCTGCAATAATGTAGCCCTCTCTGATTTCTTTTTTAATCTGATATTTTCAGAAGAGGGCTACAATTCCACTGCATCTCCATACTGGTGCAAATATATTATTTAGATACAGGCGACTGCAGGCAAAATAAATTGTTTTTGCATTCAACTTACTTCCAATAAGACGGAATTTTTATTCACTATCAGCAACTTAACCCTTTATATGCGAAAACCAAGTGAAATAAATCTGCGTGTTTACCAGTCGTTCTCCTCAGCAGCCATGACAGTTCTCGGGTGATGTACTGAGACCTGCGCTTGAAATTTAGAATCACTTGTTAAAGTAAATGTCTGTGTTGATAAATGTTTGTGTTGTATGATATCACTAAACATCGATAAATAAAAGCATTCCATGTGATATTTTTTTCATAAACAGTGATATTTATACCCCCGCAAACGAAGTTTGGGGGGTATATTGGAATCACCTTGTCCGTTTGTCTGTCTAGCTGTCTGTCTGTCTGTGCAAAAGTGTCTGGTCCATATCTTTCTTAGGGAGGAACATTAGAATTTACTACTACACACAAAGATTGTTCATGGCGTGAGGGTGTGCCGTGACCTTGACCCAAGGTCATATGGGCAGTTCAAGGTCACTGAAAGAAAAAGTTCATAATTCGTGTCCAGTCCATATCTTTTTTATGGATAAACTTGGTGAGTTCCCATTTTACACAAAGATTGCTTATGGCCTGAGGGTGTGCCATGACCTTTACCCAAGGTCATTTGTGCAAGTTCAAGGTCATTGAAAGAAAAAGTTCATAATTCCTGTCCAGTCTATATCTTTCTTGTGGATAAACTTGGTGAGTTCCTATTTTACACAAAGATTGCTCATGACTTGAGGGTGTGTCATGACCTTGACCCAAGTCATATGGGCAAGTTCAAGGTCACTGAAAGAAAAGTTCATAATTTGTGTCTGGTCCATATCTTTCTTATGGATAAACTTGGTGAGTTTCCATTTTACACAAACATTGCTTATGACCTGAGGGTGTGTCATGACCTTGACCCAAGGTCATTTGTGCAAATTCAAGGTCACTGACAGAAAAAAGTTCATTATTCATGTCAGGCTGTATCTTTCTTATGGAGAATAATGTTGGGATGTTGGGAGTTTCCACTTCACACAAAGATTGCTTATGATCTGAGGGTGTGTCATGATCTTGACCTATAGTCACTGAAGAAAAAATGGATAAAGAATGCATCCATACTTTCCAATAGAGGAATACTTGAAAAATTGTTATTTATTTTTTCAATGTAATAAAAAAATATTATAAGTATTGGTGTTTTATTAGACTGTGCCTTAGTTTCATTCATTGAAAAAATATAATGAGCAATTACCGGTAATTTTTCACTCTAAATGTTTAAACAAATTGTGAACACCTCTTACATCCATCAAATACTAGTATTAGTGACTTGGCACCTTCTCTGAAAAACCCTGCGGGGGGTATTGTCCATTTTGGACAGTTCTAGTTATGCTTAAAATAAGGGAAATCCTAAACAGTTCCACTCCCCTAGATCCCGAATTCTCATTGGTTATCCCAAAATAAAATCAATCAAGATCAGTAAACATGGTGGATAAATTCAAGTTGAGATGTTGACATACACGAAAATCGGTTTTTAATGATATTTTCTCAATAAATAGGGCACGATTGTGTCAAAAATTTAACTAAAAACTACATGTTAAGTTCCATTTTGATAATATTCGGTCGGTATCAATATCGCTAGAACTTGTTGAAGTGCGAGGGTGTCCGATGCATGGTGAATTCACCCTATATGCAGTTGTGTCTGTACTTTAACATTGAAATTGATAATTAACATTATATAAGCTCAGACATGACCTGAACACCACTTAAAAATATGTATAAGCAAAATTTTCTTTTAATTACAGACATCAACGAGTGTAATCAAGCTAATGACTGTAACGATACTTTGGGTATTTGTACCAACACTGCAGGAGGGTACACGTGTGCTTGTAAATCAGGATACACAGGAGATGGAAGAACTTGTATTGGTAAGTGTGTGTTAAAGTGGGAATATACATATGGTACAGGAAGGTGTGTCTGAAAGTGGAAATACATGTGGTACATACAGTTAGGTGTGTGTGAAAGTGGAAATACACATGTGGTACATATATAGTTAGATGTGTGTGAAAGTGGAAGTACACATGTGAAAGTGGAAATACACATGAAGTACATACAATTAGGTGTGTGTGTGAAAGTGGGAATACACATTTGGTACAGGTAGGTATGTATGAAAGTGGGATACACATGGTGCAGGTCTGTTTAACTGATTGCGAGATTACCAGTAACGATATAGCTATCTCATCTGTCTTATTTGGAAAGACATTTTTTACAGGTGGTTATGAAGGCCGGTAGTTGTAAAAATATATGTGTTTTTAAGGGAGATATGGCTAAGTATTGGAATATACAGTCTAAACATTAATATATACAGGTCAGTTTTATTGTAGCAAGGGAAAAAACATGAAATGTAGGCATGTAAGCCTTCATCAGTTTGGTACCTATATACATGTAGATTTTATAGTGAGAATAGACACATTTATCTATAGCATGTCTGAGTTATGAAATACAGGTGACTGCATGTGTGTCATGGGGGAGGGGGGATAGACATTTAGCCCAGGTAAATCTGTCTCTGAAATCCTGCATTTTAAAATGAGATATTTATTTTCAAAAAATCTTCTTGCAAAATTTGCTTTTCACCTTGTACATGCATTTCAAAAATTTGACATCTTTTTTCTTATTTCAGATGTGGATGAGTGTTCTCTCAACACCCATAACTGTGACAGTCGTGTAGCAAGACGAACATGTACAAATACTCCGGGGAGTTTTACATGTGGATGTATTAGTGGTTACCAACTAGCTGGGGATCAGAGAACATGCAATGGTAATGTTGCAGAACTAGCAATTTTTAGAATAACTTTTTATCAGAAGGCACTTCATATGGAATACAAAAAAAATGGTCAGAGATGCTGTATACAGGGTTATTTTTGCCCTTTTACACTTGCAAGCAATTTTGCCCTCCCTGTTTTAAATTTGTCCAATCACTGTTCTGTTTAAAAAATTATACTGAGTGTGTTCTTTGAATTTGACCCGTTTTTTAAAAATTCACCCTCCTGTGAGTAGGGTCAAAGGGGCAAAAATAAAATGGGGGCAAAATTTCCCTGTATACAGTAGTTAGTTAGAAATAATATACAGTACCGACCAGACACAACCTAATACCAGAGCAAACCCAAAGCGCAGCCCGGGTTCGCTTTCTGTGTTCACTCGGGGTCCGCTTTCAGAAGTTTTGGGTGCGCTCTGGGTTTGCCTTGGGTGCGCTTCAGGTTCACTCGGGGTCAGCTCTGGGTCCGCTAGAGCGAATCGGCCTTCGCTTTTTGGGTGTGCTTTATGCACTCAAACGTGAAGTGGACTCTGCTTTAATCTTGCCGCGAGTAAGCCCCGCTCCTTGTATATTCCAAATACAGTAGTGAAATCGATCATTGTTGTTTTTGTGGCGATCGATACATGAGCATGTACATGTACAGTGGCTGCAACGTTATTGTTGACAACATATACACGAACGATTCCGCACGATTAAACCTGTTACAAGAACGATCCTTCACGTACACGATTCTTCACGTTACACGATCATTCACGATTGTTAACGCAAACGCGCGATTTTTTACGCAAAATAGTTAAAAATATATAGGAGTGGATATTTCTAAAACGAAATAAGGCTTAATTAATAGATATTTTAGATTAAAAATAATTATTGGTGAAATTCATCGACTTTGGAAAACTGAAAAAAAAATTTAGAAATGGATATTTTTGAAACTACATGTAAATAAGATTACAAATAATTATATGTAATTCCCCGACTTCGGAAAATTGTTTTTTTTATTAATCTTTTTGATACCTAAAGATGTAATTTATGATCGAATGCTGCTTGTTCTATCACATGATATAGGTGGGCCGTGAGTTTTGATTCAATTGGATTTTATTATATGCAATAAGGGGGTATAAGATTTGTAATTAAAAAATGGCCTAAAAATGATTTAAACCTATATCCATCTTTCCATTTATGAATTTCAAAAATCAGCAATTTTTTTTATTCATTCATTTGCCGAAATTATATTAAAAAAAATAATAATAAGCATGAGGAATTAAAAGTAACCCCGACAATCATGTGTACATTTGCCGACTAAATATTTATGTAAGTATTGGGAATATTTTTTAAATGTACATTTTTGATGTATTGATATAAAACAATCAGGACCACAATTAGCAGTTAATAGCTAATTAGCGCTTCATTTTTTCACCCCTTTTATTTCAGTTAAAAAAACAAACAAACAAGCTAATTAAAGCTTTACATGATATTTCTTGTAGAAGATAAATCAAAATAATACCATAGTTGTTTACGATCGGACATACATGTACATTTGATTTTTTTTTTCATTTTCAATTAAGAAGATCAATAATTTTAATGTTGATCTGGATTTAGACAAAATGTAAATTAGAATTATAAAAATAAAATAATTGAATGAAAGCACGTACATGTACATATACATAATCTTGTACAGTAACTTGAAATGATGAAATGCAATGATTTGTCAAAAACCTTTTTTTTTTTCATTTTTTAGTAACAATTGTAATAAACATTATTTTCTTTTTTTTCTTTTATACATGAAAGTACCTTTTGTCTGGTAAATACGAAATGTTAATGGATTTTAAAAATAAAGAAAATAAATGTGTAAAAATAACTTGCTACCTGGATAATTAAAATATAAATATTTTTTTTTAATCATGTTAATAATAGTTTCACACTTTATATTAACACGCTTTGCTTGTACAATGTTTTATTTACATCAAATAACAAACTGGATTGGTCGAGGTGCTGATTGGTTTAAGGTGCGGTCACACGATGCGATTTTTCATTCGATTTTCATTCGACTTGCTCAGGTAAGTCGATTGGAGTCGATTGGTGGGGTGGTCACACGATACGATTTTACATTCGATTTACAAACGATTTTGACAAGAACAAGTACTTGTTTTTTTTTTAGTTTAAATTATTCTGATTATTAGTAATAAACCTAAAAAGCATGATTATGAAAAAAAATTTCCCTTCATTGTTTAATATTACGTCATTTGCCCCATTATGACGTTTATGTTGTCGTAATGTACAGGTTATGTCTGTTATTACTTTACAAGATAAGAAAACATACCACATGAAAAGAACTTGTCCGAAGTATCTGATGTTTTCCAGGGTTTTTAAACTGACCAAAAAAGGAAAACACGTATTTTTTTATTTCGGCATAAAACGATTTTTAAAAAGAACCTGCACTAGACTTTCGTTTACCGGAAAGGTATAATAGCTACGTCACAAAAGTTAACCTTTTTCCCGTTGACCTGCAGTTGACAAAACAATATTGAAAACATTTGATATATCGCCTTTTTATTTTCACAAATTACTGTAGGTGAAATATTTACAGCCCAATGAATACCATGTGTATATGTAAAATGTGTGACTGGGTACACAGTATATCAAATTCATCAGACCCTCCAATAATTAAGTTAATCAAAATTTTAATAAAAGTAACTTTTGGTAGGTAAGTAAAGAATGTTACCTTATTACCTTCCTAAAAAATAATAAAACAATTAATTATAAAAATCAGACTCAAAACTTCCCTCCCTGATGATATGTAAACTAAAGGTCATTAATTCTTTAAAAGAATTTAATGTTGATTTTTTTTAGTTTTGGGGGGGTGGGGGGGTGTCAGACTCTCCCTTTTTCAAAGTTCAATTTATTCACTCAAACCAAAGTACATAAGTTACAAAATTAATAACATACAAACATATATACAGTAGTTAGAGGCAAATGTACAATGCTACATCACGTCGAAGTGAAAAGAAGTAAGAAAGATAATTCAAGGAGAAAAGACAGCAGCGTAATTTCTCCTAATAAACATAAATATTTTTTTTCAGTCATTTTTTTTTTGTTAGTAGTTCCATATATAAGGAGAGTAGGGACGTTAACAGAGGCTCTTCCTTGTAGGAGTAAAAATTAAAAACCTAATCTAGTTAATCACTTCATTTAGTACTTTAATGTGAGTTCTAGACAAGTAAAATCTACCATTTTAAATTATTCTAGACATGTTGACATATATATACATGAAATAAGTTGAATCTCTTGACGAACGCTTATAAATAATTAGAATCCATGCAAATACTTAAAAAAACTACTTGTTCATATCATTGATAGGATTGGGGTATTTACGCGGCGTCAAGTCCAATGTATCTCGCGGTAAACCTCTAGCATGCTGGAGTACTGATATGCTGTGTACCACTGATCTTAATTTATGGCAACATATAAGCACTTGAAACATCTAATTTTAATTAGATTTACAAACATTCATGCTGGTGTTAAAAGTAATAACTAAAACTTCTTCTTTATTTTTAGATAAATGCGATGATTTCAATCAAGCTAAATCTATGATATTAAAAAAAAAAACAACAAAAAACTTTAATCATAAATGGCATTCTATAAACACATGAATCTCCGTGCTCGCAAACTATGGTAAAATAATAGTTCATGACTTGTATGCTTTATATAATTACCCATTTGTACCCAGTAGTTGCCGTTTACTGGGTATCCTTATATTTTGTCAATTAATAATAATTTATACATTCATTATAGATGACAAAAATAACGACCATTCATTTCCCGTTGCAAGAAATGTCATTGTGATGTCACAATTTTCACTGGAAAGTTGATTGAAAATCGGACGCCATCCATTTTCCAATCGACTTTCAGATTTTGCTTTCGACTTTGGTGGTCACACGGTACGATTTAAGTCGAAAGCAAATCCAATGGAAAAATCGGATGGAAAATCGAATGAAAAATCGCATCGTGTGACCGCACCTTAACACGTTTTATCGCTAATCCTGATTGACAGCTCTGTTACGCAACACCGAACGCGCGTTCGCTTTCTGGGTTCGCTACTGAAATTGGGGTTCGCTTTTGGTGTTCGCTCTGGGTCCACTGCGGGTTCGCTCGGGATGCGCTCCGGGTTCGCTCGGGGTCAGCTATAGTGAACCCCAAGCGAACCCGGGGTGCGCTCTGGGTTCGCTTTCTGTTAGGTTGTGTCTGGTGGGTACTGTACATGTACCATCTTATTTGGCATTGAGAATTTTTTTTTTGAAAGTAGAAACCAGTTGGTAATTGTCATCATGTTCAAAAAAGTTCCTGAATGGAATACAGAAACTATAAGTATTACATATTTTTTGCATGGTTCATTAATTTATTGTACTAATTTTGATTTCTGAATCATTTAGATGTGGATGAATGCACCGGAAATCATGGCTGTTCACAATTATGTCAGAACAAGGATGGTGGATATGACTGTGCCTGTCAAACTGGATACAGACTTGAAGCTGATCAGAGGACCTGTGTGGGTAAGGAATGATATTGTGGAAGATTTATATTGAGGATGTGAATCACCAGTTCTCTTTATTAATTGCCTCGTATTTGGTCGGAATCAGAAAATTTTATTTGAAATCAGATTTTTGTATAACAATTAATAAACATAAGCTGGTTCATTATAAAGTTCTAGACATATCATTTTATCAACATTTATGTCAAAAATAGTGGTGCAACGATACACCAACCTCACGATACGATATGTATCACAGTATTCAGTTCATGATACGATACGTATCACGATACATGACAAGGTTAAAAAGTTTTTCATCATGTTTTTTTTAAACTTGACAGGGTTATATCAAATGTTCGTATTTTTTGATAATAATTAAAAATATCATTTTGATAACTTGAATTCGATTGATAGGTAGATCTTTGAGTTGTGACAATATTCTAAACCAATGATGAACATTTACAGGGAACTATTATGACATTATGTCAAATGGATCTGCCCTGAATAGGTGACGTGATTTGCAAATGATGTCATAATAGCCTTACTGAATAGCCCTACTGTAGAAATTAAATTTTAATTCGCATTAGTTTACTTCGCATTAGCTGTCATGTGAACACAATTCAATTCGCATTAGTTTAATTCGCATCATTTTACTTCGCATTAATTTACTGCAAATTAAACTCTCCATGTGAACAGGGCATAAGTCCTTCTCCGGGTTAAATCTGAGGTCTGTAAGATGCTTGAGTTGAGTTTAAGTGCCATTAACGTGTTATCGTCAACCTCACATTTTGTGCGGAAGCCATTTTGAAATTGTAAACAAGGAAACAAAACGGACGATTCGGATAATTCTGGACTGATTGAACTGAACCGCGATATCATTTTAGCGTATCATGAATTGAACTGTGGAAAAATATACCGCTATATGCCGTCAAACAGTTTATCGTTGCACTCTTAGTCAAAAACTAAAATATTAGACAGAAGGCTGTGTAGCTGTTTATTTGATAAGTTCTCTCCAAATTGAAATTTTGGATAGTATCTAAAACTATTAAGTGTAATGGCTATATAAAGAGGAAAGTGAATGAAAAATTTAAAGAGAACACAATTTTGTTTTTGTATTTCAGTTGAATCTGAGTGTGCACCAGCCAAGAAAGCAACATGCCAGAATCAAATGTGTGCCAAAGTGAATGGTACTGATACCTGCCAGTGCCCCCCAGGATACCAATTAGCGGGAGATGGAACCACGTGTAATGGTAAGAATTAGTGTATGGCCATCCCTCAGAATGTACTAGATGCTAGGTCATAAGAAATCTCTGAGATAAAGGTAAGGTGTTGTAAATTACATGGAAGATGTAGTTATTTCATCAGAATTCAAGTCTAAGCACCTTAGGTGCTGAGGAAAATTCTATACATTTGAGTTTAATTTATAATACCTATTAAATGAAGTTTAGTGGGGTAGTAGAAAATCATCTTATCTTGGTCTGTTCATGCAACTATGTCGGAGTAACTTCAAAATGGAGAAGCTCCTATTTACCAAAGATTGCTTATGGCTTGAAGATGTGTCATGACTTTAACCAAAGTCATTTGGTCAAGTTCAGAAATTACTAGCAAAAGAAGTTTATAATTTGTGTCCAATCCATATTTTTTTTTATTCAGAAAAATTGAAAGTTCATAGAAACAGTAAAATTGCTTTTCATCTAAAGTTGTGCTGTCATCTTGACTCAAGGTCACTTGCAGAAAAAGTGTAAATTTTGTTTAGTCCATTACTTTGTAAGGGAGAAAAACTGGATTTTCTAACACCAATCAATGATTGCTTATGACTTGAAGGTATGTTTTGAACTTTATCCAAGGTCATTTGGGCAAGTTCAAGGTCACTGGTAGAAAAAAAACTGTTGAATTTTTGTTTGCTTCTTAACTTTGGAGCAGAAGAACATTGGAAACCCATACTTGATAAGAAGATTGTTTACCACATGGAAGTGTGTCATGATCGTAGCCCAAGGTCATTTGAACAAGTTCAAAGGGAAGGACAAAAAAAATTCGCGACCATATCTTTTTAATTAGCCACAATATTAGAAGGCCATGGTGAAGATGTGCTATAACTTTGACTCAAGGTCATTTAGACAAGATCAAGTTAATTCAAATGTATCTTTGTATAGGAGAACAGTTGAAGGTCATTGTTGACACAGATACATGTATTCTTCAAGGTCTGAATGTGTCAACAAAGGGTATATTTTTGTTAGCTCAGCTCAATCACAGTATTCTTGTTTCAAATCATTCAAGTATTAAAGCTAAGGTCTGTTTTCATTTGATTGACAAAAGCTTTGTATAACTTGGAGAACATGACAATTCTCTGTATGTAGTCATGAATGTACAGATACAAGTTGTACTGTATAAATAAGACAGGCTTTAAGATATCACCGGTGTACAATACTTGATCTCTTACAGATGTTGATGAATGCCAAACAAATCCTTGTTATGCCACAAACAGTAACTGTACCAACAGAGCTGGGGGATACAATTGTAGCTGTACAAATGGCTACATTCTAGGACCTAATAATGTGTGTAAAGGTAGGTAACTCTTCATCAAGTAAGTCTATATTCTTTAGAGGTAGAAAGAATTATCAAGGAAAATTCATGACTGTACAAACATTACAATCTCTTAAATTTATTTTGTTAAATGAACACAAAATTTCAAAAAAACATATAATGAAAATAAGGTTTTCTTCACATTTTTTTCAGATCGCAATGGTGGTCTTTCTAACTGGTCTGCATGGAGTAACTGTACAAAGCAATGTGGCACTGGATCCCAGACAAGAACAAGATCTTGTAACAATCCTACTCGTCAGGGCTCAGGGGCAGACTGCTCGGGGGCACTGTCACAGACCCAAGATTGTAATACAAACCTGTGTCCCCGTAAGTCTCCTCCTCTGCACATATACTGTAAACATTCATAAATTAATGCACTTAAAATTTAGTGCATTCATCCTCTTCAACTGCTTGGTGCAATCATATATTAGCGAACAAGAGTTTTACAAGGACATGTATATGCTTTAATTATATGCACAGGCAATAGGGTGTAAATAAATTAAGTTCTTCATGCATTGTTCGTTAACATTTGAAAATTTTCAACATCTTCTCTGGAACCCTGAACAAATTTCCACCAATTCTTATTCAAGAATTGGCTCAGGTGAGCAATTCTTAGCTCACCTGAGCCAAAGGCATAAGTGACCTTTTCTGATCACATTGTGCCCAGCATCCATCTGTCTGTAAACTTTTCACATTTTGGACTTCTTCTCAAGAACCACAGGGCAAATTTCAGTCAAACTTGGCACAGAGAATCCTTGGGTAAAGGGGACTAAAGTTTGTTGAAATGGAAGGGCCATGCCCTTCTTCAAGGACAGATAATCAGAAATCAGTGAAAATTTAATGGCATCTTTCAAAAATCTTCTTTTCAAGAACCAATGAGCTAGAAAAAATGAAACTTATGTGAAAGCTTCATTTCATGGTGTAAATTCAAGTTTGTTCATATCATGATCCCCGGGGATAGGATGGGGCCACAATAGCTGATCACAGTTTCACATAGGAATATATTTAAAATCTTCTTCACAAGAACAATGAAAGCCATACTTTGTTATATTTACATGGAAGCATCCTCAGGTAGTGTAGATTCAAGTTTGTTCAAATCATGACTTCTGGGGATAGGGCAGGGCCACAATGACTAATCACAGTTTTACAAAGGAATATATAGGGGGAAAAAATCTTAAAATATCTTCTCAAAAACAGCAGATTAGTCATATTTATATGGAAGCATCCTTTGAAAGTGTAGATTCAATTTTATACAAATTATGACCCCCGGGATTTTGAAGAACAGCAGGCCCTAAATTACTCAGGTGAGCATTGTGGCCCATGTGCCTCTGAATTAAACTAGAGTTATCTCGCTTAAGACATTTTTTTCCTCTAAAGAAAGACAGCACTGTTGTCACCCTGCACATTCGCTTGTGCTATTTCATTGTTATCTGAAGGGAGACAACACAGTTGTTACCAAGAACAAAAGGGAGTCATCACAAATTGTTTCCCAGAATATTAATGTGGCATGCTCTAGACTAATCAGATTGACTCTAGTATTCCGAAGGATAATAATATTAATTAAAGTCAGTTGTCTGTATGTAAAATCCCTTCACTGATATCGAGTTTATATTATCTTTATAACTTGTTAAGTTTCCTGTTACTTTAATCCTTTGAATTATTATTTTAAAACAAAGTTCAAAAACATTTATATATACGATACGTTGAATATTTTGCAAGATAAATATCTCTTTACAAGGTGAAGCTATGAGTAGAGAGCTATAAAATTTCTTAGCATTGGACATTAGCATAGCCACAAATCAGTAGAGAGCTATAAATTGTCTTAGCATTGGACATTAGTGTTGCCACAAATCAGTAGAGAGCTTTAAAATTGTTTTAGCATTGGACATTAGTTTTGCCACAAATCAGTAGAGAGCTATAAAATTGTTTTAGCATTGGACATTAGTGTTGCCACAAATCGGTAGAAAGCTGTAAAATTGTTTTAGCATTGGACATTAGTGTTGCCACAAATCAGTAGAGAGCTGTAAAATTGTTTAACATTGGACATTAGTGTTGCCACAAATCATTAGAGAGCTCTAAAATTGTTTAACATTGGACATTAGTGTTGCCACAAATCAGTCGTGTTTTCTCCATTATTTTACAGCTAATGAAGTGGAAAAGAACTATGGTATTGTTCTACAGTTCAAAGGACTACCTGTGTCATCAGTAAGGAGACATTGAATCTGTTAATCATATAGGATTTATTTTTATCAAAAACAATATCAAATTCTTTCATGATTTTAATTGTTGCATGCATCTGTATTCGAACCTTTTTTTCCGGTTTAAAAAGAGATTTTTGATTTTGAATTCTAAATTTTGGGTTTGATTGCTTGAAAGGAAAATATTGCTTTGAAATAAGAATATTGAGCTCAATTGTAGTTCACAACAACAGTGAGGGGACAATTTAGAACAACAGTTGCTACTGGTATCACCAATTTCTGCAACAAAGACAATGCAAACCTGAGACAATGTTGTTCCAGTCAGTCTAGCTATGTGTAAGTATCCATTGTGGATTACCCAATCATAAGTATACATTCAGTACAACTTGTGATTGATTGAAATGTGAGAAATTTTGACATTCATACTGTGCATTGAGTTGGATACTTGGCTACGTTATTGTTGACAAACTGAGTAGAAAAGTTAAAGTAAGGCTTGAGTGAATTTGCATGCATCAAGGTTAATACTTGGTACATGTATTGCAATTACTGCACAGTTATCTACAGACCCTAAAACGTGCTACTTTACCTCAGAAACGAACCGTACCGTTCCGTGCAAGAAGCGTATCGTACCGTGCAAGAAGCATACCGTACCGTGCACAAAGCGAACCGTACTGTACACAAAACGAACCGTACCGTTCAAGAAGCATACCGTACCGTGCACAAAGCGAACCTTACCGTTCACAAAGCGTACCGTTCCGTACAAGAAGCGTACCGTACCGTACCGTACACAAAACGAAACGAACCGAACCATGCAAGTGGTGTAGTAGCATGTTTTAGGGTCTGTAACTTACTTCCCCTCTTTGGCAAAGGAAATCAAGGAAACTTTACATCTCGCAGGGTTTATGGGACATAACATTGTTTATGCTAGTGATAATCAAATGATATGAACAATCAGTATGCCGAACGTACTATGTTTTGCAGAGGGTTACATCTCAGATAGATGGTCATCTAATTTCATTATTTTATTGACTTCCAAAAGGACAGATTATTAAAAAGAAGTGGTTGAATTTAATTAGAAGAGTTGGCTTAGCAGAAAGTATCATCAGCAGTGTAACACAATAGGACTTACACTTCTCAAGTTTTATTAGCATGGTTCACAGTGCCCAGCATACTTCACCAGGACTGCTACTGTACACAGGGAAATTTTAGCCCCCTTTTTATTTTTGCCCCTTTCGCCCTCCTCACAAGGGGAGGAATTTAAAACGGGGAAAATTAAGCAAAACCTCAGTATCTCTTTAACACTACTGTGTTTGGGCAAATTAAAACTGGGCAAAATTATTTTCAAGCATGAAAGGGCGAAAATAACGTTGGGTGAAAATAAACTTTTATACAGTAATATGTCCTTAAGAAATCTACAGTGATCAGTTCTCTTGGTGTATTCAACAGCACATTGTCCCTAGCTAACAAACATTTTACTGCCTCTACTGTGAAAGAGTTCTGTTAAGAATATATCAATTATTAGCTCTTCTGAGCCAAAGGCTCAAAGAGCTAATGCTATGGCCATTTGTGCGGTGTTTGTAAACTTTTTAGAATATGGGCCATAACTCAAGAACCCCTTGGCCAATTATTGTCAAATTTGTCACTGGGTATCCTTGGCCCAAGGGCCCCCGTTTTTAATAAAACTAGGGTTGTGACCCTTAAACAAGGGGAGATAATTAGGAAAATGGAAACAAAAGTACTGGTTGTTAAAAAATCTTCTTCTCAAGAACCACTGGGCAGATTATCACCAAACTTACACAAAAGGATGAGGATATGTAGTAGATTAAAAATTGTTCAAGGCATCACCCTGGGGCAAATGGTGTGGTCTCAAGGTTACTTCAAATTTGACCAAAAATAACATTATATTAAAATGTTGATATTTTGCTTACTGTAAGGACTAGGATCATCAAATCTTGTCATTTGATGCATCTAAGGACCTCATATCATGTTGACTCAAAAGCAGGTCATGGTGACCTACTTTTTAAATTTTATGCCATTCTTTTTCAAAATGATTTAGAGATATATTTTGAACAATTAGAGGCCTTTGATCATCAAACTTTGTCAGTTGATGAATCTTGGGTCCTCGAAGTACGTCAACTAAAAAGTAGGTCACCTTGACCTACTTTTTAGCTCACCTCGACGAAGTCAAGATGAGCTTATGCTATACCCCCTGTGTTGGCATCGACTTTAGCGTCGGCGTCCCAGTTAAAGTTTTAGGAGCAAGTCCCATTCCCAAGTAACTGTAAGCCCTACCTGGACCAAACTTGCATGGATGATGCATCTAGGGATGGACACTACCACACTTGCTTCAGATGCTGCATCTGACCTAGATTTTCCAGATGATTGACCAGGTTAAAGTTTTTGGAGCTGGTCCATTCCCAAAAAACTATAAGCCCTACCTGGACCAAACTTGCATGGATGATGCTTCTAGGGATGGACACTACCACACTTGCTTCGGGTGCTGAATCTGACCTAGATTTTCCAGATGAGTGACCAGGTTAAAGTTTTTTTGGAGCAGGTCCATTTTCAAGTAATTATAAGCCTTAACTGGATCAAACTTGCATGGATGATGCATATAGGGATGGACACTACCTCACTTGCTTCGGATGCTGGATCTGACCTAGATTTTCCAGATGGGTAACTAGGTTAAAGTTTTTGGAGCTGGTCCATTCCCAAGGAACTGTTAGCCCTACCTGGACCAAACTTGCATGGATGATGCTTCTAGGGATGGACACTACCACACTTGCTTCGGATGCTGAATCTGACCTAGATTTTCCAGATGAGTGACCAGGTTAAGTTTTTTTTTGGAGCAGGTCCATTCCCAAGTAATTATAAGCCTTACCTGGATCAAACTTGCATGAATGATGCATATAGGGATGGACATGACCACACTTGCTTAGGATGCTGGATCTGACCTAGATTTTCCAGATGAGTGACCAGGTTAAAGTTTTTGGAGCAGGTACCCAATTATAAGCCCTACCTGGACCAAACCTGCATGGATGATGCATCAAAGGAAGGACACTACCATACTTGCTTCAGATGCTGGATTTGACCTTCATTTTTCGGATGAGTAACTAAGTTAAAGGTTTGGGAGCAGGTCCATTCCCAAGTGATTATTTAAGCCTTACCTTGACCAAACTTGCATGGATGATGCATCTAGGGATGGACGCTACCACACTTTCTTCAGATGCTGGATCTGACCTAGATTTTCCAGATGAGTGACCAAGTTAAAGTTTTTGGAGCAGGTCCATTCCCAAGTAATTATAATCCTTACCTTGACCAAACTTGCATGGATGATGCATCTGGGGATGGACACTACTATACTTGTTTCGGAAGCTGGTTCTGACCTAGATTTTCCAGATGAGTGACCAGGTTGAAGTTTTTGGAGCAGGTCCATTCCCAAAAAACTATAAGCCCTTCCTGGACCAAACTTGCAAAGATAATACATCTAGGGATAGACACTACCATATTTGCTTCAGATGCTGGATCTGACCTAGATTTTCCAGATGAGTGACGAGGTTAAAGTTTTTTTGGAGCAGGTCCATTCCCAACGAGCTGTAAGCCCTACCTGGACCAAACTTGCATGGATGATGCATCTAGGGATGTACACTTACTAACCTGCTTCGGATTCTGGATCTGACCTAGATTTTCCACATGAGTGAATTTTAGCCATATTTTAACCAAATTAGCATGGATGATGATGTGTCTAGAGATGGACACTTCCAGACTTGCTTTGAATTCTGAATCTAATATTGATTGATATTAATCTTGGGATGTACACTAACTAGGAAAAAATATGATGTGAGATTTGCCTTACTTATAGATGACATTCGTCGAGGTAAGCTTAGTAATCTTTGATTACCTATGTTTGAATTTTATGGCTAATCTTTTTCAAAACAATTAAGGTCATTAATTTGAACACTGAGAGGTTTAGAATCATTAAATCTTGTAAGATGATGCATCTTGGTGCCATAAAACATATATATTAAAAAAAAAGGTCACAGTGACCTACTTTTTGAACTTTGCAGGCATTCGATTTCAAAGCGTTTTAGAGGCATAATTTGGACATCTTAAGGCCTATGATCATAAAACTGTAAGTTGATGCATTTTGGGTCCTAAAAAACGTCAACTGAAAGGTAGGTCACCGTGACCTGTCCATCCGTCTGTAAACTTTTCACATTTTCGACTTCTTCTCAAGAACCACTGGGCCAATTTCTACCGAACTTGCCACAAAGCATCCTTGGGTAAAGGGGATTCAAGTTTGTTCAAATTAAGGGCCACACCCTCTTTCAAGGGGAGATAATTAAGAATTAGTGAAAATTTGGTGGAATCTTTTAAAAATCTTCTTCTCAAGAACCACTGGGCTGTAAAAGTTGAAACTTATGTGAGACCTTCACTACATAGTGTAGATTCAAGTTTGTTCAAATCATGACCCCCAGGGGTAGGGTGGGGCCACAATGGGGGATCAAATTTTTGCATAGGAATATATACGAATAAATCTTTAAAAATCTTCTCCTCAAGAACAACTAAGCAACGATTAGTCATATTGATAAGGAATCATCCTAAGGTAGTGTAGATTCAAGTTTGTTCAAATCATGACCCCCAGGGGTAGGGTGGGGCCACAAATGGGGATCCACATTTTACATAGAAATATAGAGAAAAAAATCTTAAAAAATCTTCTTCTCAAGAACAACAAAGCCACAATTTGTCATATTGATATGGAATCATCCTCAGGTAGTGTAGATTGAAGTTTGTACAAATCATGACCCCCGGGGTAGGGTGGGGCCACAATGGGCGATCAAAATTTTACATAGGAATTTAAAGAAAAAAATCTTTAAAAATCTTTTCCTCAAGAACAACAGAGCCACAATTAGTCATATTGATATGGAATCATCCTCAGGTAGTGTAGATTAAAGTTTGTACAAAACATGACCCCCTGGGGTAGGGTGGGGCCACAAATGGGGATCCACGTTTTACATAGAAATATATAGAAAAAAATCAAGAAAAATCTTCTCAAGAACAACAAAGTCACAATTAGTCATATTATTGTGGATTCATCCTCAGGTAGTGCAGATTCAAGTTTGTATCAAATCATGACCCCTGGGGGTAGGGTGGGGCCACAATGGGCGATCAAAGTTTTACATAGGAATATACAGAAAAAAAACTTGAAAATCTTCTTCTCAAGAACAGCAAAGCCTTGTTAAGTCATTTTGATATGGAAGCATTCTCAGAAAGTGTAGATTTAACTTTGTTCGAATCATGACCTCCAGGGTTAGGGTGGGGTCAGAATGGGGGATCAAAGTTTTACATAGGAATATATAGGAAAAAAAACTTTTAAAAAATCTTCATCTCAAGAACAGCAAGGTCATGTTTTGTCATATTAATATGGAAGCATCCTCAGGTAGTGTAGATTCAAGTTTGTTCAAATCATGACCCCTGGGGGTAGGGTGGGACCACAATGGGAGATCATAGTTTTACATAGGAATATATAGGGGAAAAAACTTGAAAAATCTTCTTCTCAAGAACAACAAAGCCATGTTTTGTCATATTGATATGGAAGCATCCTCAGGTAGTGTAGATTCAAGTTTATTCAAATCATGACCCCTGGGGGTAGGATGGGGCCACAGTGGGGGATCATAGTTTTACATAGGAATATGTAGGGGGAAAAACTTGAAAAATCTTCTTCTCAGGAACAGCAAAGCCAAGTTTTGTCATATTGATATGGAAGCATCTTCAGGTAGTTTGGATTCAAGTTTGTTCAAATCATAACCCCCAGGGGTAGGGTGGGGCCACAACGTGGGATCAAATTTTACATAGGAATATATAGGAAAAAATCTTTTCAACAGCAGAAAAGCCATGTTTAGTCATATTGATATGGAAGCATCCTCAGGTAGTGTAGATTCAAGTTTGTTCAAATGATTGGGGGGGGGGGGGGGGATGGTCCACAATGGGGGATCAAATTTTTAACAAGGGAATATATAGGAAAAAAAATCTTTAAAAATCTTCTGCTCAAGAACAGCAAAGCCATTTGATATATTGATATGGAAGCATCCTCAGGTAGTTCAAAATCCAAGCCCCCCCCCCCCCCCCCCCTTAAACTTTTCAATACTGAATTGATTTGTGCTTTTTCCTAGCCAATGTGCTCAGGTGAGCGATGTGGACCATGGGCCTCTTGTCAAATTTTATGGCTATATTTAAATATTTTTTCGGGTACTATTTGGCTTAGAATCATCAAAATTTGTCAGTTGATGCATCTTGAGTCCTCGGAGTACAACTGAAAAGTAGGTCACCGTGACCTACTTTTCAATTTATGTGACTATAATTAAATATTTAATCAGCTACTAATTGGCTTAGAATCATCAAACTTTGTAAGTTGATGCATCTTGGGTCTTCGGAGTAGGTCAACTGAAAAGAAGGTCACCATGACCTACTTTTGAAAATTTATGGCTTTAATTAAATATTTCAGGTACTAATTGGCTTAGAATCATCAAACTTTGTCAGTTGATGCATCTTGGGTCCTCAAAGTATGTCATCTGAAGAGTAGGTCACTGTGACCTACTTTTGAAATTTATGGTTTTAATTTTAAAAATATTTTAGGTATTAATTGGCTTAGAATCATCAAACTTATTTGATGCATCTTGGGTTTTCAGAGAATGACAAGTGATAAGTAGGTCACCATGACAAACTCTCAGGTACTAATTAGCTTACAATCATCTTGGGTTCTCAGAGTGTTTCATCTAAAATGTAGGTCATGATGACCTACCTTTGGAATTTCAAGGGTTTATCTAAATACAGTGGAGCCTCATTTATCCGGACGCTTTGGTTCCCAGTCAATTTGTCCGGATATGTGAAGCGTCCGGATACCTGAATTGCGCTGATTTTAGTTATAGGCCTATGGCCTTTCATTCCATTTTCAATAGTAAAGAATGTTGATATATACCAATATGTTTTATTGTTTAAATACTTTATTTTAATATAAGTTACATTGTAGTACTACTCAATACTTGTTTAAATAAATAAAAAAAGTACATGTGTCATTGGAAAAAAAAACATGTTTATATGGTCACATTAATTATTTCTACCTCCCAGTGTCTAATGAATCAACTTTTAGTAGCCCTGTCGGTACTGTCGGCAGAGTCTTATAATTTAATATGAACGCCCATCAATGCTAAATGTGACATAATCTGCACATGTACATCAATCGTAATTATCCAAAGCGAGATCTTATTAACGATTGTGTAATTTTGAGAGTGATTTTATAAATGTCATCATATCATAGAATGCGTTTTGCGAAAAAAAATACTGTGCATAAAAGAACTCCGATGTCATGTCTATAAACACATAAAACCATGTTACAACTATTCTAACAGTAAAAGAAATATATTTGCTGACTACGAAAAATTATCCTAGACTTATAAAATTATTTCCATTAAATAATACGTATCAAAACCATGTTAGAGAAGCCAGAGTCTCACGCGTACCTATCGACCTACACTAACCTTGCCGCAAGCCATTGATAATAGGTCGCAAGTGATCATCTTTTAAAACAAACAGCCAGACCAGTGTTTTTACAACAATTAACACCCAGATCAAGAAATTTCAGCAGACTTGACAGACCAGTTAAAAAATTATCGTCCGGATAAATGAATCAAAATATAACGTAAAAATTCATTTTGTGGTGAAAAAAGACTGTCCGGATACGGAATGCGCAATTCCAGTAAAACGAGACAAAATGACGTTAAAAAATTTCATTCTCATGAAAAATCGTCCGGAAACTGAAGTGTCCGGATATCTGGCGTCCGGATATCTGAAGGTCCACTGTATACAGGACTTAGAGGCTTCAAATAGAAGTGATAGGTTGTACAGTTTATCAGAAGAGCGATTCAAGGTCCTTGGGCCTCTTGTTTTAAAAATCAGTAACTGTTCATGTAAAGGGAAGAAATTTTCATGTGCAAGGTTTATGAGGAATCCTCAGGCTGATTGTTAAATTAATAGATCTGTCCAAAAAAATTGTTGCCATAATTATAAACTAAAGAAGATTTTCCTTTCTCAAAAAGTATAAATTTAATAACTTCAAACTTATTAAGATCCTCAACATTCATTTTTAGTTTCCTTGAATTCTCTTTGTTTACTTGAAGTATGGAAGTCCATTGTATATCATGGATAAAGAGATTCTCTCTCTTTACCTTTAGGCCAAGTACTGCATCACCTTTGGCATACACAACTGCAGATAAGATTGCTATTGGAGATGGCTATCCACGAGATGTTTCGGGAACAACCCAGATTATGCTCATTGTGAAATCTGACAGAAACAATGCCCTTTGCTCGGCCAGTAAAAGACGCAGGAAGCGTGGCGTCAGTCTTGGTGGGAGTGAGATAGCTATTCCTCAGGCTGTGCTAGCATCCATCATGAGTGATCCTACTATGTAAGTAGTACAATTCTCTTTACTGCTTAAACTTTCGGTAAGGCGTGACATTCTGGGCTATACGTAATTAGCGTCTCTCAAATAGTGGCCTTGATTCTCATTGGTTGCCAGATTAGTTCATCAATACTGAAATTTACACAGCTTTTCATTCACGGGTGAAATACACATGGGATAAAAATGGATTAGACGCCAACGATTGACTCAAGGAACCAATTGCCATCATTTCTTACAGTAAAGAGGTGTGGCTTATGTCATCTCATCATTTGTTAACAACAATCTATATTTGCTAATGTTATTAATTTCTTAACGAATGAGAATATAGGTCACCATTTAAGAGACACTAATTATGTATCGCTGAGAATGTCACGCCATACTTAAAGTTCAAGCAGAAAAGAGAATTGTACTAGTAAATAGCCTTTACAGTCTAAAGTAATAAGTTATTTTGTCAAAAGTGTAGATTGATTTGAATAGCTAAAATGTACTTTAAAAATTGTCTTTAAATAGAGTGGTGTTTCTATTTTGAAAGGATTACATGTATATGTAGCCAATTCAAGTTAGACTTTCCTTATTACTTTCTTTTGTTTAATGTTGAATAATTTAAGTATCAACAGCTGAGTGTATAATGAAGATTGATATTAGAATATTGATTAATTAAAAGGTGCATGAACAGTAATACAATTGGAATTCATATTTAAATTTGCATATCAATCAGTAAAATGTGTATATATTTCAAATATCGGTCAAATTCTCTTTCTGTCTCTTTAAAATTATACTTACATGCATATTATAAATTAAAATATTTTCATATTATATTTTATTCCATATGAATTTAAGGTCGCCTGAGCTATAGGTTCCTTAAAGCTCTTAAGAGGTTGTTTAGACTATCCATATCTCTTTCTGTGTCATATAAATTTTTCATGTAGTTTTTGACTTCTCCAGAAAACTTTGGGTGCAAATTTCAACCAGACTTTTCTCATTAAGCACCATTGAGTAAGAAATTCAAATTTCTTCCTAGAAAGGCAAAGTTCTCATAGGATGATAATTGAGACAAGGACTAAGTAAGATAGTTTCATTTTTTAAAAAAAATTATAATTCCTGGAACCATTATAAAAAGGATTGACAAAAAATTGTGTAAGCTTTCTTGTGCATTAATAGATTCAAGTAAGTATGGGCCCTAGAGGTAACATAAAAGCTGCAGTAAGTGAATATCTTAAAAAATTGTCTACTACAGAAAAGCAATTTAAGCCTTCATTGTTTTAATGTTAGAATGCATGGAACCACATGAAAAATCAAGTTAAAAAATGTATATAAGCATTATTATGGAATATGGATAGGTTGCTGCCTTTGGCTCTTTAAGGTTTCATTTATTTTGCAATAGGTTGCATTTATATATTTGTCTACCACAGTAACAGACTCAGGTGGGCTATGTGTGCCATTGCTTTATGTACATTTAAATATTTTACATTTGTTTAAATACGTCATTTTTAGTCTAACTTGTTTTATCTAAGTAGCAAAAATTTAACATGCATCTTTGTTCATTCAATAATCAAATATTTATCATCTATAGATATATATATGTACAGCAGTATAATTGTGCTGATGTGTTGCAATATTGTAATACATATCTGGATATTTTCCACAAGAGTCTTGTCCAATCATCCATAGATATGGTAAGCTTTTATTCACTCAAACTTTTCTTACAAGCTTTAGATAATTTCATAATGTGCAAGAAATAATTTTGCATAAAATGTGGCTCTCTCGAACTCAGTGGGACAGAGAAAAAAAATAGATATTTGAGGATGCCATGATGTTGAGTTAAAATATATAAAGAAAAAGTGGGACTTCCAACTCGCTTCACAGCCATGATGATGTGAGATATATATCATTGTTTGAGATAACGAAGTTCAAAGTGTATCTTATTCACAAGTGTATTTACCGTTTTTAGCTCACCTTGACAAAGTCAAGATGAGCTTATGCTATATCGTCAGCTTTAGCGTCGGCATCCCGGTTAAAGTTTAAGGAGCAAGTCCATTCCCAAGTAACTATAAGCCCTACCTTGACCAAACTTGCATGGATGATGCATCTAGGGGTGGACATTACCACACTTGCTTCGGATGCTGGATCTGACCTAGATTTTCCAGATGAGTGACTAGGTTAAAGTTTTTGGAGCAGGTCTGTTCCAAGGTAACTATAAGTCCTACCTGGACCAAACTTGCATGGATGATGCATCCAGGGATGGACACTACCACACTTGCTTCGGATATTGGATCTGGGGTAGATTTTCTACATGAGTGACCAAGTTAAGATTTTGGAGCAGGTTCATTCCCAAGTAACTATAAGCCCTACCTGGACCAAACTTTCATATATGATGCATCAAGGGATGTACACTAACCAACCTGCTTCAGATGCTGGATCCAACCTAGATTTTCCACATGAGTGAATTTTAGCCATATTTTAATCAAATTAACATGGATGATGTTTCTAGGGATGGACACTTCCAGACTTGCTTTGGATTCTGAATCTGACCTTTCAGATGAGTGACCAGGGTTATTTTTTATAAGTGCTATATAATATGGCCTGTTATGATTAAACTTGCATAGATGGTGCATCTAAGGATGAAAACTTCCAGACTTGTTGGATGTTGGAACCGACCAAAATTTTCTTGATTAGTAAATAGGTTAAAAGTTTTTTGAGCAGGTCTATTTCCAAGTAACTATAAGTCCTACTTAAACCAAACTTGCATGGATATTGATATTGGGATGTACACTAACTAGAAAAAGTAAAATCATGTGAAATTTGCCTTACTTATAGATAACATTCATCGAGGTGAGCTTCGTAATCTTTGATAACCTATGTTTTTTTTCCAGTTTGGCTTTAGTGACATAAAGTGCAAATATTTTTAGATCACAAGCTGTTGTATCAAACATTATCCAGACAGTTCAAGCTGAGACAGGCGTGGTCCTCAACATCACAACAGAACCCATTAAGCTTGTCACGAACACCACTAACGACCTAGTGGTGGGCACTCCACCACCTGCGGTCACAACAACAATCTTAGCAACAACACCTCAAGTAAGCCATATTTTGCAGAATTAGTCAATGAGGAAATGTAAATAAAGGACTAGTATATATACACTTTATTTGGGTAAAATTATTGTCAAAAAGTAAAGCATGCTCTGCATTTCTTTATTATATAATCATCGGGATCATAGAACAAGGATGTTACATTAAATTTATCGTAAAATTACCACCAGAACTGTGTAAGACTGGAACAGTGATTATGTGATTATCTGCATGAAAATGGTGGTGCCTTGCAGAAATTTACATGAAAATCTGTCTGGTTATAATTTTTATGTCATATAAAACTTTTCCAATTTTTAACTTCTCTAGAACCAAGACATTCCACATAGCAGTAGGTAAAGGGAATTCAAGTTGAACAAGTGAAAGGCAATTCCTCTTTTCAAAGGAAATTAATTAAGAAATGGTGAAAAAGGGATATGGGTTCATATAAACATTTTCTTTCAGCGTGTTTGTTTTTCAAAAATCACTGGTTCAGGAATTTGCAAGATTAATGCTACTTATTATTGTTTAAATTTCAATTTATAAACAAGAGCCCCAAGGACCTTAATGGTCACCTGAGTATAATATAACAATTTAGAGGATCCATATAGTATAAAATGAACTGAAAGGTGAAGCATTGTTGCCCAAAAGCAAGAAAAATTGGGTGATCAGGATCAACAAAATAATTAGCCTTAGGCTAGTGTTCATTAACAGTTCATAAATTAGGTTCTAATCTGTTCCCCATTTATCAGTATCACCAAACAGTATATTAACAAACTATCAGTGCTACTGTACTATTTTAATTCCTTGTTGAAATTTCTTATATTCCTCTCTTGGTCTTTGATGAACATTTAATATTAAGACAAGTTATTTTTGTTTCATTTTTATTTATCTATTAATTATGATCATTAAAACTATGAAAGTACTTTTGTATTATACAATAAAAATTCTTGCATAATTCTCTTATTCTATTAACCTTTCAGGTACATTATTTACAGTGATTAATTATCGAAAGTAAATGATAAAGGGGAATAACTCCTCTCTGTAGAATACAAATTAATAGAGCCCTGGGCAGGACCAGAACACTTGACCAAATTGTCCAGATCTCAAAAATCTGGTAAAAATACCCTTCCTTATTAAAACTCTTATTCTTTTTGCCTCCGATATGCCCAGGTGCAGAGAAGATTTTTAAAGAAATAATTAATGCATTTTTACTACAGATTCACTATATTATCAATAGAGCCCCCCCCCCCCCCCCCCCCCCCCCCCCACTGAGAAACACCAGAGCCTCTGACCCTGGGACCAGACATTTGCTCATCATAACTAATCACTTTGTTTATCTCAGCAGCTTAACACCAAGGAGCAGACAGGATTATTTAATAGTATTAATGCATTTTCACTATATTATCAAGATCCCCACCCTTACACCAGCACATCTGACCCAGGGGTCATGAAATTCACTACTCTGGAAGAAGCACCCTTGTTCATCAGAACTATACACTTAGCTTCTTTGCTTTTTAACCAGAAGCAGAAAAGAATATTTTCAAAGAAATTTTGCTTTTTCACTATATAATCAATAGAGCCCCCCCCCCCTTTTCACCAGAACCCTTGACCCTGGGGCCATGAAATTCACAATTTTGGAAGAGGCATCCTTGTGTATCATAACAGTGTACTTAGTTTGTTTAAATAATACCAAGGGGCAGAGAAGATTTTCAAAGAAATAATTCACCTTCACTCTAGGATCTATATAGCCCCGCCCTAGTACCAGAACCCCTGTCCCTGGGGTCTTGAATTTCACAATTTTGGAAGAGGAATCCTTGCTTATCATAACAATGTACTTAGTTTGTTTAAATAATACCCAGTAGCAGAGAAGAAGATTTTTAAAGAATTAATGCCTTTTCACTATATTATCAATAGAGCCCTGCCCTAGCACCATAACCCCTGACCCTGGGGCCATGAATTTCACAATTTTGAAAGAGGCCCCCTTGATTATCATAACTATGTAACTATTTAATTTGTTTAAATAATTTTGAGGAGTAGAGGAGAAGATTTTCAAAGAAATAATGCACTTTCACTATGTGATCTATATAGCCCTGCCTTAGCACCAGAACTCCTGACCCTGGGGCCATGAATTTCACAATTTTGGTAGAGGGCTCAATGCTTATTACAATTATGCCAACAGTTGGACTGCTTGATGTACAGGAGTAAAGAAGATTTTTAAAGATTGCATTAATTTTGGTGGTTTTAGCCCCACACCTCAGGCCCCAGGAGGGCAGGGATCATGACATTCACAAATTTTGTTTCCCTTTACACATAGATGCCATATGCTAAAATTGGCTGAAATTGGTTCAGCGGTTTCAGAGAAGAAGCTGAAAATGTTCAGATGTTAACATACGACGGACAAAAACAGATAGCAATAGGTCACCTGAGTGGCTCAGGTGACCTAATTATGCATTTATTTGATAGTAACTTGGATTTTTTTTAGGTCACCTGAGTCACTCAGGTGACCTATTGCTATCCGTTTTTGTCTGTCGTCGTCCGTTAACTTTTGAACATTTTCAACTTCTTCTCTAGAACCGCTCAATCAATTTCAACCAATTTTGGCATATAGCATCTTTTGGTGAAGGGGAACAAAAATTGTGAATTTCATGATCCCTGCCCCCCTGGGGTCCCAGGGGTGGGGCTAAAACCACCAAAATTGATGCAATCTTTAAAAATCTTCTTTACTCCTGGACATCAAGCAGTCAAACTGTTCACATGATTGTAATAAGCATTGGGCCCTCTACCTAAATTGTGAAATTCATGGCCCCAGGGTCAGGGGTTCTGGTGTTAGGGTGGGGCTATATAGATCATATAGTGAAAGTCCATTATTTCTTTGAAAATCTTCTTCTCTTCTCCTGGGTATTATTTAAACAAACTAAGTGCATGGTTATGACAAGCAATGATGCCTTTTCCAAAATTGTGAAATTCATGGCCCCAGGGTTAGGGGTTCTGGTGTAAGGGCGGGGCTCTATTGATTACATAGTGAAAATGCATTAATTCTTTGAAAATCTTCTTCTCTGCTCCTGGGTATTATTTAAACAAACTAAGTGCATAGTAATGGTGCACAAGGATACTTTTTTCCAAAATTGTGAAATTCATGGTCCCAGGGTCAGGGGTTCTGGTGCTAGGGCGGGGCTATATAGATAATATAGTGAAAATGCATTATTTCTTTGAAAAATCTTCTTCTCTACTCCTGGGTATTATTGAAACAAATTGAATACATAGTTATGATAAGCAAGAGAGATTCTACCAAAATTGTGAAATTCATGGCCCCAGGGTCGGGCGTTCTGGTGTTAGGGCAGGGCTATAGAGATCATATAGTGAAAGTGCATTATTTCTTTGAAAAATCTTCTTCTCTACTCCTTGGTATTACTGAAACAAATTGAATACATAGTTATGATAAGCAAGGGTGACTCTACCAAAATTGTGAAATTCATGGCCCCAGGGTCAGGGGTTCTGGCGCTAGGGCAGGGCTATATAGATCATATATTGAAAGTGCATTATTTCTTTGAAAATCTTCTTCTCTACTCCTGGGTATTATTGAAACAAATTGAATACATAGTTATGATAAGCAAGGGTTATTGTACCAAAACTGTGAAAGTCATGGCCCCAAGGTCAGGGGTTCTGGTGCTAGGGGGAGGGGGGGGGGCTCTATCGATAATATAGTGAATCTGTAGTAAAAATGCATTATTTTTTTTGGAAAATCTTCTCTGCACCTGGTCATATCAGGGGCGCAAAAAGATAAAAGTTTTAATAAAGATTTTTAAACATCTGGACCATTTGGTCAAGTGTTCTGGTCCTGGCCAGGGCTCTATTAATTTGTATTCAACTGAGAGGAGTTATTCCCCTTTGCCATTTACTTTTGATAATTAATCACTGTAAATAATGTACTTGAAAGATTAATAGAATAAGAGAATTATGCAAGATTTTTTATTGTATAATACATAAAGTACTTTTATAGTTTAAATGATTAGGTAGACTTGTAAGTAATAGATAAATAAAAAATGAGACAAAAATAACTTGTCTAATTCAATGTTCATCAAAGACCAAAAGAGTCCAATGTAAGAGATTTCATCAAGGAATTAAAATAGTACAGAATCATTGATAATTTGTTAATATACTGTATGGTGATAGTGATAAATGGGGAACAGATTAGAACCTAATTTATGAACTGTTAATGAAAACTAGACTAATTATTTTGTTGATCCTGATCACCCTATTTTTCTTGCTTTTGGGCAATAAAGCTTCACCTTTCAGTTCATTTATAATCTGTGGATCCTCTAAATTGTTGTATTATACTCAGGTGACCGTTAAGGCCCTTGGGCCTCTTGTTAAGATACGTAAGTGATATTTGTGTCATGTCAAACCTTTTTTTTTGATGTAACCCATGCTTTAAACCAAACAGAAGACTTTTGGAGGAATTTCATCATAACTGCTAGGGGTGGAGGTTAGCAATACGATAACTTCCAACGTACTGTACAATAACTTTCAAAATATGAAATTAACCAAAATAGTAATATAGGGGTCCCACGCTTGATTCCCATTCAAACCATATATTTTTTTCCTTCCTTGTAACATTCATTGCCATTGACCACCCCTAGACTTCCAGATAAGTCCTGCTTATAGGGGGAAAAAATCTGGGTTGTGTGTCACTGTGGGCAAAGACAATTTTAAGGAGGAAGAAATGTAGTGGTTTGGGCTTTATATGGGCTATGGATATCAGTCTGGGTAACTCAAGTGGTTAGAGCACCTGACTACGGTAGTGATGCAGGGCTCTTTTCCTGGGTCTTTCCAGTTATAGTACAATTAATGCAAAAGATATTGTCTTCCTTATTGGGTTGCCTTTCTGAATCATTTGTACTACTTGTTTTAGAGTATTTAGCTATTATTTTTATTACTCCTGTACAGGTTGCTGCTTCTACACCAGGTGTTAGTGTGAAGGAGGGGGTCACAGAAGGCTGGGTTGTGGCCTTAGCTGTCATCTTCAGTCTTATTGGAATTTTGATCCTCCTATTCATTGTGTTTGTTATCTTAGTTAGGGCAAACATGTAAGTATACCCTACAAAGCAAGTTTATTAGTACATTGAAATTTAAAATTCCAATAATTTACACCGAAATTTAAAATTCCAATAATTTACACCAAAAAATATATTTTCTTTTTCCATCACCCTTTTAATTAATAATTTTGTATGGTGTTATTTAGAAACCTTGAAAAAAAAATGAAATTTTATGCAGCTGAACATGCATTCCACTCATATAAACATTAATTTAGTTGATATTTTTCATGATTTTTATGCATCACCATGAATATGGCTGGGGCATGTAGTGTTTGTCATGACTGTCTTCCTTCCTGCCATCCTTCTGTCCTTCCATCTGCCCTTCAATCACATTTTGCATTTAGCTCAATTTCAAAGAAACTATTCAAGATATTTTTATCAAACTTCATATGCTGATACATAATGGATGAGAGCTATTGAAGTGTATCAACATTTTCTGACCTTGACCTTTCCTTGACCTTGACCTTTCTTTTCTTAAATTTGTGTTTAGCTCGATTTCAAAGAAACTGTTCATGATATCTTTATCAAACCTTATAACCTGATACATACTAATTACTAAGAATTATAAGAATTACTAAGAATTATATAACTTCATCACTATTTGTTGACCTTAACCTTTCCTTTAACCTTGGTTTCACTTGTGTTTAGCTAAGTTTCAAATTATTATTGACATTATTATCAAACTTCATACGCCGATACATATTGATGAGAGCTATTAAACTGCTCTATATAGCTGTACCCCTTCCCCCTTCATAGTGCATAAACATTTTTTGACTTTGACCTTGACCTCACTGTCTTAAATTAGTGATTATCTCAATTTCAAATAAACTTAAGATAGTTTTATCAAATCTTATATGCTTAATATATTTATTGATAAGAGCTGTTCAACTTTCTCAACACTTTTTGACCTTCCTTTGACCTTGACCTTCCCTTTGACCTTGAACTCACTTATCTTTAAATGGTATTAAGCTTTGTTTCAAAGGAACCATTCAACATATTTTAATAAAACCAAATATGTTGATATGTATTAATGAGAGCGATTCAACTGCATCAATATTTTTAACACTGACTTTTTCTTTGACCTTGACTTCAAATTTGCATTCATAGTTTCAAAGAAACAAATCAAGATATTTTATCAAACTTTAAATGCTTAAACATATTGATGAGAACTATTCAACTGCATCAAAATGTTTTTATCTTGACCTTTTTCTTTGACCTTGACTTCAAATTTGTGTTAAGTATAGTATGAAAGATGTTCATATCTATTACATGTACTGCAATATAAAAAGTATTTTTAAAACCTTTACAGAATTTTTAAATTTCCTGAGGATGGAAAAAAATCGAAAGAAGAAGATACAGAGTCTGGCGAATACAGATTCGAGGAGCAGCCCACACCAGCATTGACAGCTTTAGCATCACTAGCAGCCTCAGCAGCCTTAACATCTAGATCATTGGGTAAGGGGAAGAAAAGAACTGAAGAAGAGGAAAAATCAGGTGACAGTGAAGGAGTGAAATCTGATGATATTGACGAAGAGGGAATATATGAAGATCCTGCAGATGTAAAAAAAGAGGGAAAATTTGGAGAACCTGAAGAGGAAGAGGAAGACAAAACATCTGAAGAATCTCCAGATAAAAAAGAAGAGAAATCTGAAGACACTGAAGATGAAAAGGAAGAGGAGAAATCTGAGGACATTGAAGATGAAAAGGAAGAGGTGAAATCTAAGGAATCCGAAGACGAAAAGGATGAAGATGAAAAGGAAGAGGAGAAATCTAAGGAAGCCGAAGATGAAAAGGAAGAGGAGAAATCTGAGGGAACCGCAGAGGAAAAGGAAGAGGAGAAATCTGAGGGAACCGCAGAGGAAAAGGAAGAGGAGAAATCAGAAGAACATGATGATAAAAAGGAGGAGAAATCTGATGAATCTGACAATGAAAAGGAAGAGGAAAAATCTGCAGAGGAAAAAGAAGAGGAGGAATCTGCAGGGGAGAAAGAATCTGGGTAGGAAAAGGAGGAAAATAAATCTGAGGAATCTGAAAATGAAAAGAAGAAAGAATAGTCTCCTGATGTGAAAGCCAAAGAATCATACAATTTCCTTTAAAGAATGAGATTTAGTGATTTCACACTTGAACATTTTGATTTATTAGAGCGGATGCTTTTTTTTTTCTTTTCTTTCTAACACATTTTGTTTTTCTCAAGACTGATTTGAGTATACAGTAAAACATGGTTATAGCAAACATGCTTATAGTGAATTCACACTTACAGCGAAGTGATTTTCATTCTTCATTCCCTGTGGTTTTTAAACGTATTGTTATCTTAAGGGATATATTGAATTACGTTTAAAACGAACCAAAATTGCATGTCCCTGGCATTTCGCTATAGGCGTGTTTTACTGTATAATATTGTTCTTGTCAGCAAGATGGAGAAATTTTAGAAATATTCCTAGTGCTATATGTAAATGTCAAGTTTTTTGGGATGGCAGTTCAGTGGATAATAAACTGCAAGCTAGATACATTTACTTAAAAGTATTGTTATTTTGCTTCACTAATTCTATAATGTGGTAATGTATGCAATGTTGATAAATACATGAGAGTCAAACAAATATGAATTTCTTTACCAGTATAAGCACTTGTCACCCTATTATATGGATGGACTTGTGTCTTTGGAAAAAGTAAGCATATCCATAAAAAAAGATTATTTAGAAAAGAATAATGAATATTTCTACATCATTTTATTTACTAATTTGCTTTATTAATTGTAAAAAAATTGAAGTAGTTGAATTTTATATATGTGAATACATGTATTTATAATGCATATGTTTTCAATGATTTAAAAAGGAAATTGACTGTATAATGTTACTTCAAATCTGTAAATAAAGGAGAAATTATAAAACATTGGTGTAGTTGATCTTTAGTTATGAAACAATTGTTTCACAAAATGTAACATGGAACAAGAGGTTCACAGGCCAGAATGCTCACCCAAGTCCTGATTCATTTTAAGTGTGTTACCTGTAAACCACATGTAGTTTCATTGTATATGTTCTGTATTCAGTGTTTTCCCTTTATTTCAAAGCACAGGCCCTTAGTTCACTTTAAAAAAATAAGGTGTAAAAAAAAAAAAAGGTATGGAACTCCTTACAAAGGGTACCCATATTCGCCAATAAAATTCTTTTAAATGATCTAAAACTTTACTTTCTACTCATAACTATTCACATATAAACAATCTACGTTACTACTGAAGTTCTTTCCAAAATTCTGTATACTTCCCGAGATATGCTGAGATCATATTCCAAAATTGACCTTTTTTTTTATTTTTAAAAAATCAAAAGGAATATTATACATTCCAGGAAAATTTCGTTCAATCATAGTTCTTTTTACATTAATAAACAATATGGCTGTGAAGTTGTTGAAGCAATATTTTCTAATTTTTTTTTTCGTGAAAGGAATTATTACTGACTTAACCTTACGATCTGGAGTAAAAAATCAACTTTAAAATGTTGAAAGATTGTGCGAATACTATACAGCTGTTCGCTGCAGTTCAAACACTGTCTGTATACATGTGAATAACCAGGGCCCAAGCTAATCGAGTAAAAAAGTAGGTCAATTTTGGAATTGATTTAACCATATATCAGGAAGTACATGGAATTTGCAGGGAAGGAACTTTGGTAGTAATGTAGATTGTTTGTATACGAATAGATATGAATAGAAAGTAAAACTTGGGAGCATTCGATTTAAAAGTATTTTATTTGCGAAAGTGGGTACCCTATGTAAGGAGTTCCATACCTTTATCTTTTTTATACACCCCATTTTTTTAAAGTCTGATTTAAGCGATCCAAAGGCCTGTGTTTCAAAGTAAAGGGTTAGAGATCACTTGTAACACGCTTTGGGTTGAAATTTATGACAAATATCTGTGGACCTTACAAAAATTAAATTTTGATTTTTTTATTTCAAAGTGGCATTTTTATCAATTGAAGCAGTCAAGTTGGCCAGTAGCTGGTTTTTAGCTCACCTGAGCTGAAAGCTCAAGTGAGCTTTTCTGATCACATTTTGTCTGTAGTCCGTCTGTCTGTCTGTCCGTCTGTAAACTTCTCACATTTTCGACTTCTTCTCCAGAACCACTGGGCCAATTTCAACCAAACTTGCCACAAAGCATCCTTGGGTGAAGACGATTCAAGTTTGTTCAAATGAAGGGCCATGCCCTCATTCAAGGGGAGATAATTAAAAAAAATAGTGAAAATTGGGTGGCATATTTTAAAAATCTTCTTCTCCAGAACCATTGGCCCAACAAAGTTGAAACTTAAAAGAAACCTTTGTTATATAGTGTAAATTCAAGTTTGTTCAAATCATGACCCCTTGGGGTAGTGTGGGGCCACAATGGGGGATCAAAGTTTTCTATAGGAACATATAGGAAAAAACTTTAAAAAAATCTTCTCAAGAACAGCAAAGCCATGATTTATCATATTGATATGGAAGGATCCTCAGGTATTGTAGATTCAAGTTTGTTCAAATCATGACCCCCCAGGGGTAGGGTGGGCACAATGGGAGTTCAAAGTTTTACATAGGAATATAAAGGAAAAAACTTTAAAAATCTTCTTCTCAAGAACAGCAAAACATTGTTTAGTCATATTGATATGTAAGCATTCCCAGATAGTGTAGATTTAAGTTTGTTCAAATCATGACCTCTGGGGTTTGGGTGGGGCCACAATGGGAGTTCAAAGTTTTACATTCGAATATATAGGAAAATACTTTAAAAATCTTCTTCTCAAGAACAGCAAAGCCTTGTTTAGTCATATTGATATGTAAGCATTCTCAGGTATTGTAGATTCAAGTTTGTTCAAATCATCACCCCAGGGGGTAGGATGGGGTCATAATGGGTGATCAAAGTTTAACATAGGAACATAAAGGAAAAAAGTCTCTGTCAAGAGCAACAAAGCCATGTTTAGTCGTATTGATATGGAAGTAGACTCGGGTAGTGTAGATTAAAGTTTGTTCAAATGATTACCCCTGTGGGTAGGGAGGGGCCACAATTTTCAAATTTTTACAAAGGAATATAAATATAGGAAAAAAATCTTTAAAAATCTTCTACTTAAGAACAGCAAAGCCATTTAATTTGTTCTATTGATATGGAAGCATCCTAAGGTAGTTTAAAATTCAAGCCTTCCCCCCCCCCCCCCCCTGTAAAATTTTCAATACTGAATTGATTTGTGCTTTTTCCTAGCCATTGTGCTCAGGTGAGCAATGTGGCCCATGGGCCTCTTGTTAGGGAAACCACTGATGTGTGTGCCTGTTGTTCTTGAAATTATTTTTAGCTCACCTGAGTCACATAGATTACTGTTGCTGTCTGGTTTTGTCTGCCGTGCATTGTTCATCAGTTATATAATTTTTTTAACATTTTCAACTTCTTCAATCCAATTTCAACTAAATATGGTATATGGCATCTATGGGTAAAGGAAAAGAACAGAATGAGCCCTTTAAGAATATTGTAAAATTTATGGCCCCCGAGTCGTGTTCTGGTGTTGGAGGCTTTATTAATCATATAAAGTATAAATGCAACAATGCCATAAAATCTCCTCTCTACCCGTAGATTTAGCAGACATAGTGCATGGTTATGATGAGCATTTACAGTTTAGTGGGATCATAGTGATTATAAGATTACAATTTGTACTTTACCGTTTACCAGAATTGTAAAATCTGTCTGCTATGGGTCGAGTTCAGGCCCCAGGGTATGGCTATGTTGGTCATGTATAAAGTATACAGGGCACCTTTATTTTTACTCATGGACTCTAGGAGTCTTAACCATTTACATTCATTTATTATAATAAACACATAACCCTTTACAAAAATTATAAAAATTCAAATTCATAAGGACAATGCTCCAAGGTGAGGCTAGGTGGTCATACACCTGAGCACTGGGGCTAGGAAAAAAGCAGAAATCGGTTCAGTATTGAAAAGCTTAAATACATAAGTGGTCCCAACCTACCCCTAAAAGGTTAATATGATTTGGTCCCCATCCTACCCCCGGGGATCATGATTTTTAAAAAACCTGAATCTACACTACCTGAGGATGCTACCTGAGATTCCTTTGTATAACTTTGCTCGTCCATTGTGGCCCCACCCTACCCGTTGGGGGTCATGATTTGATCAAAATTGAATCTTCACTACCTGAGGATGCTTTCATATAAATATGACCAATCATGGCTGTTTTAAGAAGATTTTTCCTATATATTCCTATGTAAAACTTTGATTGTCCATTGTGTCCCCCTAACCCCGGGGGTCATTATTTGAACAAACTTGAATCTACACTACCTGAGGACAATTCCATATAAATATCTTTCATGGCCCAGTGGTTCTTGAGAAAATATTTTAAAAAGATGCCATTAATTTTTCACTAATTTGTAATTATTTCCCCTTGGAAGAGGATGTGGCCTTTCATTTGAACGAACTTAAATCCCCTTTACCCAAGGATACTCTGTGCCAAGTTCGGTTGAAATTGGCCAATGACAACAGACAATGGACAAATTTCGATCAAAAAAGCTCATTACAGCCTTTGACTCAGGTGAGCTAAAAATGTATTATACTGTGTGCTTTATCTTCTTTACTCCTGAACTTCTCAGGGAATAGCTGCATTATATGATATTAATGTATATTATTATTTAATATTATATTGAATATACTGTAAATTTGTTGTCCCATAAGTCCAATATTATAGGCCCCATGTTCATCCTCACTCGTGAAACTTGGTGACCTTCAAGACCCACTGGCCTCTCGTTGATTCAAAATGGCAAGTTCTCCAAAACCAGTAAATGCATGAAATTAACTGTTAATAACGTAATTAATGCCTTATAATTCATCATGCGGCATGCAAAAGCCAAAATGATGGTTAGCTAGATATATTGACCAGTGTGGACCAAAAGATCAACAAATTCTTTGGAATTTAAATAAAGCTGTACTTCATAAACCTCATAGACCTTTGTAGAGGTAAAATAGAAGTCGTAATTCCCCAGCGTAGAGTTAACACTACCTGTAGCCCAACAATAACTAAGCAGACAAAGACAGTGCAGATAAAAAGCCCATTCATGGACACCACACCAAGAACAGGTAATCCTGAGATTTTTACTGGTCTTTCTGTCAGATACTTTCTTTCAGATACTTGACCTATTAGACCACTAAGCTTCACAATAATCCATATAGGATTTGAAGACCCCTCCCCTCTTTTTTATGTACAGTACTTTTAAGGGTCCTCCACACACCCCCAACTTATGTTCTCATATTACTGAGCATTACTTTTAACAAGCATATCAACCTTTAAAAACTGACTAAGTATTGAAATATAATTTATACTGTTTTTTTAAAAATTTAATTTCATAAGTTTTAAAAATTTTTCCCTACAGAGTTTTGATAATTAGCACAAGTTTTGTGTTTTCCTGGAATATATTTATTTATTAAACCCAGAAAACAACAACGAAAACTTAATTTTATCATTAAACATATTTTTTTAAAAATTAATAAAAGTTATAAAAAATAAATATAACTCATTTACTCTAAAATACATGGAGAAAAAATTATGGGAGACTCCTGGTAGTATAGAATAAACATTAATGAATTTAATTACAACAAAAAAATTGAATTAAAATCAAATTTATTGACTTAGAAAAAATATTTTCAAAATCTGTGGTATCAAAGTTCCTATTTAGAGTTATCTTTCCTGTTACCCAGGATTCAAACACTTTGGTAAGTCTCCGCATACGTCATCATACATTTACTCAGTAACTCATTATCCACAACTGAACAGGACAGATATAAATGAGCAAAACTAGAAATGAACACTATTTATCAATATTTCTAAACACACAATGAGATGGGTATTATTGAACCGCACAAATTAGAGTGCAAAAATATCAAATTTTCACAACAGTCTGTTAAAGACCTTGTTGGCGCGTTGGCGATATCGCAATGTATTTATCAGCCTAAAAGTATAAATAAACTTAAACATTTTCGAGTAGATATACCTGTTATTTACGAATCATTACGCTACAAAAACTCAAACGTCTGCTGTTTTTTATTGAAAAAATCGACACTTTTTCTTTCGGTCACGCCGTGATCATGCCATGTGTTCATTGTTTATGATCAGGGTATCGCTCTCGGTTGACTGCATACTCTTCCTTTGACAAAACCTTTATATCTAAAGCGTTTATAAGACTCTCTTACAGGCGGTGCCAGTCAAATCGTCAGTGCACAAACTATATTAAATCGGAAGTAAAAGTATTTTTTCTCGATATACGTCACAAGTCACGGGGTGTGGAGGACCCTAAATATACAAAAACAAAATTGAGAAGAGTATGCTAGAAAATTTGCCCATAATGCTACAAATGTCTGGCATTGGTTGAAAATCACAGCATCAAACATATATTTTTATTACCTTATATAGAAAGGAAATATTCAAAAACAATAACAGGATAAATATAAACAGGGAACAAATACATGAAAAACTGATCAATGAATTCTCATAAATCTCCCTTTTATATGAAACATGAAATGTACAAAAAGTATGCTTTCAATGCTATCTTTGGAGTTATATGTACTGCAGACTGCAAGTTTTAGCACAGAGTAAGAAAACAACACTTTTTGAACAGAGAGATATTTTTCAAAACTTGCTCATATTTAGCAGTTCTATTAAGCTGTGAAGTATATCAATATTTATCACAGATAATGTAATATTTATCAGGAGTTATCCTACTTGTCAGAGTTTCTCCTAAATTTTCACACGAGGAGGAAGTCTCACACAAAGTATATATGAATTATTTGTCTTCAGAAAATACATGTATTACTGATACAGAAATATTTTTTTACTTTAAAATGTTCAGTTGATGTACAGGAAATTGTTTCAAAAATAACTAGAAATGGAAAAAAGTTTGAATATCATACAATTTCTCTGCTTTCAAGTTTATACTGTTGCATTATTTAAGTATTGTTAATTATTCCAACCAGAGAAATTTAATATATCACAGTGAAAATCATTTAATGTGTATCTTAGGTCTGTTAACATACATGTAACAGGCAAAACTTATGCTGACACTAGTATTAAGACATAATAACAGACTTAGTGTAAGTTTTGGGAAATTCAACTTTGAATATCATTTCTTCATGAAAAGAATTTCATGCAAGAAGAAATGAAACCAGTAACAATAATTCTATACATAATCTGAAAAAATTAGTATTTCATCCCTTGTACATAAATCAAAATATAACATTTCTCAACTTCATGCTCAAAATGAATGTTATTCCTCTAAGGTATAATAATACATCCATACTTCATACCTTTGTATATTACAGTTAGAAAATTAGAAGTTCTTATAAAGATAACAGACTTTTCTCTGGTACACAGTGTATGTGTGTAGATTAAATCTGCTGGAATTAGGTAGAAGAGGCTGTGATGTCTGGACTAGAAATATCCAGGCTGACCTGGCTTTGTACTTTGTCAGAATCCACATCCGAGGGGTTTCCAATCAGGTCAGTCTCCCCTGAAGGAAGCATTGGATCTGTAAAATAGCCATGCAAAATGTATTAAGATTAATGTGTACAGAAATTAGCTGAATGAACGTTTTCTTTATCTTAATGGACTTGAGCTAGTGTACAAACACTTTCAAAGCCAAGTTTAAATAACTGATGCTGCTAGGTTCACATTGTACAGATTCTGAAAGATAAGATAAATTGCTACTTCTTAATATAACTGTCCTTTCTCAGATTTAAAGATAAGATAAATTGCTACTTCTTAATATAACTGTCCTTTCTCAGACTGAAAGTTAGACTGAATATTATAACTGCCAAAATTTAATAGCCAGCACTCCGAAAATATTAAATGTAACTCCATGTTCCATTTGCCAAGTCTTTAAAACATGGCATGCTAGCCTTCATGGCAAACAACTTTCTTAATAAATGTTCAAACTAATAAGGTATATCCTACAGCATTCCCACTTCAAAATGTTAATTTTATTTTATATGCTAGTACTGTAAAGAATGTTTAAGCTTAAACTCTTCAGTTCAAGAAAACTTAGCTTCTGCAAAAGCTATCCAATCTCCATAACTGTCATGCTTTTAATGTTATAAGACCACCTTAATTACCTACCTGTTTTCAGACCACCATAATTACCAGACCATTGTCAGACCAACATAATTTCCTGACCGTTATTAGAACACCATAATTACTTGACTGTTATAAGACCACCATAAATACCTGACCATTATGAGACCACCTTAATTACCTGACTGTTATAAGACCGCCATAAATACCTGAACATTATCCGACCACCTTAATTAACTTACTCTTGTCAGACCACCATAATTGCCTGACTCTTGTCAGACCACCATAATTACCTGACTGGTGTCAGACCACCTTAATTACTTCACTGTTGTCAGATCACCATAATCACCTGACTGTTATCAGACCACCATAATTACCTGACTGGTGTCAGACCACCTTAATTACCTGACTGATGTCAGACCGCCTTAATTACCTGACTGGTGTCAGACCACCTTAATCACGACTGTTATCAGACCACCTTAACTACCTAACTGGTGTCAGACCATCAGAATTACCTGACTGTGAGAACATGTACTCTGTGCTGCTATCGTTCCCTGTTGTGACCATCACTAACTTGTAGTTTCCTTGGTCATTCTCTGATGAAATCACAATCTGGGACTGACTGTTCTCCTGGTCTCCTTCTATCACAGAGGAAGCAATGGTCTGTTCCAAATGAGAAAATTTAAGCATGCATTACATATACAGTAAGTATTACCTCCCTTAAAACAAAATTGTTTTTTTAATGATTGGTAATTTTTTTTTTAAGTTTAAATGACTCAATTTTAAGCTGCAATTCACATTTCTCTGTAGTAAGTTTGTTACCTCATGTTCAAATGGTGTGGAGGAAATTTCTGTCTGTGTGTCCATCTCAGGGGTGGGAGTTATCATCTGTTCTGTTATATCTGAAGAAAAAAAAGACAATAAAATATATTTAGATTTTTAAGATTTTTTAATAGATTTATTATGAGTTTCATCAAATCAGTTCTTTGCAGATTAATTTATTGCTGAAGCAGTCCAAAACAATGCACAAACAAATCACCAAGGGACCTAACTCCTTATAGTACAACCAGTGAGTGTTGTTTAACAACATTTTGCCACCAACTTTGCTGCTTCTCACCAACTTTGCTGCTGACAACTTGGATGCCATGATAAGACACCATTATTTTCCCATTACCATAAATCTTATATTTACTGAGGTTTCCCTTCTTGCTACAGTATTTGGATGTAAATCAGGCGCGGATCCAAGAATTTTTTTGAGTGTGGGGGAGGGTGGGGGATCTGGGGGGTCCAGCCCAGTCAAAAAAAATTTCCAACCCAAAAATTTCTTGACAAGCAAAAAAAAAAGGGGGGGGGGGGGGGGGGTCCAAAGTCATTTTTTATTTGCTTCAGTATATACTTTTAATAACTCTGTAATTGTGCTTGCTGTTTTTGCTGTATAATGTACCTAAGAATTTAAACATGTGGCAATATTAACTTGAAAATGAACACATAACTGGTATTAGAAGGGACAAAAGATTATTTACTAAAATAATACTTTAATGAAACCATAGCAGTATTTACATGTTTTGGTGAATTATTGAAAATAAGCCTTGTTGATTTTCATGTATTAAATGTCGGTGTATTTACAATATTTCATGAACAATAGACATATCACTTTGATAAGTACAATATTGGAACCAAAAAACAGGATTTTTAACCAAGATCAGTGAAAGATTTTCTGAGAGTATAGCAGAAAAAATCACCCTGGTCAGTACTGGTGGTAGAACTCTGTAGTGAGATTTCTGTAGAGTCGAGACTGAGACTGTCTGAGGCTGAGTTGAGTATGACTGGGTTCATCTGTACTGCCAGATTCTCCTGCCCCTGTAAAGCAGTTGAATTCTACAACAGAAAACATTAATAATGCTGAGATCTACATAATGACCATATCCACACACATGTATCATCAGTTTTCTGTTTTAAGGCAATTACAAAAATAAGTTTTATTATCGACAAGTGACCAAAAACAAATTATTAAATAAATGCATTTTGTTAAAAATAAACTATAACTGCAAGGTTTTGTTTCTACAATTCAGACAAACAAGCACTACTTCAATACTCCAATAAACCTACTGGCAATGTATGTACAATAATATGATCTGTTGTGACTGGAGAACCATTAATTGTAATGGCAGGGTTAGTGTTGGGCTGTGTGATCAAGAAAGCCCCAGAACTGGTTTGATGGAGAATTTCATAGGTCTGTAGAGCTTCACTTGTGGAGGAACCATCAGCACCTGAAAATCAGAACGGAACACTTAATCACAAATACCAGTAGTAGTTTTATCATTGTTACTGATCTTAGAATTGTTATTGGATTAAATAAGACAGCAATAAACAGAAAAAGAGCAACTAGCTTACACTCAAAACATTCATAATCACCGTTTTCTTTTAAATCATTAAAAAGATTTTACATTTGTTGGTGACATTAAAAATTGAACAAATCAATCTCAGAAGACATTCACCTGTCTGAAGAGTTACTGGCATGGCTACCATTTCTGCAGAAACTTTCATCTGGTTCTTCATTCGAACATTTCCAACATGGTTGGTCTTCAGGTGTTCAAGTAATTCTGACAGAGATGAAAATAAGCAAGATGTCACTTTTTTTATCCATGTTATTTTGTAAGTACAGAGAGACTTAGGTATCTCAAATATTTCTTTCTCGAATACCATGGATATGTTGTAGTGAGCTGGAAGTTATAATTCTTTTTTTATGTACATGTATTTAAACCTTAATATCTCAAATCCTCAGGTATCTCAGAGCTTTTCTCTGCTCAGATAACAAGATTTGACCCTATATGATTATCTTCTATATTGAACCCTTGTGCAATTTCAACTCTACAATATCTGTGCTACATCACAATATATATATATATATATATATATTAGGGATGTCAACGAGTACCCGGTTAACCGGGTACTCGATCGAACGTCCGAGTATCGAATACTAAAAATGGTACTCGGTTACTCGGAAATATATTTTTTTCTTATTTCAAAGTACATATTTTTATCAAAAACTTATCAAAAAATTATTAAATATTCATACGGTAATTAGCGTGTCGTCATCTACACCTGTAAAACACCCATTATCGCCTGTGGCTGTGTATATACAGTAATTAATGACCAATCATCTGGTACTCAGCTTTTCTCACCTAATGACACCTATTGTGGTCCTTAATTTTTGGATGGCTTCAAAGATTGTTTTCAGTAAACCTTGTTTAAGTATGGTCTATTATATTCAAATCGTTTTTAAATTATTTAATTAATATACGGTAGCGAAATCAGACATGCATAGAAATACCGCTACCCACTTCAAAAGTGATGAAATATTTAGAAATAACTTAAAGATTTTAAAAAATTTGAAAGTCAGTTTGCGTAGTAGGTTTAGTGGGAAACAACCAAATTATGGAATAATATTAGATTAGCGATCCCAACAATGTCTTTTCCTTCTCTTTCCTTTGTCTAACATCACAAAACTGCGTTACAGATTGTCCTTTTGCGTTGATGAAATAGATCCTAAACAAGAAATGTAAACCATTTTTTTTTAATGTATTAATTGTGTCTTTTGAGTTTATTTGATAAATAAATTTGGTACCAAAAAATCACTTGCCTTTCACTCAGTTGTTTATATACATTTATAAACATGATAAAACAGCTTTGGGATTTAACAGAGCTTAACCGGGCTCAAGAAAATTAACACATTGTCTTGTATTTTCATTTTTACCGAGTACCCGGGTACTCGATCGGAAAAACGTCCGAGTAACCGATTATCAAAAATTGACCGATTTGACATCCCTTATATATATATATATATATATATATATATATATATATATATATATATATATATATATATATATATATATATGAAGCATTTTTTTTTTTTTACTTCAGCATATAGCTTTATTAGATATCTCTACTTTGTCCCAAATTAGCAGAATAAAAACTGAAACTTCAGCATTCATCTCCATCTTTATATTTTTTGCAAAAAAGGTAACCTCACTCTGTACGCTTGTTTTTTTTCTTATTTTCCAAAAAATTTCTTGACAATGCTGGGTTGTCCAGCATAATAATTCAGGTTCAAATACTCTTTTCTTGATTAAACTTGAATTAGGAGCATTAATGTATATTGACTTTTAAAATAGTTTTTAAGGGTTGACTAAATTGAATAAAATATTTTTAAGAATTCAAATTTGACCATGGAAATAAAGTGCCCCGCCGAAGCATGATACGCCCGTCAAATATTGTTCAATTATCACAAACAGTTTAGAGTGCAAGAAAATCAAGTCAACCTTGATACAAGGATTTCCAAGATTTGTCCATTTCTTATAATTTTTGTTTATACATTTCCTGTGGTGTAGGCATTATAACAAATATTACATTATAGATCCTCAACTGGTAGTGTTAGAGCTTGACAAATGCCCATCTGCAGCCCCCCCCCCCCCCCCCACACACACACACAGTGACACACACACACACACACATCTTTCATATTTGTGAGACATGATGCTCTGAAATTTACTAGTTGATATTTTCAAAAAATCAAATAAGAATATCATATTAAACAATATCAATTTAGTCTTAACAACTTAATCTATATTATTATTTTAAAATAAAAGACTGGCCATCAAATGACATATGCTATAAACTGACCAGCAGTTCTTCTGTCTAATTCCCAGAGGATACAGATAAGAGCTGCTTGATCAGAGATCCTCTAACTGAAATGATTGAGACAGCTAGCCTTCCTACACTGAACTCATTAATTAATCTTTAACTGGATGCATGTCCACTCATTACTCCCAAGGGATGAATGGATCTGTGCTATCTGCTTTGTATTGCAATTAAAATGCATATTTATGTTATTCTGAATTTAAATTTGAAAACGAAGATTTTTTTTTTTCAATTTGTTACAAAGATTTATAAAAAGAAAAAAAAAATTGTAATTTTGATGCAACATTTTTAATAAGGTTTCTGCTTGACTCTTAGATTTGTAGGGACTATCTACCATAATTAAAACTTTTTTTTTTAATACTTGTTGTTTTTTTTTTTTAGATTCAATGTCAGAGTGGTTTAAAGCTGCAATTCATATGGACGACGGGCATGCTAATTCATATTCCAATATCATACACCCCCCCCCCCCAGTATAATTAGTTTTAATTAATTAGTTTATGATACGTACGATATCAAATGAGTTTATTATACAATATCAAATTAGTTTTAATTACTTTTCACTAAATTCATTTTAAAAGTTAGGCTAGCCCACAAAAACTATTTAATCCAACATGGCTGATTCCTCTGCCCAATTCCCAAGAGATATAGATAACACCTGCTTGATCAGAGATGCTCTACCAGTTAGCTCCTCATACTAAACTCATTAATTTCTCTTTAATTTGACATGCAATTTTCTGTTAACAAAATTCTCCTTGACCAGTGCTTGATAATTACACCCATGGGAGAGGTGGAATTTCTCTTGTAACATTATATTTGTTATAGATTGCTGTAAAGTATATAATGAAAAAAATAAGTATTTTCTTGATTTTAACATTTTTTTAATAAGGATACTGCAACACTTTCACATTTTTTGGGATTGTGTAATTTAATAGTAAAAAGACAGTTTTTTTTTAAAAATTTCAGTTAAATTAAAGGTCACAGTGACCTTGAAATAGGTCGCGACACACCTTCTACCTAAGATGCATAAACTTGGATTCTAAGTCCAATAGTTTTCTAGTTATGAGGTGGACAGGATTTTTCCATATTTGGCCATAGCATCTTAATTAAAGGTCAGAACGACCTACTTTTAGTGCGCAACACACCTTCTACCCAAGAAGTATCAGCTGAAAAAGTTTGATAATCCTAGGCCTAATAGTATTAAAGTTATGAGCCGGACACGAGAAAAGCTAACATACAGACAGACGGACGGACATGAACGCCATAATATAATACGTCCCGTCTAAAGACGGGCGTATAAAAATAAATACACCAGACACCAAATTACCTTGAAATGGCATTGACTGATAGTGGCGATAGTTACGTTTAAGGGACCACCATTTTCCTCGCAACCACTGTGGTGATCTTACACTACAAAGTAAAAGGAGAAATGAGGGTAACACATGTACTCTTCTACATACGTGCTGATTATGAAAGTACCAGGTATGCTTTAATGGTAGTTAAAGAACCTACATGTACAATGAAATACATACATTTACAACTTTTTTTTATTAATAATGACAGAAAATACTTTGATTACAGATGAGTGGCAATTTAGTGCACTTTTCAAAGTCTGAATTTTTAATCTCAAAATATGCATATTTCAAAAGTGAGGGCAGATAAGCAAGCATATTCCAAGATTTTCAAATCCCAGATTTCGCAATAAATGCCTTATGGATACAATTTTATTTTGCACATTAAATAGTTAAACAAAATGCAAGTCTGAAGTTGTCAGACCTGGACTGTACAAAAATACATGCAAGTGATACATGTAATGTATTTTCTTTTTACCTGGGCCAGTTATCCGCCAGTTCTTTCCAGTCAATCTCTGTGTCATTGGCAACACCAAGATTAGAAATTCTGAAGAAAAGAAACAGACACATTCAATTTATTTTACAGCTCTTATTGAAACTAAAGATAAATTTAGGTACCTTACATGTAAATGCATATATACATGTACATGTATGTCAAGTGAGATCTCAGTCTAACCTACAGTTGAAGTTCAAGTTTCAACTTTGTTATTTTGAACACAGGGATATCTTCAAGTTTTCAGCCAGTCCTGCTTCGTTAACTAATGACATTAATCTGAACAAGAAAATGATTATCACTGCCTTCTCTTTAGCATGAGTTCCAAACTCTCATACCGACTTCAGTTTTTTTATGAAAAAAATATAGCTTATAGTGTCCTATAAATGCCAATCAGAATTTGCTATATCTAAAAGACCCTTCAAAATCTGCCAGTACCCAGCACTGGTACTTTACCCAGCTGAAATCCTGATTGTGCCACCTAAAATATTCCTTACAGAAAAATTTGATAACATATCCATTTAAAATTGCTTCCACAAGGTACCTCCTATTTTGTTAAAAGTACCACCTGTTTCTAATCATTTTGAAAGCCCTCTTAACAAATTCAAATGCAAGCTCCATGCTTCTTCATACATAGATACAATGTACATAAAAAAAGAACAATTTATTTTCTTTTCTATGCACTTTTCGACTAATTTTGAACCAAACATAAGCACTTGTAAGAATAAAAGCCGAGTATTCTTTCAATCCTAAAAGACAATATCAATCACCTCATGATGAGGTTCATGTCATCCTCCCGTGTCCACTCTGTGCCTCCCTTTTGTTTCCAGTTCATGTAGTTCAGCCATTTTGTTCTACACTGCTTTTCTGACCTTGTGGCAACTTTCTCTGCCACATTGGACCATGAAAGACCTGAGGTTACACTTTCACCTGGGAAAGAAAGAAAAACCATACAATTGTGAATTTAAAATGTTGGAAAACAGAATAAGTCCAAGTTTCATTGCACGATAATTGAGTGTACATGTGTAATGGTTTGGGCTGTGGATATCAGCCTGGATAGCTCGGTTGGTAGAGCACCTGACTAGTGATGCAGGGGTCCCGGGTTGGATTCTCAGTCCAGCCATACATTTTCTCCTTTCCTGTTAAAGATTTGGTGCCGCTGACACCCCCCCCCCTCCCCCCCGGACTTGCAGGTGAAAGTCCTGCCAGGGGCAAATAAGAACTTGGGTTGTGTCTTGGAGGGCGAAGACAATTTAAGGAGGGAGGAATGTAATGGTTTGGGCCGTGGATCAGGGATGGGGTAATCGTAATCGAGTAATCGTAATCGATTGTAATGATTACTGTTTTTCAAGTAATCGACAGTAATCTGTAATCAAAGAGATTTTCGATTACTTGTAATCGTAATTTAATCGATTACAGCTAAAATTTTCAATGTAATTATAATTACTTTTTCGATTACTTTCGATTATTTTATGCATAAATGGATGTTATTTTGAAGAATTATTTCCAGTCAGTCACACATAAATATCAAATATAAACCACCTTGTGTAATGTTTGGATTTCCTAACTTTTTTTATCACAAGTTTAATCATGTTCTCAATAAAATTTGCATTATAGACCTACTGGTCTAGTATTAAATAATTCAGAAGTGTATTTCAACCATTTATTAATAAAATATACAGATTTTTCATGTGCATTTTACATTTGACCCACTGTCCTCTTGCTGCATGTCCTTTTTCATATTTCAGATGTTGAAAAACTTCGTCTTGTAATAGAAAATTATAAATAACAAAAACAGATTTAAGTGCTGTATAAAATATAAATAATTTGGTAAATAAACTACATTGTACTCGAAAAAAAAGAAGATGGAAATACTTATTCATATCTGAAAATGTTTAAACAACTTCAAGCTTGTGTTTCAGTAACTTTAAAATTTATTGCAAAATCACTCTCATGTTTTCATTTAAAATTGTAAGGTTGCTTTTATATCAGCGAGAGCTAGGTTATAAGTGTCTGTAAGAGAGGGAGTAAGTGTCACTGTGTTGGCTTATCTTAATTGGCTAATTAATCGACTAAGACATATCCCTGATTGCAGATAATGAGGTGTAAACTGTGAACTACCTAGTGTTTAACTTTCATTCCGTTGAAGACAAACAGTATTATTAAAACAATTAATAGCTCTCAAAACACTTATTTCAATACAGAATGAAATTGTGCTACATATATTAGTTAAATTACTTAAGGACACATTTAATTTACATGTTTATTACTAAGAGCTCATTCTAATTTACTTATTTTTTGAAAAAAGACACGTACAGGAATGTTTAATGTGTACTGTCAACATACGGGCAGCCCAAATACTTCTAATGTAGTAATTCACAATAAAATATTAAATAATTTTTTCAACAAGTCAATAAATATTGAGGTTCAGATCTAAAGTTGAAAGGAATAATTAATTCCTTGGCATATTTTATTGTAGGAATCATGTCTCCACTATAAGTAGAGAATCCCTCATTTGGGCATTTAGTGAGAATGTTGGCCAGAATAAAACCTTAAAAGAATCTGCACTAAAACTGCAGGAACACATTCAAACTTCAGTGGATAACATCAACATTTACCATTTAAATATTGCTCTGATATTTGAAGAGATAAAAACTTGGAAGTAATTGATTATTAATCGATTACATCTTCCAAAGTAATCGATTACAATCGATTACGGGACAAATATGAGTGTAATCGATTAATAATCGATTACACAAAATTCCTCTAAGTAATCGATTATTAATCGATTACATTTTTCAGTAATCGTGCCCATCCCTGCCGTGGATATGGGCCGGGGTAGCTCAGTCAGTAGAGCACTTGACTAATGAGCAGGGGTCACAGGTTCGATTCCCGGTTCAGCCACATATTTTCTCCTTTCCTGTTACACATGTAAATATGTACAATTAATTACACTCTCCTTGAATTTTTCAATTATAGTTTCTTTATTCTTATACTAAATTGTTAAGTATACCACTCTTTTTTCTAGAATTTTACCCCCATTTTTGTAATATTTACGTGACTTGGTACAACGTTACTATCTGACCTTGTTTGGCTCCTGTTAACTCATACACAGCATCACATAATCTTCTTTCTTCTTCTGGTAGCCATTTCCCTGTAGCAGTAATTCAAGTACATGTATCATACAGCTAAGATTAGGAAACTTACAACAAACCAAAAGATGACAAAATTTGATAAATAATGAGAGAAAAAAAGATCAATAGTTTGAGTATCATGATAAGTGATGTACAATCTACTTTGTTTATACTTTTATCAATCATTATTCAGGATCAAAAGACCATGTTTATGTACATGTATTTGTTTTAAATTTTTATTATTTGTGTATAATGTACTTATGACTTTACACATTTTCAACAGTAAAATACTGTAATTTAATTATTGAATAAAAGTGATTTTTTTTTAACAGTATTACCTGAGTTGCATGAGTCTTTCATCAAACGACATTTATCCTTCACTGAGGATGCACTTCTTCCTAAGGCCTGACCGATGGTGGCCCAATCATTACCATACATCTTACGCAATCTGAAATGCAAATTTATATTAGCATTAAAGCATGTACAAGAAGTAATGCACAATTTATTGACACCCATTTGAAGAAAAAAAAAATCTGATTTCATGACATTTACCGATAAGTATTTTCTTGAGTTTATCATTGTGCATGTATTTTACCGATATTTTTTAAGCTTTAAGATACTCACTCTTTGAGCAGGGTGATTTCCTCCAGGGTGTATTTTCCCATATAATTTTTCTGGTCATACATTCTGGTCACCCTTCTGTACACAGAAAACAGGGGTCTCATCAAACCTTTAGCAACCGTGCGGTAGAAGTTTTTCCGCTCATCTTTAGACATTTCAAATATAATTTCTGTTGGGTCAGCAATGTTATGCTCCTGAAAAAGCCCATTGATAGAGGGTTAATGCTAATCAGGATCAAATTACAAATATACTATCATTTCTTTTTTAAAAAAATTTACTTTTGATACATTTTATAAAGAACTAGTGATACAAATACAATTCAACTTCAGTATTTTGATTATTTATATTGAATACTTAAGAAAGGAACATCATAGACTCAGGCAGTGAGCATCCCTAATACAAACATAGGTAATCAAAGATTACGAAGCTCACCTCGACGAATGTTATCTACATGTAAAGCAAATTTCACATCATATTTTTTTTCTAGTTAGGGTACATCCCAAGATCAATGTCCATGCAAGTTTGATTTAATTATAGACCTGCTCAAAAAACTTTTGACCTGTTTAGTAATCAAGAAAATTTTGGTCACTTCCAACATCCAAAGCAAGTCTGGAAGTTTTCATTCTTAGATGCACCATCTATGCAAGTTTAATCATAACAGGCCATAATATTATATAGCTACTCCAAAAAATTACCCTGGTCACTCATCTGGAAAATGTACATCAGATTCAGAATCCAAGGCAAGTCTGGAAGTGTCCATCCCTAGATACATCATCCATGCTAATTTGGTAAAAATATGGCTAAAATTCACTCATGTGGAAAATCTAGGTCAGATCCAGCATTCGAAGCAGGTTGGTTAGTGTACATCCCTAGATGCATCATCCATGAAAGTTTGGTCCAGGTAGGGCTTATAGTTACTTGGAAACGAGACTACTCCTAAATCTAAACCTGGTCTCACATGTGGAAAATCTAGGTCAGATCCAGCATCCGAAGCAAGTGTGGTAGTGTCCATCCCTGGATGCATCATCCATGCAAGTTTGGTCCGGGTAGGGCTTATAGTTACTTGGGAATGGACCTGCTCCTAAAACTTTAACCTGGTCACTCATCTGGAAAATCTAGATCAGATCCAGCATCCGAAGCAAGTGTGGCCATGTCCATCCCTAGATACATCATCCATGCAAGTTTGGTCAAGGTAGGGCTTATAGTTACTTGGGAATGGACCTGCTCCTTAAACTTTAACCTGGTCACTCATCCGGAAAATCTAGGTCAGATCCAGCATCCGAAGTAAGTGTGGCCATGTCCATCCCTAGATGCATCATCCATGCAAGTTTGGTCCAGGTAGGGCTTATAGTTACTTGGGAATGGACCTGCTCCTAAAACTTTAACCTGGTCACTCATCTGGAAAATCTAGATCAGATCCAGCATCCGAAGCAAGTGTGGTAATGTCCATCCCTAGATGCATCATCCATGCAAGTTTGGTCCGGGTAGGGCTTATAGTTACTTGGGAATGGACCTGCTCCTAAAACTTTAACCTGGTCACTCATCCGGAAAATCTAGGTCAGATCCAGCATCCGAAGCAAGTGTGGTAGTGTCTATCCCTAGATGCATCATCCATGCAAGTTTGGTCAAGGTAGGGCTTATAGTTACTTGGGAATGGACCTGCTCCTAAAACTTTAACCTGGTCACTCATCTGGAAAATCTAGGTCAGATCCAGCATCCGAAGCAAGTGTGGTAGTGTCCATCCCTAGATGCATCATCCATGCAAGTTTGGTCCAGGTAGGGCTTATAGTTACTTGGGAATGGGACTTGCTCCTAAAACTTTAACCTGGGACGCCGACGCTAACGCCGACGCCGACACCGACGCCGACGCCGGGGGTATAGCATAAGCTCATCTCGACTTCGTCGAGGTGAGCTAAAAACTAATCTTAACTTTGATGTCTGAAACTCTCAGGTTCATGTATCTCGAAGTTTTAAGATCAGTTTGTGAAACTGCTGTTTGACTGCAATGTCACTCTCATCATAATACCAACCTTACAGTAATTATTTATGTTGGTCTGCAATATCTCCACCTCTTCATTGGTCCACTGACCTTGTTTCCAGCTGGCTCCTATAAAAAATGTTCAACTTTGACACGTTTTTATACACATATTCATAAAATAATTAGTTTTTTTATAAACTTATAATGCAAAGTTTTCAACTACATTTGTCCAAGGCCTTTGCTAAAATCCTGTATTTTATCATGAATGCCAACTATACATTTTTTGAAGATTTAATAAGTTTTTCTTAGATTTACTGTTCAGGGATGACCATTTTCTAGCTTATTCACCTGTATTGTGGAGTGCCTGTTTGTCATCACGTGTTGTGAACCAAGCTTGATTGATGTCTGATTTCTGTTTGACAGCGGTCGTCTTCTGTGGGGGCACAGTACCACTGGCTACTGAGGAAGTTACCTGTTAAAACAAGACTGTGAATTACATATGGAAAAGGAACCTAAAGCAGGTATAGGAAGGTAGACAATTATTTGAAATTGCATTAACTTGGGCTCTTGGATGAAAAAGAAAGTGAGGAAAACCAAAGAACACCTGGATGTGCACAGTAGGGAGAGAGAGGAGCTGGGGTGGAACAGTTGGAGGGGAGTGCAGGTTGTTGCCAGTGACCATTGCAAGTGGGGTCAATTGTTGAAAGGCCTCGTGAGTCCTCCAGGGCAATGAGAAGATAGCAAGTAATTATTTAGGGTACTGGATGTGGGAACAGATTAGCATTCACCCACTCTCCAATGGCAAGTAGAGGTAAGAAAGACTCACCCAAGTGACCAAAAAAAAGTTTACTTGCTCATTAGTAAATTCAAAATATATATGGAACATTTATCTAATAATATCATTTTAATGTTCAGCCCCAACATTCTGGTTGCACTCCTAGAATATAATTTTTTGTTTGGGGCTTAGTGGCTCCTTTTTTCCTCATTGTAAAAAAAGTTAGACTATATTCCTGATGATTTAGTATAAAGTGTTTTCTGATTTTTTTTTTTTTCCGAAGCTCAGCTGAAATGTTGAATACAGAATGAAAGAAATAATCCAAATATCTTTCTGTAATTTAAGTAATTTAAATGCTTCAAATTTCAAGGCATCATTCAAATTAACAAAATACACATAAAAATTGAAAAATTCTTTTCAAGCATAAAATACTTGGTATCAATATTTTGAAATTAAAAAATCATATTTTACCCAAACAGAATGAGGATCATTCTACAATTTATAACTGCCTTCATGTTCACAAATAGACAGTATCTACATTTGTGAAATATATATCTCAAATACTGATACTTTTTTAAAAGCTCTTTTAACAAATAGGGCATTCAATATCTGCATTAATCATTCTTCCTACATGTACAATATCCTTTTTTAAGTTTTAAGTGTTTTCAGTTAAAATTCTTTAAATAAACACAAAGATATTGATCTTTATCAGGATTTCTCTATCGAACTGATATCTTTTCTTCCTGCCTAGTGCATGTAGTGTATTTTAACAAACAAAAAAATAAAATAAATAAATAAAAATTCAGTAGTATAAACATTTTTTTTCCCCACAAATCTGAGCCAAAATCATAAAAAATGATCCAATTTATATAAATTTATTTATATACATGTATAAATATTCACTCTAGAACAAATCTTTATCACATATTTCAAATGAAAATAAATCTCTAGAACTTTACTTGGGGACATGTCATTGAGTATGTTATTAAACTATTACCAGGTACACCTGCTGCTCTGCTGCACTCTTTTCATGCTTTATGCTGACTGCTGTGTTTCCCTCATCTGCGACTGCCACGATGTACGACTCTCCGTCAATTCGTATCTTCTTTGCATCTGGTTCATCAGATTCCATGCCCAGAGAAGCTAAGAATGACAAAATCTAATTATAACAAACTCAAAAGATGTTAACAATAATCTAATTTCAGATATTTTACCAAAAAAAATGCCTTCAAAACCAAGATGACTATCTCAGGAAATAAATTATTTCATTTCTCTCTGATAGAATTTCACACTACCGGTACAGTGTATATCTATTGATCTTATAGCCTGAAAACTCTGCATCTATTTTTATAGAAAAATCAGATTGCTTGTATGTATATGGAAACTCTAAATAACTCTTTTAACTTTATACATATTGTGATCTTTAAAAGTATACCTGCAGCATCGCCAGACAAAATAATATATCCACCATCACCCAGCCCATTCTCCATCTGAAAGACATTTTCTACTGGCAAGACTCCACTGGCATTTTCTTCATCCATCTGAACCACAATAGAATTGGTGTCTCTATCAATTTTCTGCTCACTATGGTCAGTTATCTGGCTAGATACTACATCACTAGTGATATTAACTTCATGTTTTAAGTCATTCTGTATGGTGACATGCTGCTCCTCTCTGGTTGAACTTGTTGAAGGCTCTGATTCTTTGATAATATTCTCATTTTGAGCTATTTCTGTATATCCTACTTCCAATACTTCACCATGGTGTAGATTTGCTAAGTCTGATTCCGATATATCAACTGGAGTGAGGCACACTTCCGATTCCATCCTGCAAGAGAACAAGAGTTTTATATGAAACAAATGCTTCAAAACTATGGAACATCACCTCCCCCCTTTCACAGCTACTCTTGCTTGGAAATTTGTAAAGAAATGTGATGATTATACTAGTAACTTAATTTGCTTCATAACAAACTGAATAATTTTATCTGAATTTTGTGATAATGATTACACAGCCATGATGAAAGGCAACATAACTCTGTAGCAACCTCTATTGAAAATAGTATGTTGCTATGCCATGTCTTGAAATGACAGCTGAAAAACCTGCCAGGGATGACCCTCGGTTGGTGTCTTTTGGGGTAATCATAAAGAATGTAACTGGCTTGGAGAGAAAATGTGATGGACCAGATCAGGATTCAAATTTGGGCCTATCTAAACCATTGGTCAGCTGCTCTACCAACTGAGCTATCTGGCCACCTGTTATTAATTCCTGCATATACTTAAAGATCTCTGCCCCTGAAGACACCAACCATACTCTTCCCTAGCAGGTTTTTCATGTGTCACTTCAAGGGCATGTTCATGGCACCAAAAGTAAAAAGCGAGCTGGAGAAAAATGTGACATACCAGATCAGGATTTGGACCCAGGCCCCATGAACCACTTGTCAAGTGTTCTATCAACTGAGCTATTTGGCAACAAGTGATAGAACCTGCCTGACTGCCACAGACATTTAAAGAAAGGAGGAATGTGGCAGTCAGGCAAGTTTGATCATTGTTGGCCAGATAGCTCAGTTGATAGAGCATCTCTCTAGAGCATGTAGAGTGCAGGGGTAAAGGGTTTTTTTTAAGTGTTCGCATGTTTAAGAGCTAGAGACGTGTCACTTGCAATAATTTAGTTCCATTTGTTGTAAAGCTTGCCAATTATAACCCCCACCACCTCCCTACAACAGACGCCCAAGTTCTAGACACTTTTTTCAGAATTCATCGTAAGTGGTTTTCGTTTAGCTCGTACGTTTATACAGCTTTAACGATGCATAATTTATAGGGATTTCCTTTGACACTGTACACCTTTATCATAAAAAACTTTTTGATCCGCCTTCGATGAAAAATGTTCAAACCTACCAATAAGTCGTTTCGGCCGCCATTTTGACATTCCAAGCATTAATACAAAATTAAAATTATCATATAATTCTACAAAAATATTAGCTATGACCACTAAGCAGATAATTACAACAAGGACACACTTGATTCACTCACTAAACAAAACCCACGTGCCAAAACTACCTGATTTGTTTTCGTACGGGTGTTTCAGCAAGGACCAGGATGAACAAGTGCCAGGATGGTGTTTCTTCGCGGATGAATATCACCATGGAAAGTACCTGTTCGGCTCCACTAATTTCAATAAAAATAAATAGAAAAACTTCTTTGGACGCATATTTTTTATTTCTTTTAAAAATGAAAATTTCTGACTTGTTTAAACCGATGGTTTATTTTTTGAAATAAGAAAACCAAAGCCCTTTGTAATGATGCGCATTAATGTAGCGATAAAGTGATTAACATAAGGAAGAGTCTATTACTTAACCAGTCAGGCAGTTCGGAAAAACAAATTCCGGTATGACTCTAGATTATGTAATTGGAGAGGGAAGGCCTAACCCGATTGAATTGAATGACCTAATAGTTTATGTGTTTTTCATATAGATGTTGTAAAATCCTTTTTAGTCTAGGTATCATTAAGTAAGGCAATTATTTGAACTTAGGTAAGGAAACTGCTTATATAATTTTAAAAAAGCACAAATATAAATTAATGGAATGGAATTAAGAATATTAAAGAATGGATTAAAATAGCTAAAAAAAAAACCCTGTCCGCATCCACCAATCAACAAAGGACCCCAATCTCACCCCCGAAAACTAAACAAAGGCAGTTTAGAACTTGGTTATCAATTTCAAGCAGGTATATAAGGGAGTCCATTTGTTTCTTTCTGGCACGTTGTATCATCTTTGAAAAAAAAACGAGGGGAGGAGGGGAAGAAAACAAAGGCAACTTGCTTAAAATAACTTTGACAAACCAACAAAAGAAAAAAAGAAGGGGGGGGGCAAACTCGAAAATCTTTTGTTGTGTGTATGTGTGTGTGTGTGTGTGGGGGGGGGGGGGGGGGGTTAAGGTTAAGTCTTCTTTCACAGCAAAATAATGTTTATACTTATTCATACACATTTGCCTAGTTTGCCTATACTGCCAAAAAAAAAGTGGTGGGCTAGGCAGCTTTTCAACGAACATTTTAAACAGTAAAAGGATGTATCCCCTCCCCGCCCCGTGATATACTACGACCCTGTACATGTATTTATTAAGGAAACGGAACAAAAATACTAGTACATCTGATTTACACATGAAATAAACATAAAATATAAGTGAAAGTAACGGTTAAGCAGAACATAAACGGTCACTTTCATAGCTATCCCAGGTTGGTTAAATCCTTATCCAGTCTGGAAGGAATAAAAACCATTTGCTAAGAACATAATCCGCTCAGGTAGAAACATTATCAAGTAACTTTTAAAACCTAAAACTGAACCTAAAACATTCAGTTTGAAACCTTACCAAGTCGGGCAGAAATTATGAATAAGGCAAATTAGAAACCTAATCCACTCATGCAGGAACTGCAAATAGTCAGTTTAGAATGTAACCCAGTCAGGCAGAAACATGAACAAGTCAGTGAAGAACCTAACCCAGTAAGGCAGAATCATAAACAGTCAGTTAAGAACCTAGGCAGGAACATAGAACTGTCAGTTTAGAACCTAACCCAGTCAGGCAGAAACCTAACCCACTCAGGCAGACTTATAAAACAGTCAGTTTAAAACCTAACCCAGTCAGGCAGAAACCAAACCCACTCAGGCAGAGTCATAAAACAGTCAGTTTAGAACCTAACCACTCAGGCAGAATCATAAAACAGTCAGTTTAGAACCTAACCCAGTCAGGCAGAAACCAAACCCACTCAGGCAGAGTCATAAAACAGTCAGTTTAGAACCTAACCACTCAGGTAGAAACCTTACCCACTCAGGCAGGGTCATAAAACAGTCAGTTTAGAACCTAACCACTCAGGCAGAATCATAAAACAGTCAATTTAGAACCTAACCCAGTCAGGCAGAAACCTATCCCAGTCAGGCAGAATCATAAAACAGTCAGTTTAGAACCTAACCACTCAGGCAGAAACCTTATCCACTCAGGCAGAGTCATAATACAGTCAGTTTAGAACCTAACCACTCAGGCAGAAACCTTACCCAGTCAGGCAGAGTCATAAAACAGTCAGTTTAGAACCTAACCACTCAGGCAGAATCGTAAAACAGTCAGTTTAATTAGAACCTAACCACTCGGGCAGAAACCTTACCCACTCAGGCAGAGTCATAATACAGTCAGTTTAGAACCTAACCACTCAGGCAGAAACCTTACCCACTCAGGCAGAGTCATAAAACAGTCAGTTTAGAACCTAACCACTCAGGTAGAAACCTTACCCACTCAGGCAGAGTCATAAAACAGTCAGTTTAGAACCTAACCACTCAGGCAGAATCATAAAACAGTCAATTTAGAACCTAACCCAGTCAGACAGAAACCTAACCCAGTCAGGCAGAATCATAAAACAGTCAGTTTAGAACCTAACCACTCAGGCAGAAAGCTTATCCACTCAGGCAGAGTCATAAAACAGTCAGTTTAGAACCTAACCACTCAGGCAGAATCATAAAACAGTCAGTTTAGAACCTAACCCAGTCAGGCAGAAACCTATCCCAGTCAGGCAGAATCATAAAACAGTCAGTTTAGAACCTAACCACTCAGGCAGAAACCTTATCCACTCAGGCAGAGTCATAATACAGTCAGTTTAGAACCTAACCACTCAGGCAGAAACCTTACCCGGTCAGGCAGAGTCATAAAACAGTCAGTTTAGAACCTAACCACTCAGGCAGAATCATAAAACAGTCAGTTTAGAACCTAACCACTCAGGCAGAAACCTTACCCACTCAGGCAGAGTCATAAAACAGTCAGTTTAGAACCTAACCACTCAGGCAGAATCATAAAACAGTCAGTTTAGAACCTAACCACTCAGGCAGAGTCATAAAACAGTCAGTTTAGAACCTAACCACTCAGGCAGAATTAAAACAGTCAATTTAGAACCTAACCCAGTCAGGCGGAAACCTAACCCAATCAGATAAGTAGTGTCTGGAGTATAAATATCAAAATACTAGTATATCATTGAATAAACAACTGGTTCTTTATATGCAACAATTGGTCTTGTTAAAGCTGAACACAACTCTTAAATAGGCTTAATTAAGCCATATTATTTTTCTTGTTTCCTATGTCAGCACTGGAACCCACACCTGACTAATTTAACCTGGTCACTGTTGGGTGTAGTGCATGTATTTTTTGTTTACATTTTGTTTTATTGAGGGTGCATTTATGTTTATTTTACTTTGTAATGCATTGACCAGTGCAACTGACATCGAATATCTTTGGTAATTATTTTTCTTGAAGTGGCAGAGGCACACAGATGTCATTTCTGTTGTGTCCATCATAATGACATGAAAGAGATGTCTGTTCAGGTAAACTCTGTAAAGCTAAATACATTGAACATGTTTTCTGTGCTTTCTACATCTTTATTCTTAAATTCTCCCATATCATTCTTGAGGTGTTGATTTCTCAAAGTTCAATTTTCACCATTTAAGGACAGTGCAATTATAGACTTACTCTGTTGTCCAATCCACTCAGTATATTTGTATTTTATATTTCACTTTATAATCACAATTCGTGTGTATAAAAAGGAAGTTTTTTTTTTTAAATCACCACCTTTTTCTTTAATTTGAACTGAAAATGAACACAAGAAAATCTACAGAAGTTCATAACTTTATAGTTTTCAATCCGTTTTGTATTCTCTGTGTACATTACTACATCATTCATCAAGTGAATTATAAAGGCCTAAAACAATAAAATTACAGTCAAACTTTGATACCTCGGACTCAACAGAACTGAGAAGAAACTTGGAGGAATTGAGAGACCAATGATGAAATATAAATACAAAAAAGTGACTGAAACTTCCACTTTGAATTATCCATGGTATTTGAGATATCAGTGTTCAAAATACTGAAGTTCAACTGTACTTAGAGTTCCCTTAATCCCCCAGTCAGGTTCTTAATGAAGCAAAATATAATCTAACAAACATGTAGTAATGTGAGTGAGGTTACATCAAATTCTTCAAATAATAAACAACATAATATTATACAGTTATGGAATGGGTATGAGGGAAATAGCAAATTTATGGTTCCCCAAGGGAGGAAACTATTTCCCGAGGCAGCGAAGCCGCCGAGGGAAACAGTTTCCTACCGAAGGGAACCATAAATTTGATATTTCCCAAGTACCCATTCCATAACTGTTTTATTATACCGAAACAATCATGGGAGATTTATTAAACTAGAGACTCAGACATTTTTAAAAACAATACAGAGGTATTTAAATAATCACAATTGCATATGATCAAAAATACTGTAAGATAACTAATGCATCAATACCGAGGAAAATAGAATTATTAAAAAAAATATAAAATAATTTCACTGACACTTCGAAGGATTATTGTTGCCTTCAGTTTGCTAGAATATTTCAGTATGATTTTGACATCGCATGTCGAAATGTTTTGACGTCATACTTACATTGCTAATAACATTACGTCACAGACTCGAGATTCCTTGAATGCTCCGCCCACTGTTCATTTTAATTGGTTAAAATTATTAATATTCATGAGGGAGTAGTCCCAGGGAGTAGCTCCGATTTTTCAGGGAGTATTCCTCAGATGCGGGAAATAGTATCTTCTCAGGGAAATAGACAGTTTTATGGTATTAATTTTATATAGAGTAATAACAGTAGAGGTATAATAATAAAATCTACAGTACAATGTTCTCTGTGTACACTTCTAGATCTTTCATTAGAATGGATTATATAGGCCTAAAATCAGTAGAATTTCGTGTTAAATGCTTCAGCCAATTTCCTTGAACAAAGTTGCCCATGTGGCACAGTAGTAAGAGCGTCCGCTCTAGAGTCACAAAGTAAGGAGTTGATCCTTACGTCATGGGTTCGAATCCCACTGTGGGACATGGATACCAGTCCTTCGGATGAGACTGTATAAACCAAGGTCCTGTGATACAGTAGGTGCTGACACAAAAAAGATCCCTCACTGCTCAATGGCCCCGAGTGCCGAGTACAGGTCAAAATTTGCAGCTCTCCACCAGCAAGTGGTGGCGTCTCCATATCAGTGAAAAATTCTCAAGAGGGACGTTAAACAACAAACAAACAAACAAACGATCAAAGTCTTTATGTACATGAAAATAATTAAATTATGAAAACAGAGCTTCTAACAAAATCTTCTATGAAATATACATGATGTAATACAAGAATTATATCTACAATACAACACACATGCACACATACATCTTTAACAATGATATGCTATACTATATACAGTGTTCAGTTTGTTTTACGATGTAAAGCTAATCTCAGCATCTTCTTAAAAATTATTGACAGGCTGGTTTCTTTCAAGCACTGGCACCAAGTGAAAAGAAGACGTTCACAGTAGGATTTAAACATTAATTAGCCCCAAAAAATGCAGATCAATAAGAGACAAGTATAAATCTGGTACAATAATACTGATTGTGCATCATAAAATGATATACATGTCACTGACATTGAAGAACAATAAATTGCATAAACACAATGAAAGTGCTGAAATTTTTAACTACATTTGATTTACAGCGAGTTGGCAATAAATAAACAAAACATTTCACTAAAACATAAAATCTCAATCGACTTATGGACCAGAATTTTTTTACACTACAATGATTATAAATATAGACTGGTGACTAGAAACCAAAATGTCTTAGATTTATACATAAGACTTATACATAGAATAGTGTAGCTAATCTTTCTGATCAAATTCTACAGCTGCATGCTGAGAATATGACAGACGATTTGGTGACAATAATTGACCTGCATGCCAACACTTTCACTGAAAGGGAGTGAATATTCCCTCGTAAGTGCAAACATGCTATATGTACATTTGCAATGCAACTGATTTGTTGTTTGTGATCTTAGTTAATCATACTTTTAAGTTAAATTATAGACATTTCTATTTTAAAACATCTTTTATTCCTGTCCTCATATGTCAGGTCAGTACTGTGGCAAACTAAATTTGTAACAGCTTCCTTTAGTATCACAAATGGAAGGCACTTGTGTCTCATTCTGAAAAAAAAGGAAAAATTTCAATATAATAATATTCTATATATATATATATATATATATATATATATATATATATATATATATATATATATATATATATATATATATATATTAGGGATGTCGATCGAACGTCCGAATATCGAATACTAAAAATGGTACTCGGTTACTCGGATATGTATTTTTTCTTATTTCAATGTACATATTTTTTCAAAAACTTATCAAAAAATAACTTAAATATGCATATGGGTAATTAGCGTGTCATCATCTACACATGTAAACACCCAATATAGCCTATGGCTGTGTATATACAGTAATTAGTGACCAATCACCTGGTACACAGCTGTTCTCACCTATTGTGGTCCTTAATTTTTTTATGGCTTCCATGATTGTTTTTCAGTGAACATTGTTTAATATGGTCTATTATCTTCAAATCATTTTTACATAATTTAGTTAATATACGGCAGCGAAATCGGACATGCATAGAAATGCCCCTACCCACTTCAAAATAAGTAAAGATTTAAAAAAATGTTTAAAGTCAGTTTCCATAGTAAGTTTAGTGTATACTTGGGAAACAACCAACATATGAAAAAATATTAGACTAGCGATCCAAACAACATCCGTTCCTTCTCTTTCGCTAGTCTAATCATCACAAATCTGCATAACAGATTGTCCTCCTTTTGCATTGATGAAATAGATCCTAAACAAGAACTGTAAACTATCTGTAATTTTGATGTATTAATTGCGTCATTTGTGTTAATTTAATAAATAAATTTAGTACCAAAAATCATTTCTGTTGGACTCCATGTCTCCATGTTTACATACATTCATAAAAAGCGATAAAAACAGCTTTGGGGTTTAACAAATTAACAATTAAAAATTAACAAACTTGTATTTACATTTATAAATATATATATATATATAATATATATATATATATATATATATATATATATATATATATATATATATATATATATATTTGTGTCTGCTTTCCTTTGATACCAAATACAAGAGACCCATGGGTTACATTGCTCATCTGAGCACATTGGCTAAGAAAAAGCACAAATCAGTTCAGTATTGAATAGTATTTGATTCCCCAATGTGGCCTAACCCTGGCCTAACCCCAGGGGTTATCATTTGAACAAACTTGAATCTACACTACCTGAGGATGCTTCCAAATCAATATGACTGATAATGGCTTTAATGTTCTTGAAAAGAATACCGGTTATTTTTAAAGATTCATTCTACCCCCGGGGATTATCATTTGAACAAACTTGAATATAAACTATGTAAAGAAAGTTTCCTATAAGTTTGAACTTTTTTGGTCAAGTGGTTCTTGAGAAGAAGAATTTTAAAGATGCCACTACATTTTCACTTTTTCTGAAATATCTTCCCTTGAAAGAGGACTTGGCCCTTCATTTGATCAAACTTGAATCCCCTTTACCCTAGGATGCTTAGTGGCAAGTTTGGTTGAAATTGGCCCAATGGTTCTGGAAGAGAAGTTGAAAACGTGAAAAGTTTACGGACAGAAGACAGACAGACTACAGATAAAATGTGATCGGAAAAGCTCACTTGAGCTTTCAGGTCAGGTGAGCTAAGAAGTATATGTAAGGAAAAGTCCTGAACTTCTATAATTTTCTTGGATGTTCTTAAATAGAACAGGACAGGACATCTACTGCATAAATGTATCAGAAGGAATAAACTTCCAAACTTACCAAGAAAAATCAATCAAGATCCTCTCCAGTTCTTCATTTTCATAGTTAAAAAGAACTCTGCTCCCAAAACTTTAACCTGGGACACCAACACCAATGCTGAGGGTATCACATAAGGTTCCCCAATTTCGTTGAGTTGAGCTAAAAACTAAGAAATGACTTTTTGTATTATATTCTATGACATTTCTTGTATAAGTATCTCATTCAATTTCAATTACATCATTTACAATGATATATTATCATAGGTGAATAGCAGAGGGGAATAATTTCTCTCAGTAGAATATAAATTAATGAAGCCCAGTTCAAGCCCTGCCCCAAACCCGGACACTTGACCAAGTGTTCCAAAATTTAAAACATTTGTTAAAAATGCCCTTGCTCAACACAACTTTGTACTCTTTTTGTCTCCTAATTGCCCAGGAGCATAGATGAAGATTTTCAAAGAAATAACGATGTTCAGATTCCACACAGCCCCACATAAACACCAAAAGACCTGACTTAGGGGGCTATTATTTTCATAACTTTAAAAGAGGTATCCTTGCTCATCATAACCATACCATTCATTTGTCTGCTTAATACCACTAGGTAAAGAAGAAGATATTTAGAAAATTTATGCATTTCACTATCTTATCTAAAGAACACCTAAACACTCTGACCTAGACTGGGCCATGAAATTCACCATTTTGAAAGAGGCACCTTTGCTCATCATAACTATGCTTTTATTTTTGGTTAGCTCAATATCCAGGTGCAGAAATGAAAATTTCCAAAGATATATTGCATATATATATATATATATATACTTTAATAGGCCCCCAAAACACCAGAACCATTGACCTTGGAAGTTTCTTGCTCATCAAGCACTAAATTCATGTGCTAAATACCCAGTAAAACCTCACCCTGACACCAGAACCCCTGACTTTGGAGCCACTTATACTTAGATTTCTGCTTAATACCCAGGAGCAAAGAAGATTTTCAAAGAAAAACATACCGGCACACAAGCATTAATAAAGCCCCACCCTAACACCAGATCCCCAGGGCCTTGGGCCAAAAATTTTACAATTTAAGTAGAGGTGCCCTTGCTTATTAGAACCATGCACCTAGTTTACCTGATAAATTATACAGAGAGGAGAAGGTTTTTAAAAAGAATTTATCCATTTTCATTATATGATCATTAGAGCTCTGCCCTAACTCCAGAATCCCTACTTCATGAATTTCAAAGTTTTGGTAAGGGCTCAGTGCTTATTACAATCATGCCAACAGTTTGACTGCTAGATGTCCAGGAGTTATGATGAAGATTTTGAAAGATAGCACTAATTTTGATGGTTTAAACTCCACACCTCAGTCCCCAGGGGGAGGGGGGGAGTGACCATGAAATTCAAAATTTTTGTACCCCTTCACTTATTAATGCTATTCCAAAATTAGTTGAAATTGGTTCAAAGGTTCAAGAGAAAAAGCTTAAAAAAAGACCTATAGTTTATGACCAACAAATGACACACATCCACAGAAAAGTGACTCAGGTGACCTAAAAATATATTTCTTTGTACATAACTTGTCTCCTAATGCGGTCTTATCCTATATGGGGGTCATGATTTGCATAAATTTGAAACTGCACTACTTGAGGATCCTTGCTTATTAGACTTCCTTAACAAAGCCAAGCTGCTCTTTAGAAAAAAAAAGATTTATTAGTATTTTTCCTATATATATGTATTCCTGTGTCAAATCTTTCTTGATCCTAAATTCTGGGACCACAGTTTGAACAAATTTGAATAGATCTACTCTTTTGTCTAATCCTAATATAAACTCCTTTAGTTGCATGATAGGCTTCTTGATTGTAAACATGACCTTTTATGCACTATAGCTACATATAATCAGTACAATATAAAACAACAGGCCCATGAGCCACAATGCTCATCTGAGGAATACAACCCTTCTTCATCAACAGATTCTTTTTCCTGTACATATTCCTACTTAAAATTTGATATCATATTGTAGCCCCACCCTTTTCCCAAGAGTCATGATTAACAAACTTGAAATTACACACCCTAGGATGCTTCCATGTAATCATGACTAATCATGACTTTGCTTGAGAAGATTTATACAGATTTTTCCTATATATTTGTAGGTAATACTTTCATCCTCTACTGTGTCCCCACCCTACCCCCAGGCATCATGCTTTGAAAAACTTGAATCTAAAAAAGTTGTTGTGGGTGCTTTATTGTCAATATGACTAATCATGCCTTTGCTGTTCTTAATACAAAATAAGATTTTCCCTATGTATTCCCATGTAAAACTCTGATTGCCCGCACTTGCCCCACCATACTCCCAGGGACATGAATTGTATAAAACTTAATTTATTCTATGTCAGGATGCTTTTACTTGGGTTTCGTATTTTCAAGCCTAGTGGTTCTTAAGAACATTTGAACGATCATACCAAATTTTTACTGTTTCTTAATTATCTCTGCTGGGAAGAGATGTGGTCCTTCATCAGAATGAATTTCCTTTACCAAAGCATGCTTTGTACGAAGTTTGTTTGAAATTGACACAGTGGTTCTAGAAAAGAAGGTGAAAATGTGAAAAATTATGAAGGAGATGGACAAATGCACAAATTTTGATCAGAAAGAGCTCACTTGAGCCTCCAGCTGATATGAGTTAATGCTAAATAGAGATGTTAGTGTGAAATAATTAATTCAGGAGGTAATTGAATTAGATCCCTCTTCCTTAAAACTTTGATCATTTTTTGTGGTCCCATCCTACCCCAGGAGATCATGAATTGAACAAACTTCAATCTACACTACCTGAGGATGCTTCCCCCACTTCTGCCCCACTCTATACCCCGTGGTCATGATTTGAGCAAACTTCAACCTACACAACCTGAGGATAATTCAATATAAATATGACTGATCATTAGTTTGCTGTTCTTGAGAAGATTTTTAAAGATATTTCCTATATATTTCTATTTAAAAATTTGATCCCCTGTTGTGGCCCCATGGCTAAGCTGTGCTTAAGATGAATATTCTTTGAGTTTTCCTATATATACCTATGTAAAAATTGTTCCCCTGTTGTGACCCCACCTGAAAAAAATAAGGCAGAACATTCAAGAACTTAATGAAAATTGTGGACTTCCTGACACCACATCAGAGCGGAAGGACATGCCAGATATAATAATGCCACCTTCAGTGCCATTGGAAAAACCCCATTCCAAGCTGCCACCAATGTGACTTATACCACAAGTGAAAATGTTACTCAGAGGAAAAATGTTGTGGCAGTGTTGTGTGGGAATAAACTATGCAAGAAAGGCAGACACCTGAGAAGCAAAGGAAAGGAAGTTAACTGCCTAAGACACGAAGACTGCACTGCAACCATTCCTCCAAAGGCCACCACTGAAGATGAGAAGAGATGGGCTGCAAAATAGTGAGTTACAAAGTGATGACCGTCCACTAGTCATTTCCCATTTCACCAGTGATGGAGATGGAGCAGCTGCATCTGGTGAATCTGAAAAACAAGGACATGTCATTGAAAACCTTAAAGACTTGCATCATTTCTTTGACTCTCAAAGACAATAGAAGAAATCCAAAACTGCGAAAAATCCAAAACTGTTAAAATGCATGTACAGTATATATCTCAAAGAAAATACTGTAGATCTAAAAGATATCAGCTCTACAATAAAACATAGGTAATCAAAGATTACATAACTCAACTCAATGAATGTTTGTGTAAGGCAAAGTCCCACACTAAACAAATAACCTAGTAGTGTGCATCCCTAGATGCAACATTTATGCAATTTTGTTCTGATAGGGCTTTACAGTTACTTGGGAATGGACTAATCTAAGAACTTTTAACTTGCCAATTATCCAGAAATCCAGCATCTGAAGCAAATTTGAGAATGTTCATCCCTTGATGCATCATCCTTGCAAGTTCGGTTCAGAAAGGCCTTATAGATTCTTGGTAATGGACCTGAACCAAAAACTTTAACCTGGTCACTCATCTGGAATATGTAGATCAAATCAAGCATCTGAAGCAAGTCCAGTAGTGTGCATCCTTAGATGTATCATCCATGCAAGTCGGGTCAAGGTACAGCAAATAGTTACTTTAGAATGATCCTGCTCCAAAAACTTTAACCTGGTCACCCATCTGGAAAACGTAGGTCAGATCCAGTATCCGAAGCTAGCCTGGTAGTGTGCATCCTTAGATGCATCATCCATGCAAGTCTGGTCAACATGGGTCTATAGTTACTTTAGAATGAACCTGTTCTATAAACTTTAACCTGGTCACTCATCTGGAAAATGTAGGTCAGATCCAGCATCTAAAGAAGGGTGGTAGTTAGCATCCTAAGATGTATCATCCATGCAAGTTTGGTCACGATAGGGCTTATAGTTACTTGGAAATGAGACCTGCCCCAAAAACTTTAACCTGCTCCAAAATCTTCAACCTGCTTTAAAAACATTAACCTGGTCATCTTTTAGCTGAAATTGCAGCATCTGAAACCTTGACTGGTACAAAGAAACACACTATAAACATCTTCCATGCAACTCTGATTTTATGTAAGGCATAGAAGTGCTGAAAAAGAAAACTGCTGCAAAAACTATAACCTGGGATGCCGGAGGTATCACATAAGCTCCCCCAACTTCTTTGAGGTGAGCTAAAAATCTAAAGACACTTACAGTAAATCAGTAACAGATTCAATATTAAAAAGGAAGTTGTGTGAAAAGGGAGGGGGGAGGGAGGGGAGTGGGGGGCATTGATGCTGTGTATTTAATTTAAATGTATGAATTTTGTAATTAATAAATAATTTGTAAATTTATAGACTATATAATTGTTGTTATGTTTTATTATGCACTGATTCTATTCAACTGTGTAAATGGGGAAAATGTGGAAATGTAAATGATGTATAATTGTATGAGTAAAATGTGACATTTTCTTATATGAGGGAGTCCATACATGTAAAAATGTTTCAATTTTATCTTATTGAAATTATTTTAATTAATTATCTTGTTTTTCTTACCTATCTGATGAACACAACAAAGGTTACAGAGGTGATTGGTAGAAATACGGGTGTCAAAACTCTCTGTTGATGACCAGACAGCATACTGCACTGTATATCCGCCATTACTGATCTTAAACATGGGAGACAACTCCTGAAATCAGAGAAATTGTAGTCAAAATGAGAGTTACCTGTTACTCTTTAGGTCCGACACAATGAAATAATTTCACTACATGTTACTATATAGCTTCAATTAAATTAATTAATTAACTAAGACTCTAAGCAGATAATCAATGAAAGAGAAAATAAAGATTAATGCTTAAACAAACAAGAGGCCCAAGGGCCTTAACGGTCACCTGAGTACAATACAACAATTTAGAGGATCCATAAACTGATAAATGAAGCTCTGTTGCCCAAAAGCAAGAAAATAGTATGATTTGCATCAACAAAATAATTGGTCTAGTATCTATCTGTCCCCCATTTATCACTATTACCATGCAGAATATCAACAAACTGTCTATTTTTTAACCCCATATTTTTACTTCTCACATTGGCCTCTCTTGGCCTTTGAAGAACAATTAAAAAGGATAAGTTATTTTTGTCTCAATTTTATTCATCTATTATTTCCAAGTCTACCTGGGGCCATGAATTTCACAATTTCGGAAGAGGCATTCTTCCTTATAACCATGCACTTCCTTTGTTTGAAAAATACCCAGGAGTAGAGAAGAAAATTTTGAAAAAATTTATGCATTTTCCCTATATAATCAATAGAGCCCCACCCTTACACTAGAACCCCTGATCCAGGGGCCACGAAATTCACAATTCTGGAAAAGGCAACCATGCTTGTCATAACTATGCACCAAGTTAGTTTATTTAAAATCCAAGAGCAGAGAAGATTTTCAAAGAACTAATGCAATTTTACTATATAATCAATAGAGCCCCGCCCTAACACCAGAACCCCTAACCCTGGGGCCATGAAATTCATAATTTCTAAAAAGGCAGCCATGTTCACCACAACTATGTTCTTAAATACTTTATTTAATACCCAGGAGCAGAGAAGAAGATTTTCAAAGAATTAATGCATTTTCACTATATAATCAATATAGCCCCGCCCCAACACCAGAACCCCTAACCCTTGGACCATGAAATTCACAATTTTGGAAGAGGCACTCTTGCTCATCATAACTATGTACTTAGTTACTTTATTTAATACCCAGGAGCAGAGAAGAAGATTTTCAAAGAATTAATGCATTTTCACTACACAATCAATAGAGCCCCGCCCTAACACCAGAACCCCTGACCCTTGGAACATGAAATTCACAAGTTTGGTAGTGGCACTCTTGCTCATCATAACTATGTACTTATTTAGTTTATTTTATATCCAGGAGCAGAGAAAAAGATTTTCAAAGAATTAATGCATTTTCACTATGTAATCAATAGAGCCCCAACCTAACACCAGAACCGCTGACCCTTGGGCCATGAAATTCACAATTTTGGAAGAGGCACTCTTGCTCATCATAACTATGTACTTAGTTGGTTTGTTTAATATCCAGGAGCAGAGGAGAAGATTTTCAAAGAAATAATGCACTTTCACTAGATGATCTATAAAGCCCCACCCTAGCACCAGAACCCCTGACCCTGGGGCCATGAATTTCACAATTTTGGTAGAGGGCTCAATGCTTATTACAATCATGCTAACAGTTTGACTGCTTGATGTCCAGGAATAAAGAAGAAGATTTTTAAAGATTGCATTAATTTTGGTGGTTTTAGCCCCACCCCTTAGGCCCCAGGGGGGCAGGGACCATGAAATTCAAAATTTTTGTTCCCCTTCACCCATAGAATGCTATATGCCAAATTTGGTTGAAATTGGTTGAGCGGTTTCAGAGAAGAAGCTAAAAATGTTCAAATGTTAACACACATTGCACGATGACAGACAAAAACGGATAGCTATAGGTCACCTGAGTGACTCAGGTGACTTAAAAATTGAGACCAGAAAAAATACACCCTGACAGTAATTAACAGTAAACATATCTACCCTGAAATACACGTAGGCTTCACATGTTAACAAACATACTACACACCATCCAGGATGTTGCACCATGCACACCTAAAAAAAAGTTCCCTTCAATTAAGTGGGACAATTCTGCTAAAGATATGATATTCTTAGCTCATGAGTCCAAAATTAATACTGTAGGCCTAAAATAAGATGCCAAAAATGAAAAAATAAAAATAAATTGTCTCTCGTTATATATACAACTATAACTGACTAAGTTCATTTTGATTGGCTGTTTCCTTTGAACACACTCACGTCTTGTAATGAAATCTGTATTCATTTCTGAAAATATAAGTGCATAACATCAAAATCACTTTTCTTAAAGTTCTCCTCAGAAGAATATTATCTATGAGTGAAGGCAATGTCTATCATAAATTGAATGTTCTAGTAGTGTGCACATCTACATGCCTTACCATACAAGTTTGGTCTAGTTAGGAATTATAGTTTCTTGGGAATGTCCAAAATAATCATCCTGAAAATAAATGTCTTATCATCCACTTAAGTCAGAAGCATCATCCATGCAACTTTTTGTACAGGTAGAGCTTATAGTTACTTGAAACTTTGGTACTTTGTAAAAGTTTTATGGGCAAGTTCATTCCCAAGTAACTATAAGCTCTACGCTTAAAGTTACTTGGGAATGAACTTTCCCATAAAACTTTTACTGGGATGTCAACACACTTATAAAGCAAAAGCTCATCTCGACTTTGTTGAGGTGAGCAAAAAATATTCAGTTTACTGCCTTTTGAACATTTGTTGTCACATTGTAGAATTGGTAGTGTTTTCTTTAAATATGATTAATTATTATGCTGAGGAGTGTTCAAGAAATGTAAAACAATGTATTCTCTGGGGGAAAAAGTGATTCTATCACACCATCTAAGTTTGTTGGTATGCCAGTCTAACCTACCAAATGAACCACTTGTAGAAATCTTTATGGATGAGGAATTAGTGTCTTATAGTCATCCTGCCTCCCAATGATGGCATCATCAGAATCTGTCTCCATTCACTGTAATTATGACAAACTATTGCATAATTTTAAGTTGAAAGGAAAGCAAATGATATTTATATGAAATAACAAGATGTGTTTGTGAAACATTGTTGTCCCCTATGGCAGTTCAAGACAAAGGTTTGGATTTTTCAAATTTAGGTTGAGGTCTACAAGGTTAAAGTGAAGAGTTCTAAAAGTGTTTGTATTCAAAGAAAGGTCTTGTCACAACAAATACCATCTTCTCTAGTCAAAGGTTTCTGATCTGCTACTCTCCTTACAAACCCTTGGCATATGGTGCTGTCAAAAGATGGGAAGTACAGTCTAAGCAAAAAGTCTGAATCAGATCTGTTCATCATTTTTTAAAATCTCTTATACAGATAAAATGCAGGAATGTTTTTGAACTCAGTCAAATTAGTTTATCAGCTAAAAGACATGTTCAGGACATACATGTATATCAAAACATACAAACAAAGTGATTACAGTCTTTTGGCCCTTTTAAGTCTATTTGCTTTAAGGGGAGGGGATGGGTGGGTACTGAATAGCATCTTTTGATTTTATCAAATGACAACTATGTTAACCTACCTTTTCTCATCTTTGCTCCAGCCTTTTCTTTCTACTTGTTTTACCTGGAAAAATGCACAAAATTTTCATTTTAGGTGTTGTACTACATTTTAACATCTTAGAATTTTATGAAATGGGATCTTTTTTCACAGTTTTCATCAAAAGAGCAGATCTGAAAAAAAATAATGACCTTCTTAAGAGATATATGAACATGTATATGCCTATTATGAAAGCATTTCCATATTCTAAGAAAATAAACCACCAAATACATGTACATGTTTTTAACAAAAAAATACTGTATAAGCGGAAATCTTAGTGAGATGCCAATTTAGAAATTTACCCCCAAATTTTTGCAAGAAGTAATTTAAGTGATTTTGTAATATCAAGAGAGAAAGCTATAACAGCCAAAATAGAATAAATTGTTAGCAATATTCAATTTTACCAATCTCAGTTCCCTCACTAAAAATGCCAAAATTGAATCCTTCCTAAAAATTCTGCTTCTATGGTAATTTGAATTCTCAGAAATTATACTCATTTACAGAATTGCAAATGATTTCTTGCAATGACAAAGAATTTAAAATAAGTATAGACGATTATAAAATACAATAAAAATCTTTGAGTATATCTGGTGCAGTTTTTTGGGGTTATCAAACACATTTTTAAAATCGTTCTTTCATTTGCAAAAATTCCAGTGAAGTAAAATATGAAACTAGGAACATTACTTCATCAACCAAACAATAATAAAAACAAAGGGGGAGTTTCGATAAGGCGGTTTTTCGGCCCCTCACGAAATTTTCTGAAATTTTTTATATTTTGTAGAAAAACTCCTTATCGTCCAAAAAATATGAAAATAATTTATGTGATGCATTTTCCGGTCACGTGATAATTGAAAATTTAAGTATACCCCCTTTCGTATATTTTTGGAGTAGACATTTTTATAGGGGGAAAGTGGATTTTTTAAATCATCAAAATAATAAATGAAATAGGGTAAATATGAATAAAGACATAAATTAACCAATTTCAACAATTTTTTTTACGGAAAATGGTATTTACCTTACGCGAATGTTTTTTTTTAAGGTGCGATATTTTTCTGGTGTGATAAATGTTACTTTTCTTTAAAAGAGGATGAATTGATCTTATAAAACGTAAACATACATAGAAAGTTTTAACATCATAATTAATCGACAGTTTATATGTAAACTGTACAATCGATATTTAACATTTTCCCATACGAAAAATGCAAATGAAAAGATATATGGACATGAGATAGGTAAACGTAAAAACGTCATATACAGGGATATGCAATACATTTTCATCAATGAGATTATACAACTACATATTTTATAAAAATATACCTTAATATCATAAAATTGAAATTAAAGAGGCTGGGGGGTTGTGGCCATTTTTAGACTATATTGATCTCCTTTAGAAGAGCTCCATATGAAGATATAGAAAATGATCAAATTTTAAAACTAAAATTTTTGAAATTTTTCTTTGCCAAATGATAGTTGACAGCTTAAGATACCATATCTAAAAATTAAAGTTAAATCTGGTGGTTAATTTGTGGTTAATTTGTTGACCCCCCAGCCTCCTTAAATAAAATGTTTTGAAGTAAAAAGATTAAAAAATAAATGCAACTTTATATACATACATGAATAAGAAGTTTATTTAAAAGAATCATATTGCTATGTAAGCCGGTACGTTGTAGGTGCAAGGTAAGAAAAATATTTTATCTGGCAGCCACCACATAATTATTTGGCGGCCACTAGAAAAATATATCTGCCAAATAGCTTTCCTGCAGCCAAAACATAAATAACTGGCAGCGACCAGAAACTTATTTGGCGGCCAACACATAAATAACTAGAAGCAGGCAAGTAAGTTTCTTGCGGTGTAGACATGTAATCTTGATAATAAGGCATGAAACTCCCAGATTTGACTACAAACAGAAGTTGTAGATGTCGTTAAAGGCAGAGATTTTAAGCATCGCCTTTAAAAATACCTGGTCTGTGTACCTCTGTCAATCAAGTGCATTAAGGTACATCATTGGGTGCTACAACTTGATTGGCAAACCACTAAATTTTTTCTGGCAGCCGCCAGATATTTCAATGGCAGGCCAGATAATATATATTTTTTTTACCTAGCACCTACCTGCTTCAGTATATTGCAATGTATTTGATAATATGAATAATATTAATTACAGTCAAAAATATTTTATCATGATACGTAATATGTGAATAGCCAAATGATGGAAAAATCTATAATACATTGAGTGTTTCCTTTTCATTATGAAACTTAGAAGTATTTGCCTGCATTATGTTTTCAGCATAACTGAGAGAATCCCAGCCAGGACTAATTTCCTATCGCTTCCCCGCTCTCCATAGATACTTAAGTTGCTTCACCAACTCTAGTCACTCCTCATTTAGAGAGTTTTAGAATTCATTATAAATGATTTGCTAGACCAAAGCGCAGTTCGAAATACACGTGTAAATGCCAAAGATATGTGTTTAATCCTTAATCAGGCAGACATATGCGCCTAGACATCCAGACTTAAAACAATCCACGTTCCCTATATGTCAATCACACGGAAATACATGGGCACTTCTCTAGCATGTTGGAGCGTGAATTTCTATACAAGAAAGTCAAAAATATTTGTATTTTTGACTTTCTTGTAACTATGCATGATAAATAACGTTAAGGAATGGACTTGCTTTAAAATTTTTTTGTTCAGTCAGTCAGAAAATGTAAGAAAGTTCCAGCATCTGAACCATGTCTGGTAGTGTGCAATCCTAGATGCAACATCAGTGCAAGTTTGGTTATGATAGGGTTTATAGTCACATAAGAATGAGACACACTTCAAAATCTTTAACCTGCTCTATCATTAAGGAAATGTAGGTCATATCCAGCATCTAAAGCAATCTAATAGTGTGCATCTGTAGATGCATCATGAAGCAAGTCTGATCAACAAGTGCTTACAGCTGCTCTGCTCCAAAAACTTAAACCTGCTTTTAAAACATTTACCTGGACATTCTTTGGCTAAAATCCAGCATTTGAAACCTTACTGGTGACAAGGAAACATGCTAGATCAGGTGACTGTGATTAATATAGGGCATAGATATACTTGAAAAAAAATCTGCTTCAAAAACTTTTACCTGGAACACCGATGCTGACGGTATTACAAAAGCTCCCCCAACTTCGAGGAGGTGAGCTAAAAATGTGATGTTAGCGTTAACGTTATATGTTGGCGACAAAAATAGTATCAAAATGAAGACAGGATACGATAATGTTTTCTACTGTTAATACATGTATAATCGAGAATCTTCTTTAATTCAACAAAATATGCTACTTTTGGCTTAGTATTTTAACACAGAGTCAGATCAAGAAACCAGGAGTTTCTACTTTTAGATATGCATGTTATGCAATTTTCAATTTTTGGACATGAAGTGCACAGGCGACACTCATCATATTTCAAGAAATTAGTGTGCAGAGTATATCTAATTACTGAACAAATTTAGGTGAGTGTCCCTCATGCACTTCATATTCTAAACATCGATTTATAAATGCCACCCTCTTATATTTTCCCATGAGCCTAATGTTAACGAATCTGAGTGTACATCTAAGTATGTATCAGCTACGGTGTTAATTCTTCTCATATTAACTTTTAAAATATAAATAACAAAAGTTAACATATTTATCTTGAATTCTAAACTAGTTTTGAAAAAATAAATTGAAATTTATTTTTAAGAAAAAGTGGGCCGCTGAGCGGCCTTATCGAAACTCCCCCTTTAACATCAAAATTTCAAACTCAGAATGTCTGGATCTAAACTGACTTGTTTTGTTCCAGCTTGACTGGGTTAGGTTTTAACTAGAGTGGGTTTGATTCTAAACTGACTTATTCATGTTCCTGTCTAACTGGATTAGATTTCTACCTGACTGGGTTAGGCTCTAAACTGACAGTTTTATGATTCTGCCTGACTGGGTTAGGTTCTGAACTGACTTGTTCATGTTTCTGCCTGACTAGGTTACATTTTTTCCTGACTGGGATAGGTTCTAAACCGACTGTTTTATGTTTATATCTGACTGGGTAGGTTCTAAACTGACTGTTTCATGATTCTGCCTGACTAGGTTAGGTTCTAAACTGACTGTTTTATGTTTCTGCCTGACTGGGTTAGGTTCTAAACTGACAGTTTCGTGATTCTGCCTGACTGGGTTAGGTTCTTAACTGACTTGTTTATGTTCCTGCCTGACTGGGTTAATTTCTTAACTGACTTGTTCATATTACTGCCTGACTGGGTTATGTTTCTACCTGACAGGGTTGGGTTTTAAGCTGACTGTTTTCTGATTCTGTCTGACTGGGTCAGGTTCTAAACTGACTTGTTCATGTTCTTGCCTGACTGGGTTAGGTTTCCACCTGGCTGGGTTAAGTTTCTGCCTGACTGGGATAGGTTCTAAACTGACTGTTTTATGATTCTGCCTGAGTGGGTTAGGTTCTAAACTGACTGTTTTATGTTCCTGCCTGAATGGGTTAGGTTCTAAACTGACAGTTTCGTGATTCTGCCTGACTGGGTTAGGTTCTTAACTGACTTGTTTATGTTCCTGCCTGACTGGGTTAATTTCTTAACTGACTTGTTCATATTACTGCCTGACTGGGTTATGTTTCTACCTGACTGGGTTAAGTTCTGAACCAACTGTTTTATGTTTCTGACTGGGTTATGTTTCTACCTGACAGGGTTGGGTTTTAAGCTGACTGTTTTCTGATTCTGTCTGACTGGGTCAGGTTCTAAACTGACTTGTTCATGTTCTTGCCCGACTGGGTTAGGGTTCCACCTGGCTGGGTTAAGTTTCTTCCTGACTGGGTTAGGTTCTAAACTGATAGTTTTATGATTCTGCCTGAGTGGGTTAAGTTTCTACTTGACTTGTTTGGGTTCTAAACTGGCTATTTTATGATTCTGCCTGACTGCTTGAACTAACTTGTTCATGTTCCTGTCTGACTGGGTTAGGTTTCTACCTGACTGGGTAAGGTTTTAAGCTTACTGTTTTACAACTCTATGTGACTGGGTTAGGTTCTTAACTGACTGTTTTATGATTCAGCCTGACTGGCTTGGTTTCTTAACTGAATTGTTCATGTTCCTGCCTGACCGGCTTAAGTTCTAAACTGATTTGTTCATATTACTGCCTGACTGGGTTATGTTTCTGGGTTAGGTTCTGAACTGAATATTTTATATTCCTGCCTGACTGGATTAGGTTTCTACCTGACTGGGTTAGGTTCTGAACTCACAGTTTTATGTTCCTGTCTGACTGAATTAGGTTTCTTCCTGACTGGGTTAGATTTTAAGCTTACTGTTTCACAATTCTTCCTGACTTTGTTAGGTTCTTAACTGACTTATGTTCCTGCCTATCTGGGTTAGGTTCTAAACTGACTGTTTTATGATTCAGTCTGACTGGCTTAGGTTCTTAACTGACTTGTTCATATTACTGCCCGACTGGGTTAAGTTCTAAACTGACTTGTTCATATTACTGCCCGACTGGGTTATCTTTCTACCTGACTGGTTAAGTTCTGAACTGACTGTTTTATGTTTCTGACTGGGTTATGTTTCTGCCTGACTGGGTTGGGTTCTAAACTGACTTGTTCATCTTCCTGCCTGACTGGGTTAGGTTTCTACCTGACAGGGTTAGGTTCTACACTGACTGTTTTATGATTCTGCCTGACTGGATAAGGTTTTTAATTGATGGTTTTATGATCCTGCCGCACTGAGTAAGGTTCTGAACTGACTATTTCATGACTCTGCCTGACTGGGTTAGGTTCTAAACTGACTGTTTCATGATTCTCCCTGACTGCATTAGGTTCTTATCTGACTTTTTCATGTTTCTGCCTGACTGGGTTAGGTTTTTTCCTGACTGGGATAGGTTATAAACTGACTGTTTTATGTTTTTACCTGACTGGGTCACGTTCTAAAATGATTGTTTCATGATTCTGCCTGACTGGGTTAGGTTCTGATCCGACTTGTTCATGTTCCTGCCTGACTGGGTTAGGTTTCTACTTGAATGGGTTAGGTTTTAAAGTGACTGCTTCATGATTTTGCCTGACTGGGTTGGGTTCTAAACTGACTTGTTCATGTTCTTGCTTGACTTGGTTATGTTTCTACCTGACAGGGTTAGGTTCTAAACTGACTGTTTTATGACTCTGCCTGACTGGGTTAGGTTCTAAACTGACTGTTTTATGATCTTGCCGCACTGAATAAGGTTCTGAACTGACTGTTTCATGATTCTGCCTAACTGGGTTAGTTTTAAACTGACTTGTTCATGTTCTTGCCTGAGTGGGATAGGCTTCCACCTGACTGGGTTAGGTTTCTGCCTGAATAGGTTAGGTTCTAAACTGACAGTTTTATGTTCCTGTTTGACTGAGTTAGGTTTTAAGCTTACTGTTTTACAATTCTACCTCACTGGGTTAGGTTCTTACCTAACTACTACCTAGTCCTTGTTGCACCCGGAGGCACATAGGGCAAGGATTAGGGATTAGGGGTTAGGTTCTTAACTGACTTATGTTCCTGCCTGACTAGTTAGGTTCTAAACTGACTGTTTTATGATTCAGCCTGACTGGGTTAGGTTTTTAACTGACTTGTTCATGTTCCTGCCTGACTGGGTTAAGTTCTAAACTGACTTGTTCATATTACTGCCTGACTGGGTTATGTTTCTACCTGACTGGGTTAAGATCTGAACTGACTGTTTTATGTTTCTGACTGGATTATGTTTATACCTGACTGAGTTGGGTTTTAAGCTGACTTTTTCTGATTCTGCCTGACTGGATTAGGTTCTAAACTGACTTGTTCATGTTTCTGTCTGACCTGGTTATGTTTAATCCTGACTGGGTTAGGTTCTAAACTGCCAGATTTATGTTTCTACCTGACTGGTTTATTTTTCTACCTGACTGGGTTAGGTTCTTAACTGAATGTTATACAATTCTGCCTGACTGGGTTAGGTTCTAAATTGACTTGTTCATGTTTCTGTCTGACTGGGATAGGTTTCTTCCTGACTGGGTTGGGTTCAAAACTGATAGTTTTATGATTCTGCCTGACAGGGTAATATTTCTGCCTGACTGGGTTTGGTTCTAAACTGACAGTTTCATGATTCAGCTTGACTGGGTTAGTTTCTTAACTGACTTGTTCATGTCCCTGCCTGACTGGGTTAAGTTCTAAACTGTCTTGTACATATTACTGCCTGACTGGGTTATGTTTCTACCTAACTGGGTTAAGTTCTGAACTGACTGTTTTAGTTTCTGACAGGATTATGTTTCTACCTGACTGGGTTGGGTTTTAAACTGACTGTTTTCTGATTCTGTGACTGGATTAGGTTCTAAACAGACTTGTTCATGTTTCTGTCTGACTGGGTTATGTTTAATCCTGACAGAGTTAGGTTCTAAACTGCCAGTTTTATATTTCTACCTGACTGGCTTAGGTTTCTACCTGACTGGGTAGGGTTTCTACCTGACTGGGTTAGGTTCTTAACTGAATGTTACACAATTCTGCCTAAGTTCTAAATTGACTTGTTCATGTGCCTGAACTGACTGTTTTATGATTATACTTAACTGGGTTAGGATGTGAACTGACTGTTTTATGTCCCTGATTGACTGGGTTACATTCCTGACTGGGATAGGTTCTAAAATGAATGTTTTATGATACGCTCCGACTGCGTTAGGTTCTAAACTGACTAATTCATGTTTCTTACTGACTAGGTAATGTATCTTCCTGACTGGGTTAGGTTTTAAACTGAGTGTTTGATGTTTCTACCTGACTGGGTTAGGTTCTAATATGACTGTTTTATGTTCATGCCTGACTGAGTTAAGTTTCTATCCGACTGGGTTAGGTTCTTAACTAACAGTTTTATGATTCTGCCTGACTGGGTAATGTTCTAAACTGACTTATTCAATTTTTAGCCTGAGTGGGTTTTGTTTCTGCATTACTGATTTGGATCTGAACTGACTATTTCACGTTCCTGCCTAAGTGGGTTAGGTTTCTGCCTGACTGGGTTAGGTTCTAAACTGACTGAAGGAAATCACTTTAAGTCTGGTAAGCTAGGTTCTAAACTGACTTTATCATGTCCTTCCCTGACTGGAATATATGTTGTTCTGAACAAGATTCCTAAATGACCACACTCAAGTTTTTGCTTATTCTTAATTATTTCCACTTGAAAGGGGGCATGATCCTTCATTTAAATCTTTACACAGGGATACTCTGTGCCAAATTTGGTTAAAATTAGTTTCAGAGAAGAAGAGGAAATTGTGAAAAGTTAACCAAAAAATCAATGATGTAAATGACTACATGCTACTATCTAATTGAAATTAAATCCTTTGATCAGCTCACATATGATCGCTACACAAAGTGTGTAGGGATCATATGTGAGCAGATCAAAGGATCTAATTTTAATTAGATTGCACATGCAATGGACAAATTTGGATCAAAAAAGCTCACCTGTGCCACTGTGCAAAAGGAGGAAGGGGTATTGATGCTGTGTATGTAGTTTATATATGTTCTATTTTTATTACATATTAAAATTATTTTCAACAATTACCTTGTTATTTTACCTGTCCAAAGAACATGACAAAAAAGATAACAGGGTGATTGGTAGAAATATAGGCATACAGGTGTCAAAACTCCCTTTTGGTGAACAGTCTGCATCACTCATTGTTTATCCACCATTAGTGATCTTTAACAGAGGAGACTACGTAGGTTTCACATGTTGACAGTCTACACACCATTGAGTAAACTACATCATTTCCAACTAAAAGAAATCTTTTTTATTCACAATAAATGGATTGAAATATGCTGCTCAAAATAACTTCAAAATATCAATAACTTCCTCATTCAATTTAAAAAAAAATCTTATTGAAAATACCAGATCATAAGTTTAGTTTAAGTACACTTCATACTTTCTTGGACGTTAACAAACCTAGATGAAAATGGCAGATAGGCAAGTTCAATTGCTGGTGATCAGATACAAGAAGCTCAGGCAGGTCCAATTGCTGGTGACCAGATACACTTAGTGGTTTGGATTGTGCTGACCAGGATGTCGGCATGGGTGGATTAGAGCAGCTTACAAGCTATGCAGGAGTCCAAGTTTGATTCCCTGTCAATTCTTTCCAGTTATAATATTAAATTAACATATGAAAAAGCATAGATATTAGCAAGCGCAGCGAGCAGCGCAAAGCGCCGCTCATCACTGGGAGCTCTAAAAGCAATGCCTGGGCGAAGAGAAAATTCTGACTTTGCAAATTGATCCAAATGAATTTTTTTTCACAGTTACCTGTGGTCCCATAATGCTTTGCGAATTGCTTCTCCCCACAAACAACGTTCTCGCGGTAGCAAGAAGTTCCAAAAAAAATATACACCCATGTTGATTTGATGGATATATAGCAGAAAAATAGTAGATTAAAACTTCTTTATTAAAATAAGCCCTGTTCAGACTTTGTTTTGGTAATGCTACTTACAAGCGACGTTATATGACGTCAGGGTCTAGACGTACTAAAAGTCTCGTGCAGTTTGATAACTTTGAAGAGCCCGATCTAAATTAACAGCTGATTAAAACTGAATATAGGTATCTGCTCTCACCCTTATGGTTGCACCGTCAACATATTAAAAATATACATACAAGACATTGTACGTTCGAAAATGACAAAATAATTCCCCTACTCTCGCACTGAAAGTCTTCAAACTTCTATACATTTATAATGTATATATACACACTTTTGAATAAATTCACTAAATTCTAAAGAAAATAAGGAGCTGTGTAAGAGTGTGGGGTGCTAACTTTATTGAAAAATGAGAGGGGTAGATGTTGATTATACTAGGCCTACGTTTTCTAGTGGGGTTTCTAACATAAACCATAAAAATACACCTCACCCTCCGGCCGCCAGTCCGCTTCTTTTTTCTTATACAATGCACATAACACAGCTCATCGATGTAGCATCAATGTTTCGGTGTATTTTTCTTTGTGACCTCTTCGTTTCTACTTCCGTTTCATTTTCAGTTCTTGCTAATCATGCCAAACGTTATTTCTCCCGCCGCTAAACTAACTTCGGGATCGATGTACTCAGCTACATAATATAAAACTGAAACCATACCGGAATTAATTTTCCCGAACTGCTTGACTGGTTAAGTAATAGACTCTACCTTAACACATAAATAGGTGGATCCTTCAGAGGTGTTGACTTTATAAATATTTTGGTTTTTATCAGTATTTATTTTTAAATTCCATGTTTAGCAATAATTATAGAAGCTAACTAGTTATGGCATGTCAATCTCTAATAGGTTTTTTTTTTTGTTTTTTGGCTTTTTTTTTTTTTTTTTTTTTTGGTAATTCTTCAGAAGATTCTGCCACCAGTACAGTGTCAACTGTATCAGCTGTGTATAGAATTACAAATAATATATATATATATATATATATATATATATATATATATATATATATATATATATATATATATATATATATATATATATATATATATATATATATATATAACTTGTTTTCAGATATCTCCGATATAGTAGATAAGTCTTCCAATATTCAGCCGGGAAATCATGTAAGTCATTTAGATACATGGAAGATAAAAACAATGACAGGTTTTCATCCTCTCTATAACACCATCTGCGCTTTGAAAAATTCTGATTGTTCTTGATTATGTTGATTATGAAAAAAAATCTGAATATTATCAGACTGTACATATCTTAAAATGTTAATTAACATTTTGCCACTGATATTATAAGATAAAAGATTAAACCACAATACTTTCTCCAAACGTTCTCAAAAGATTTCTCAAAATCTACAAACATATACATTTTTTTATCTTAATTTTCAGGAGCTCAAATAAAATGTATGCAATCATAATAAATTATCACTTGTTGAATATCCTTTTCTAAATCGATCTGTTTTATTTTCAATAGTACTTGAAATCAGGCGCAGATCCAGGAATCTTTTGCGGGGGGAGGGGGTGGTCCACCCCCGTCAAAAAAATTCCAACCCAGAAAAAAAAAACATTTCTTGACAAGCAAAAACAAAAACATAGAAAAACAAAAAAAAGTATTTATATACATATTGTCCCAACTCTTTCTGATTGTCACTGTAAAATATCATGGGAAGTTTTAGCAAAATTTCAGGAAATTAATTCAAATGCTACTAATGCCAGAACCTTGCATCCCGCCCCTCAAAATTTTAAATGGAATGAAGATTCCCCTATTAAATTTCAGATGGCTCTAAGTCCAGATAGGATACAAGAAAAAATCAAGTCTTTTTTAGATTCTTTTATTACAGAATCTACTTCTACTGATATCGAGAAAAAGGCAGAAGAATTCAATGACATTATCATAACTGCTGCTAACATGTCATTAAATAAGCCAGGTCATAAAAGTAAGAATATTAAAAAGCATAAAAATAAAAAGTGGTTTGATTCAGACTTGCAAACAATGCGCCGTAGATTGATTGCGCATGGAAAAATTTATAGCATATTTCCAAAGGACCCCTGCAGTTGTTAAGAATCATTACTATAGACTTCTTAGAGAGTACAATAAATTAAGAAAATTTAAGCGTAAAAATTTCCAAAACTCCATTCTAAATCAACTTGATGCACTTCAAAATAAACAACCAAAACAATATTGGAAATTAATTAATGACCTAAAAGATGATAAAAAAAACAAAAACAAACAATTCTGCCGCAAACACAGATTCTGAAACGTGGGTAAATCATTTTCGCAATCTTCATTCTGTGTGTGATAACTCTTTTAAATCAAGGACACAAGAGCTAGATTAAATTTTGGCTGACATGGAGAAAAATCCATCCTTTAATGAACTGGATTTCAAGATTTCACATAAGGAAATTGTAGATGCAATAGCAAATTTAAAATATGGAAAAGCCAAGGGGCTTGATTTGATATCTAATGAAATGTTAAAACATGGTCAGTCCTATTTACTCTCCTAGCTGTATACATAAGCTCTTTAATAGTTGTTTCACATATGGTATTTATCCTCAAACTTGAAGTAACGGGTACATAAGTCCAATTTTTAAGTCTGAGGATCCAAACAACCCTGCAAATTATAGGGGTATTACAATTACCAGCACACTTGGTAAGTTATTCAACAGCATTCTGAACTCTAGATTAGATAAATTTCTAAAAGAACATAATCTAATTCACCAATCTCAAATGGGTTTTACCAAAGATGCAAGAACATCTGATCATCTATTTGTGCTAAGGTGTTTAATTGATAAATACTATACTGTAGCTTAAAAGAAGGAAGACTATATGCTTGTTTTATTGACTTTCATAAAGCTTTTGTCAGCGTTATCCACACAGGATTAAAGCTCAAATTACTTCACATGAATGTTGGATCTAAATTTTATAATATTATAAGTAAAATATACAAGAATAGTCAGGCATGTGTGAAAATTGGAAGGTTCTTCTCGGATCCATTTCCAATAGCTATAGGTGTCCGTCAAGGGGATAACTTGAGCCCTTCTTTATTTAAAATATTTATAAATGATTTTCCATCATATTTAGATTCATGTATGGATGAAGTATCACTTCAGACAAAAACTGTTAACTGTTTAATGTATGCAGATGACATTGTTATTTTATCATCATCAGCTAAAGGTATACAAACAAGACTTTCTAAACTTGAAAAGTATTGCTCTGATTGGTGTTTAAAGGTAAACATTCAAAAAACTAAAGTCATGATCTTTAATAAAGCTGGTCGTAATTTTACGCAAAAAATAATGTTTCAAAATAATAGGATAGACTGTGTATTTAGGTACAAATATCTTGGAGTTCACCTAACTGCATCTGGAAGTTTTCATGTAGCAAAATCAGAGCTTTATAAAAAAAAAAAAAGGCGTTAAAAGCATATTATAAATTGAGAAATGATTTTATTAATTTGAATCCTGGGATTAAAACGAGTATACATGTATTTGACTCTACTATTAAACCAATTCTTTTGTATAATGCAGAGGTGTGCGGTGCAAGTAATATCAATACTAAAAGATTCCTAAAATGCCAAAAGATAGAAGTTGAAGACTGTTTCAGAAATCTACTTTGTGAACGAATACACCTTAAATTCTGTAAATATATTCTTGGTGTTCAAAAGAAAAGTACAAATTTTGCAGTATTGTCTGAATTGGGAAGGTTCCCCCTGCATTATGATATTGTCAAATTGTTAATCAAAAGTTGGTATAGATTTGAAAATTTGTACACAGAATTTCCTTTACTTAAAGATGCATATGAATGTAGTAAAAATCTTTTTGTACATGGAAAGAACTCATGGTTCGCATTTCTACAGAAATTAAGAAATATACTGAATATCAAAGATGAAGTTATTTGTTATGGGAATTTAAGCATAAATTTAAGTCACTCTGTCATAAAACCATATTAGATTATTATGTAAAAAATTGGTATACAAGCCAACAAAGTTATACCGATGGTAAATTAAGCACATATATAAAACTCAAACAAAATTGGGGTTATGAGAATTATTTATCAGTAGTTAAAAATTTTCATCACAGAAAATCTCTATGTAAATTAAGAATTTCTTGTCACAGATTGCAAATTGAAGTGGGAAGATTTACCAACATCCCTCGAGAAGATCGATTATGCAATAGATGTAACTCTAACAGTGTAGATGATGAAACTCATTTTCTGATAACATGTAAAAAATATGATCATCAAAGAAAAGAAATTTTTCAATCAATTAAAAGTAAATTTCCAAATTTCTCGGCATTAGATGACGAACAAAAACTTTTTGGTTACTCAATACTGAAGACAAAGAAACTCTTAATTCTGTGGGCAAATTCATAAATGATAACATGTTGTAGTAGCCATACACTTTTATAAATAGTATTCCCTTTAACTGAAATAGTACAATATTGTTGAAATGAGCAATGTCATTTACAAATTGTTATACTATCCATTGGCATATCTTTTCTTTATTATTGTAATAATTTCATACTTGTCTGTTATGGGCTCTAAATTAGAAAATAAATGTTCTGTTCTGTTCTATTGTATTTGTATAAAAGTTTCAAAAAATTGCCACCAATGCCTTTAATTCATTTATTTTAAATTTAAAACTGCAGATCTCCAAACAGTGTCAATTTAAAAGCTTTGGAAAACTCTATATAAATAAATTTAGTCACCCCTTTTTAAAAAATGCATGTAAAATTCGTTGTGGAATGGTTTTTCTAATTATTTCGAGTTAACATCGAAGAAACATAAAACCATGTGAATACGTTATAAATCTGTGACGCACGTCTGCTCATGAAAGATGCAATAAATCACCTGGACCACTTCAGGAGTTCTTCACTAGCCATACAGATGCTATCAGTAATTAAATAATTAAACTATACAGAAACTCTGAGTTTAACAGATCACTGATCATGATGATCATGAAATAGGAGGCAAAGCTTAGATCAGATCTTCAAGACGATCTAGAATTTTTCCGGGGGGGGGGGGGGGGCACATCAACTGTAACAATTGTCGATTCGGAAATTTTTTGACAAAACGTGAAAATCCTAATGGGGGGGGGGGGCACTTAATTTCATAAGTCATTTTGTTTTCATAGACAATTTTCTTACCGTTTTAAACAGGTCGACCTGTATGTCTTCTGCTGGCGGGGGGGGGGGGGGGGGGGTTAAGGTCATTTTTTCGTTACTTTTACATAGAAATTTTATAAAACCAAACAATTCCAGGGGGTCTTCCTCATGTTGAAAGTTTCGAAAGCGGAAAAATAGAATGCCCGTGTGATTGATATAAAGCCAAACAAATCTGTGGTCACAGACAGAAAAAGGGAGATACGTTTTGTTCTTAAATTGAGAAACAACAAACAATGGAGTGAGATGCAGAAAAAAAACTAATAACCTTCGACTATCAACAGAGAGGAAGCTGCATGCAGACCTGCAGCTCTCTGTTTGAGAAAATTCAGACGGATAAATAACAACCATAAAATTTACAAAATGTTGGCTTACAATGAGACCGTTGAAAGCCTTGTATCATCAACTAATTTGCAAGTAGCCCACCTCAGTTTATAAACTGAAATTATTTCAAGTTGACGATGCAGGGCTTTTATTGTTCATACGTAGAACAAGCTCAAGCGTACCCAATCAGCAGGAAGTTATAAAACCCATATGGCCGTATTACTACATACACGTATTAAATAGGTGAAGTTGACGATGGAAAAGCTGAAGTATATGTAATTCCTTTTGTCAAATATTTTAGTCGTAGTGTGCCATTAACGTCAGTAGCCAATACATCTACTTACAGTGTATGAAACAGATATGGCAGAGTCTGGGTGTCTGTTATTTATAGAGAGTTCCCTCAGATATATCAAGACGCCATATGCATGAAAATTAATATGGTTTACATAATTGACAAAGTTTACGTTGCCAATTTTAAATATATCCGATTGTCAATCAAATCTCAAAGCCACACAAGATTTTTGCATGTGTAGGAGTTTTTCTTTTTCATTTTTAAATCAAATTCTGCTTCATATAACTCTAGTAAAACAGGTCGGCTATTTAAATAAGAGCACAATTTGTGCCCATTGGATTTCCAACAGATTGTTGGAATACATGATGTTCAAAAGGCTACAATTTTACTGTTAACGAGGAACTCTAGCATCTTTTTAATTTCAGAGTACTTGGGTGTAGAATTCGAACGATTTTTAATGAAGTAATTTTGGAGATGAACAATCACAAAATAAGATAATTTCTGAGTTCCATTTTTATTAAAGAAGCAGTAGTTCAGGCTTTTCGCCTGATGTTTGATTTAAAAATGACTGTTTGTTTAAAGTATTGGAAAGTCATATGATTTGATGCTTTCGATTTCTAAATTTGTAAAAATTTCTATGGAGTTTTAGAGAGTCTACACTAGATTTTCAACACTTCTTGACTATTTTGTTGCACTGTATGTCTTAAGTTTCTCCATAAAGTTACTATTTTTTAAGGAATAAAAATATGGGCTTAGTTCAACTTGACCCTATCCATTCATTGACTGCATCTTGTTTCACATCCCAGTCAAGATTTTTCAGTCATGTTGAGATGTCACTTTCTTTAGGTGAAGTGCCATAAATTCTGACCTATGCATTGCACTTACAGCCGTAGCAGTGAGGGTTCTTTATTGTGCCAATGCCTCCCACCCTTGAGACCTTGTTTTGAGGTCTCAGATACCTTGATTTAAGCCAAACCTGTGACTTTTTACTTCTGATGCCAAGTATTTGTCAAAGGAATGTTTGACATGTGTCGGGAATGAGAAGAGAACCCGGACCTCCCACTCACCAAGCAAGTGCCCTACCCCAAGCTATCACACCCGGTCCTTGAACAGAGCTAAAAAACAAATTGTCCACTATATCTATGTTTTCCATGATAATTGATCAATATATCAAGAATAAATTACATTTCTGGTAAATAATACTTTACTTTTACAAGAATGAACAACAACATTGGAATCATCCTTAATCAAGCAATTAACAAGGTAATTATAATTTTAAAAAATGCTCATTAAATATAAGCACATCAAATTTATCAAAACTGGGTAAAATATATACTTGAACGAACAGGAAGTTTCTGGAAAAATATGAGGTAATGTTGAACACTAATCACTTTGGAAAGGAATCTACAAACATAAGCTACATTTACATAACACAAATGAGCTCCAGTTTAAGTAAGAACACAATAACATAGATACACAATAATGCCTTGTTGAATACAACATACAAGACTGGCATGGACAATGCTAACTTAAGAATTATTGTGATTAATAATAATGTTCTGTTAATCAATTCTTTTATGGTGAAAAATTCTCTGCTTTTATTTTAGGTTTTGGTTAGTTGGTTATAAAAAAAATCTATTCTGGAATGCATTGTGTGCCAGATGATTCTCTGACACCTGGAATATTGTAATGGAATTCTTTCAGCAAAATTCAAATCCTATGTATGCTAAAAAAAAAAAAAATTTAAAAGCTTCCCACTAAATAGACTAGTTTTACTTTGAGCATGTACACATAAGTGTACTTTTCTGCTGACAAACAAGTATATTTGATTTTCGGAGGGTGATGAATGTTCCAGTTCAATATTCAGTAACCTTATCAAAGCAGTTTACTTCATTAAAAAAAAAAAAAAAAAAAAAAAAAAAAAAAAAAAAAAACTACTCTTTTACCCATGTAAGCATGTTTCAAAATTTGCGACGGAGAGCCAAGGAAAAACAATTTTTATTTATTCATGTAGACAAAATTCAACTAATCTGATAAGTTCAAAAAATGATTTAAAACTACAGGGAACAAAAGTCTTTGCCATAATTATGCATTAATTCATTATGATGCTCTGTCTTACTGCATATCGTCTTCATATAGAACCCCTCAAGATACATGTATGTCAAAACTCTGTATGTAAAAAAAATTAGGGCAAATCATAATTGTTGAGCATGGAGACTGACAAATCCTACATGTAAAGCTTTCCACATATTAGTAATGTATGGAAAAAAAATATCATCTCTGCCTTTCAATGTTTTTACATTGTACACTTCATGTGACAAAAAAATTGTGCTTCTATGATATGAATCTAAAATATAAATATGATTATTAATGTATTGAATTTATCTTCTAAGTTTTAACACGTTTTAATCACAGTCAGATTAAAGATAAAAAAGGCTGATTTTTCTCTTTGTTCTTGATTGATTTTTGTTATAGACATGATGAACCACAACAAAAATTATTTGAGTTTTGGTAATATACATGATAAAAAGCAACATCAAAAACACTACAATAAATTGTCTATTACACTCTAATTTAATTTTTCACTCACTAACCATTAGAATAAGCATTGACAATCAAGAAAAAAAAACACCAAATTTTGTAACACTATCTTGCTCATGGTTGTGTCATTGATAAACCTTCCAAATTTGACTGGAAGGCTGTACTAGAATTTCTAATAAATATTTCAAGATATAAAATGATTATTCAACCCTGATAGAATTTTAGATGTATATGGCGCACTTCAAAAAGAATTTAAGAATAATGACTGGCAGTGGAAAAATTTGTTCAACAAATATTGTAAAATGATAATATTTGGCCCACAACTCATTAGAGCTAGGAAGATATAAGGAAATATTGATTATGTGTGACGAAGATATGAGTACTGAAATATCAAAATATCATCCGACATTAAATTTTCAGACTTTTTTCTTTGTATACTTTACAATTTTTCTTTGTATACTGAACATTTTGAATTTAATATAGAAAATATAAAACAAATGTTAAATATAAATTTGAAATACATAATGATCATGATAAGGCCATCTTTAAAAATCTCTTTGTTTGCCCTAAAAATTGGGTTGAGAAGCATTCAGCAAATACCTTTGTATTTCATGTATTTTGCTTGTTCGTACGCAATTTGTTTAAATAATCACAGACTACTTGTCTGGAAACTACTAATGCCAAAGCATTCTTTAAAATAAATCACCAATTTATACATGGATGCAAGAATTTTTGTTACCTCTAATATACATTCAATAATGGTACATATAAAAATCTAGTTTATCTAATCAAATATGTAAATTTTTGACTTTCTATTCAGAATCTGAATATGATTCATTAAAGCTCTAATTTTGACATCTTGTGATTAGGTTAAACCTTTATGGCAAAAATTGTACAGAGACTAAAATAAGTAGCTAAAAATATGCTGACTTAGAAATCTAGCACCAACAATAATCAATTTGTAAAATGTATTCAGCACTGCAATAAGATTTATCTACTTTGAGTCATTTGTTGATTAAGACTAGGAAAATTAATTCAAACAGGTAGAGTATCAACCCCTTGTCTGAATTCCTGGACAGTAGTTGCTTGTAAAATAGGTGTACTGTAACATCTTCTATTTTCTTCTTGGCTTGGAGCTTCAGGATCTCCCTGCTGTGAAGGAGAGACTTTTGGATTTGGACGGATTCTGGTGAGACTAAGTGTTCGCTTTGTGACCCACTCGCTGAGGGTTTCTTCCTTGGGTCTTTGCTCTAACACCTGAATTATACAGGACCTCATGATTCGAGGTAGATGGGACGGTAAAGGGTCATTAAATAGAGCATCTCTAAATAAAGACAAGATTTTTCCACATTCATCTGGTTTTACTTTGTAACACAGCTCTTCTAGTTCTAGTCTTTGAAGTTGGGGGATTTCAAAACCTTTAGGAGTTGTACTCATTAACCAACTGTAGTCTACACCTGTATTCCGACGTCTGTCGTCAACCTCTTTTTCGTGTGAGATACGTTCCAGTTCCTTGATGTGGTATTCAAGCTCATGAATGATGGTGTCAATGACCACAACTTTTGAGTCTTTTTCTGGAGGGCGGTGCCCTTCTGACATGAAATTCTTCCACAGTGATTTGATTGGCTCCATCTTGTCCCCAACCTGTGTTAGAGCCAGAATCAGATTGTACATGTTATAGTGCAGAAGTAATTACGTTCTTCGTTGGAAATTTCTTTTCACAAATAATATCTTTACGTGTAATGTTACTTAGCTTGGATGGAATTTCTTTTTACATGTTATTGAATATTACCAGTGATTACCAAAACATTACTGTAAATGATTGAACATATCATTAATCTTCATACACTATGTACTTGAATCAATTATATAAATCACAACTAAAATAATTGTGGACATTTCTTCATTAATACCTGAGAGTGTTCAGTAGTAGAGTCAAAAGACAAGATGAATTAATTATGGTGCCATTTTAACGGAAGTTATGTTCTGTACGCTTGATATGATAACTGCTTTCTGATTGGTTAATTAAATTGCGTGGTCCAATGACAGTTCGTGTAACTTGCATCATTCGGGAAATTGTCAACAATGTCGCACCACAATCAAGGCCAGATTCAGAGCCACCAAAGGCCAATCCAACAGGACTGGGCCAACCGAGAGTACATAGAGGTCATCACTGGCAGCATTAAGAAGATATCAGACTTTCTAAACTCATTTGGTAAGACGTAGATAAGGCGTCTCTTTTAGAAAATAGATAGGGAGGGGATTTCCTGGTACGAAATATGAATTATTTTGCATGATAACAAATAAAGATGAATTTATGTGTCACTTTCGGCACTGTTAACAATGGGAGACTAAGTATTCAATTGTTAAAAACAAGAACCAGTACCATGACTCATTTGGAACAGGTTCTAGGCCAGTCAAACCAGTCCCCATCCCTTCTCTTATGGGCATCCCCCAGTTGATGAATAAAATTATAATTACCATATTGGCTATGTATAATGTTTATTTTATGAGAACATATTTTCATTTGCCGTGAAGTGCCTATGAGAGAATTTTTTCTCTGTGTATCTTGAATCTTCAACAGATCTTGTATAATCACTCTCGGAGATGCGTCTCCTTCAGTGCAATTGCAATCAAAAATAAAAGTTAATCTGTGGCCAGACAGTTACTTCTTGAATGAAATAACAAAGAAGTACAGTTTTTAACATGATAATTGATTAGTAATAATTTAGCACAATGCAAGGTAATCATACTTTACTTGCTATACTGCACACAAGATGGTGTACAATAGAAATACATCTCTTCTTAAAAGTGTTCAAAAGCAGCAATGTTTTTATTAATATCTTTTCTCTGGGTTGATTTTTAAAACTCCATACTGCAAATAATAGTAGTTACATACTTGGGATTTTTTTTAAATTATAAATAAAAGTGAACTTGTGAAAATTAACTTGTATTAAAATAGCTAAATAAAGCTACATACATGTAGGTAATTTAGTAAGCTACATACCTAGTAAATGTAGTGGTGTGCTAATTATTAAACTTTATATCAAAAACAAATTATTAAACTTTATATCAAAAACAAGAAGGAGTTAAGCTAAAGTGTTGCACATTTGGAAAGATAGAATGCATTCAAAATATTGAGAACTGCTTTGAAATGCTTAAAAGTTTTCTATGTATATTGATACAGTTGAAAACACCATATCAGTTTATTCATTGTTGTGATTAATGTCATAAATGAAATCAGTGTTAGGAGAAGCTTTGGTTTGTGGTGCTCTTATTTTCAACATTTGCTAGCCCATTATTGCAATTATAAACATCTAATGATGATTTTTTGGCACTTTTGACTTGATATATACTAATGCCAGGATTGTATAGTTCTAGGACAGTTTTGAACAAGGTATAAGAAATACACTGAACATGATTTATATGTTAAAAAATATTTTATTTCACCATTTTCAGATACCTCCTGCAGATCTAGACTTGCAACCTTGAATGAAAAACTGACCCATTTGGAAAGAAGAGTGGAATACATTGAGGCCAGGGTATATTCCTAAAAAGTCTTCATCAATATTTCTTAGAATATAAAATCTATAAAACAAGATAAAAATAAACAAATCAAGTTTCTTGCATTGCATATTCATTATTTGTTTTTTGTAGGTCACAAAAGGAGAAACACTGACATAATGTGGCAAGGAGCAGGATTTATGTACAAAAGGGAAAGGAATGAATGTGTTTGGAGTGTGAACAAAAGGAGTGGATCAAGAGTGGTGTATACAAGCAACACAAAAGGGTTTCTCAAACTAAATGACATCCTCCTCATATATAAGAGGAATATATTCATTTGAATATCTTGGCTTTAATGAACTTGATGTAAGCCATATAGTGTATCTGACTGTTACATGCAATGCTATACTGAGTAACTGAGGTATTAAATTTAAGATTTATTACACCTATGTACATTTTATTTTGGATTTAAATTGATAAGTTCTTAAGTGTCTCACTTTGAACCATTTGGTTAAAATATATCCAAGAGAAATTATGAAGTGTTAATTATTGCAAAAGATAACCAATGACTTGAAGAATTACTCAAAGTAAGCAGTATACAAACATGTGAAATTATTGACTTCATGTAGATCATAATTGTAAAAATGATAACAATGTGGAATATACATATACATTCAGTCTAATAAATGCACGAGCAAGTTTATTCTAAATTATTTATTATTATGTACATAAGGAAATTATAAAAAACTAAATAAAACTTTTGAATTCAATCTACATGTACATTTCAATTAAAGGTAATGAAAATAGGCAAAATCTTAATTTTTAATGACTTTCTTAATTGTAAATTGCATCAACTATGACATCATTACTTAGATGTGACATCAAGAAAATACATGTAGGATGAAATGGTTTTGAAAGAAAGCTGCTTAATTTACAGTGAAAATTGTAAAATGTTCACTGTAAGAAAGAAAGTTGAAGAATTGACTTGCTTTCTAATGAACAAGAAAATTAATTGGAAAACATTTCATCCACATCTGCCCAGCTTTACACTTATCCTGAAAAAACTTGCGACCCTTTAGAGCGGGAGTAGAAAAACTGATTCAGAATTTCTTCTTGCTCTGTTGTCCAAGTTTAAAAATTCTGGAAATTTCTCTTGGAGACAAGAAGCCTTTTTTCCTGTACCATGCCTTTTTTTTTTTTTGACATTACCTTTATATAATGTATACCTGTAGATTTGTTAGCAATTTGATTGATTTTTAATTAATGAGGCAATGTAAACATATTTGACTTAAATTCAGCGACTTCCTGTTTAACATTACATGCGTCCATCTAAAATATTGGAAATATCTTTAGATTTTTTGATCTCAAGAAATCATGATATATTTATGGTTACCTATTGACACTAATTCAAAGAGCTGAAAGAAATGGACATTTTGTGAGAAACAATGAAATTGTAATTGAAAACAAAGACAGTATTGAAATATGGTGATTAGAAATATTGAGTGTATCTATCCATTAACTTAAGAAATGATTCCTTCCTTTATTACTGTGACCAAAACCAGCCCTTGTGGTTAATGTTAGAACAAATTTTAGAACAAATTTAAACTTGTTTGACTGCTTTTACATTAAATTTGTCTAACTTTAAGCTTTGTTATACTTGAGAGAAATATTTCGGAATACATGTATCACCAACCAAGCTCACTTTCTCTTTTACTTGTATTTTGGTTCAAGAAGGTTATAATGATAATGGCCCTTCATTTTAAGAAACGATTTGATTCCACAAAACTTAAAAAAAAAAGTTTTATACTAATTTTAAATAAGCATCTTCTAGTTTAATCAAGGGTCTGTAGGAAAGAGACTGAAATTGTAAAAAAAAAAAAAAAAGAAAAAAAAAAAAAAAAAAAAAAAAATGCTCATTGAACTTGACTGCCTCCTGCTGAGTATCATGAGTTCCTCATGCTGTGAACACTTTAGGACTCCAGGAACTGGTCCAGAGATTATATAGTTGGATGAGGGCTATAATCATTTTCATCCACTTTATCTCACAAAAGAAAATAAATGTCAATATATGACCAACTTAGCCCCATCCTGGAGCCTGATCCCTGGTCTGGGAGGCATCAATTTTACAAATGAATATTTTTTTGTAGAGGGCTACCTGCTCATTATAATCAAGCAAACAATTTGCTTCCTACAGGTTCATGAGTATATAGAAGACAATCTTAGTAGTGTTACTTAGAGACCTGTCCATGGGAATTAGAAAGTGAAACAAAATCACATTTTAATTTTCTCCAAACAAGCATGGTTGCCAGAAAAATTGGTTTGCTGGTGACAAGATAGCTCAGTTCTGAGAGTTTCTGTCTAGAAAGTCAATGATGCATTATCATACTTTATACAGACATAACGCAATTGATGCATGCATCAATTCAGACTTAGTATCATCCATAATATGTTTACTAGGGATAATTTGACTGGAAATAACAAGACGATAACCAATTAAACAAGATAACAAAGTTCTTTCTAGTAAGATCATTCATAACTCTCAATATGAACACTCAGTCATGTTCTGTTAACGTTGTGAGGCAGCGCCCTATCTTTTTTTACATCGCCCAAGTATGTCTGAAATATTGCCGGCTTGGAAAAATAACAAATGAACAATCAAGCAATCTTTACAGCATAAATGCTTTAAGAATAAAAATAAGCTAGCATATAAATTTAGAATTTATTAACTAGTATGAATTTGTAAAATATATCACACAACAAATAGAATACAATGGATGTAGCTCACATATCAAAACAAGTACATGTAGCAACTTCTCAGACTCGTGAAGATTTTCATACCACTGCCAGGAAAGATAATATCACATTGTTTTTAACCTAAACGTACTGTTGATGTGTTTAAGCATTAATATTAGGAGTTATTCAAAATCAACAAAAAATAATACTTTATCACAGGCAAGAATATACAGTATGTATTTTTTTTAAATTATATAACATATAAAAGGACGGATAAAGGTAAATCTATAACAAATCATGTAAAGATATTTATACTATCAAGAACAACCTACTTCAGCATTGAGAAAACACAAAATATCTTAAATTAAAAGCTCTTTTCTCTTGTCAAAACATCTTGATTACTTGGTTTTAGCAAAAATGCCTCAAACTACCAAAAAAATTAAATTGATTAAATTCTTCCCTTTATCATGATTACTACAAAAACTAATTCAATTTTGATTTTCACACTCTAACAAATGTATGCTAGCTTTCAACCTGCTAACCTCATAAATATCACAGATAATTTGTTAAAATTTCTACAATGTAAACCTGTAAAAAATAAATATAAAATAAAAAAAGGATGTCATTCTCAATGTTGATGTGTTCAAAATGAAAAATGATTTGAAAAAAAAAATTGCAAAAAAAGCTATTTCAAAATCCCTCTTGCACACCCATTGACATGTGGTAGTTAACAAAATGTAAATATAAATTAAATTTTAAATCTAAATCACATAAAGAATGTTTTAAGCAAATGCATTTCTTCATTGTGTAGTTTCATTTCTGATTACAGCATGATTAATTAGTACAAATTTTCAAATTTTCTTGGCACCAAGTTTTACATCAGTTCCTCAGAACTTAAACATCACTCCTCAGAATTGAGGACCACACTCTCAGCCAATCACTCCTCAGATTTGAGGACCACAGCCTCAGCCAAGCCTTGCTCCTCCACTCTGAGGACGTAAAAGCTTGTTTAGAACCTTCGGAGAGGGAACTGTCTTCTGCATATAAGGACTTTTTAACAACTGGACATAATGAGAAGGTGCCTGGGTGACATTGGAGGCAGAAAATGGACGTTGGTTGACAGAAATCTTTTTGTGTCGTTTTGGACTGCGAGGACGCTTCTTCATGAAGATTCTGTCAATGGGAGGGTCAGCATTTGTGGGGGAATCTGCCCTTTTGGGAGAGTGAGGACGACGTTCCTCTATGTATCGTGGTGCTGACAGAGCTGAAGTAGAACTCTCTCTTACCAACTGCAAAACTGGCTCTGGAAAAAAGAAACATTGAAATATGGCTTTAAAATCATTTCAAGAACCTCTAAAAGGAATCAGAATCTTTAATTTACTTAACAATAGGATAAAAATAAGAACAATTGTAAATCTGAGCTACAGTTAAAATTTTTGGGATACCTTTCTTTTGCAAGATAGTTATTTGGTATTCATAACGTACAGTAAATAATGAATATGGCTCCTTATATTATTTGATACAAAAAAAAAAAGGAAAAAAAAAGTTTAAAATGTGGTTCTCAATTATGAAGTTCAAATGATGCTTCTTTGAAAATCTGCATTGATTTGATTCAAAGCGTAAGTTGAAGCAACCAGTAACAATTTAGAACATATTATCAAACTTTCCAAATTTTAATTAAATTGTCACGTCTTGAGATCCTTTTTACTTCGGGAAACACAGACTTGCCTGTCTGAGATTTTCATAAACAAGATTTATTTGATACAAGTGCATGAAAATATGTCAATCTGGTAGACAGGCAAGCTTGTGCTTTATGTTTTCTGAAACAGTATGTGCAAAAAATAAAATGAGAAAGTTCTGAATTTGACAAATTTCTAGACCATCCTGTCACCTCTGTATATGACATCACTTGAAATCAATATCATTTTGAAACAGTTTTTGATTATGAACTATTGCAAAATTGTGAGAAACCCCCAAAACAAGGAGCCAAAAAGGGGGTCTTACCTAGAGACTCATCATCAATTGTCATATCATTTTTACAAGAGTCACACTGGAATACAGGACAACCCACTCCTTGAACCTCACTGAACGTGTGCCTCATAAAGGCAGCAAAAGATGCGTAGTCATAGGCACTGTAACGACCATGCCAAGCAATGTAACCTAAAAATCAAGTCAAGAAATTATTTTTTACCACTTAAAATTCTGGTCAATTTGAAAGCTTTTCTTCAATTGTCATTTTATCCAGTAGTTTTTTTTTTTTTTTTTTTTGATGAGCCACAAGAATGTATTTGATATAGACAGTATGTCATTGGTTGGTACAGGTCCAAAAAATCAGTACTAATTTTACATATACTAATAGTGAATTTATAAATAATCCCTTACCATCTGCATGAATAAACAGGAAAGTAGGCACACCAGCTATTCCCAGAATTTCTGTCAAATCTACGTGCTTTTTGCCATTCTCTATATCATTCCTGGGAGCAGATCCTTGTTGAAGAAAAAAAGAAACAATTGAAATCATGAAGAAAATTTCAAATTTCAAGTTTAAATTAAAAATCAATGATACAACTAGTAAAAGAAAAAGTTTATTGCATGGGTTAAAAGATAAATCTACCCAAAATTCCTTACCTGCAGTACTGTTTTTCCAGACACTGCTAGCTTCATCAATGGGGGATGCACACTGGCTTGTACAATGCCAAATTACACCTTGTTCCCTCCAGCCATTGGATGTAATGGAGTGGATCAAGGATTTTCTGTCTGAGGCGTGGTTAGCTTCCACTCCACAGGAAACAGCGATAAAGTTATACTGAAAGTACACAAGAGTAGCCTCTGAGTACGCTTTCTGTTATTAGTGCAAATCTAACCACATGAGAGAAAAAAAATGATTAATTTTGTAAAACACTGGGTTTATAACCATCTTTTTTTTTGTGTTGACCTTTTCTAAATAACAGTTCGTAGTTGCTTTATTACCTCAGAAGCTCCTTCTCTGGCAAAACGTGCATAATGTGACATGACTTTCTGAGATCCATGACACCTGATAAAAGAAATTTAATCAAATTAAAATAATAAAGGAAATATTTTACCTACAATCTCGATATAAAATTTTGATTCACCAATGAATCTTAAGTTTATAACTTAGCACTAAAGAGGCAAGAAGTCATTTTAGTTCATTTCACGAAATGATTGTCCAAAATCTTTCAAACAATTAAGAAGTTTTCCACAATTACAGAAAATAATGCCAACCCATTTTTTCAGTTTTACAACTAACCATGGTGTCCAGAAGAGTATGGCAGTTGGGAACTGTTTGTTGTGAGTCCCTAGGAAGGGTTTGTAGTCTCCCTGGAATATGTCTAGCAGGCTGCAGGCTGGGGGAGGGACTTTGCGTTTTAAGAGGCCCTGATTGGCTAGTTTTTTGGCTAACTGTCGCTCATACATCACAGAGTCCTGATACTTGCAGCACCCCTGATTTGGCCACCTGGAAAAAGAAATTTTGAAGTATATTATTACAAAACTTCCATCTTAATTTCTAAACAGCTCTAAGAGTTCAGCATTTCCTAAATTTTCGAAAGTTTTTGCGAGAAATGAAAATTAAAACATTATTCTACAGGATACATGAATATGTAAATCTTGGATTTTATCTAATAAACAGGAAAGTTGTCCAATTTTAGTAAATTTCTAAGTTCTCATATATCTGTACATAAATTTACCTTGCATTTTGATTATGAATACTGTGATAGCAGTAGAATGAGAAGGGTCTGAAGGTCTCTGACAGAAGATCAACAGCGTTTGATTCGGCACTGGAGGCCTGCGGTTTGTCTGACACAGACACCATAGTCAATTTGTAGATTGGCTGCTCTGTTCCAAGCTAAAACATTCAAACAAATTAAATACTGTTGACACTGTAATGGTTTTGATTGAAAGTTTATAAAATTTCTTTGCATGTACATCTAAAAAATCAAGATTGCAAAGCATTCTTTTGGCTCAAATCTTTCAGAAAATCGATATATTTCAATGTTTACTGACAGTAAAACCTATGCACTTTATTTACTTCAAACCTCATTTGAGAATTTAAATGATTTTTCTTATATATACAGAACCATTTCAAAGTGTTATTATTTTTAAGTCAGTACTCTTCATTAATTGTCATCAGCATAAATTAAAAATTGTTACATGTAATACAAGCAAGTACATTTACCTTGATGCGAACTTGTTTGACTCCCTCATGCATGGTATTTCCATACTGTTTCCCATCAATCAGAACTTTAAATCCTGACACACTTGTCTCACTCTGCCTCTGAGGACAAGACCAACTGACATGGGCAATCAGCTGCCCTGTATAATGTTCCAGGGCACTGAAGCAGTGTTCCAGAATTTCCTCTATCCTGGATAATGTGTGGGCTCCCTCAATCACTCCCCTATTCTTCTCTGCTCTCAATGGATTTGATAAAGCACCAATTTCTTTTAGTTTATGACCAACTTTTCTTATTAATCTGAAATTTATAGAAATTTCTGTAACCTCTATTATCTAGTCCCCTTTCACTATGGCACATTGTATCCTGTTATACTTAGTTGATAAGACTGAAATCAAAAGTAGTTACCTATCCCTCTTGTTGACTAGATCACATGTAAGTCTCTCCAGAGCCCTGCGTTCATCCAATCCAACAACTGTAACAGTAACCAGGGGTGGATCCGGGGCAGGTGCAGGGGCCACATGTAGAGGCTCAGAGCACACCACATCACCAGTGTTGTACAGCTTAAATTGAAAATTATACCCTTATTGTAACCCAATAAAATTCAATATAAATCTTCCAGAATTAAAGACATTTCTTTATAAAACACAGAACTTGAGAATTCAGTAGATTAATTACATGTTAGAATATAATTATTCAACATATTAAACATCAGCATGTAGTACATACATGTACTTCTAAGAAGATGCTGTATGATCCTCTCTTAAGGTTCTTGAACTCTGCCTCTCTGGTGTTAGGATGAATTGGTCCAATGGAGGGTGTCACTTCCTTTTCTGTGTCACGTTCCACACAAACAGCCTAAGACATTAACAGTGGAAACACAAAATTATTCCCAAATGTCAGCTTAACATAAAACAAATCAAGATCTATCAAGAAATCCATTTATCAGGGGTATTCACCTTCATTTTTCAAGGAAAACTATTCTAACAAATTGAAATTTCTCTTTGATAAAATATGAAAGTGAAAATACTGACCCTGAAATGTTTGACCTTGACCCCTTCTGTGAGGTAAGGATCATCCCAAGCAATTCTGACACAAGAACTGCTGTGGGTGGCAAGTCGTTTCAGTGCTGGGGCCTTACATCCTGGCCAAACCACCACTAGGGGTTCCGAAACTTTGCTGTGGAGTTTTTCGAAAGAAGTCAGGGCTTGCACTTGGAAAGCATATTCCTGGCACCATTTCCCATGTGTGAAGGTAAAGCTCATCTGCTCTGCATTCAATATGGCCTCAACAATGCCATTTACGTACACCTTGTAGCCTGTTACTAAGGCGTCTCCATATGTGTTGGGTTTCTCCCACTGTACTGCTATGTACCGGAAGTTGCAAGCTCTACAAGATGAAAATTAATGTTAGTAAAGTAGAACATGTAAATCAAATCAAGTGTCATATTTCAGCACAATTTGTAAATTCAACATGGCCCAAGGACAACAACAGACTTTTACTGTTTTTTCTGTTTAAAAAATTTGATCCTTTCTATATCCCACCTATAATCCCCAAAACCATGATTTGATATATTCTATACTGTAGATTCCTAAATATACGCGAGGAATAAATTATCGCGTCATTACGCGAGAAGCACCACTCGCGAAATAAAATTACTCGCTTTTATTTTTATGGTGCTTTAATGTATGTAAAATCTCTTGATAAATCACCGATTCGCGAATTATTGTTCTCGCGGTTTGACGCCCTTGGGTCACTTCGCGATATTAAGTACTCGCGTAAAATAAGGAATTTAAAGTATCTTTGTTCATGGAGATGCTTGCATATCAGTTGCCTATATAACCATCTTATTACTGTTCTTGAAAAGAGGATATTTAAATTTTTTTCGTAAACATTCTAGGTATAACACTTTGACCCAATCCTAGCACTTGTCCGTGAATTGAATAAAAATCTAATCTACATCATATATTAAAGGAAGCTTTCACAACAATTTTGTTTTAGCTTAGTAGTTTTTGAGAGGGTTTTATAATATTCCCATTCTATTTTAAATTCACTGCTGGTGTTTTGAATGGGAAAAAGAACATACGGTTTGATGGACTGAATCCCTTTTACCCAAGGATGCTTTATGACAAGTTTGGTTAAAATTGGCCTGTGGGTCTCAAAATTGTGAAAAGACAGATATTTTACAGGTAACTTCAACCAGAAAACCTCACTTGAGCCTTTGTCTTAGGTAAACTTAAAAACACTAAAAAAGACCACCATTGCATATTAAGGAAATCACATTGCATGTGATTCTTAATTAATTGACTTGTACCTGACAGACAGAATTGGAGCATCTGGTGGAGCTGAAGTCTGAATGGTCAATTGTTTGGACTTCTCCAGAATCTGTCCGTCAGCATCAATAGCAATTAGTCGGACAAAGTGAGTGGTCCCAGGCAGACAGTTGTTAATTACACAGCTACTGTCCTTATCTGAGAGTTTGACCTCTCTTTGCTGGAAAGAAAATCATAGTGACCTTTCATTCATCACAACTGTTAAAGGTAACACCAACCAAACTGAAAAACTGACTAATGACTTAAGTTTATACATCAGTCTATAAATCAGTAAACTAAATAACCAAAAGCCAATGAATTTTTGACAAATATACTACACATATTATGATTTTTACTACATGAAGGAATATTTCAAAACAATACTGTACATTCATAAATTTTAAGTGTGATCTTTTTATACAAACATATGCCATATGTGTCCTATTTAGTGTATTCAGTTTTCTTAAGAACTTTAAAGTTTTCTACCCTTTTAAGGAAGATTAAAGCCTTTTTAGCAGTAATAGCTCTAAAACTGATAAGTCACAATGTTTCCTTTACATTTTAATAACTGTCACATATTTTTCACCTTGTATGGTATACTAAATTTGCTTTGATTTTCATAATTTCATTTCTCTCTCATCTTTTGTTAGAGAATTATCAATATTACAGCAAAGTTTCATTTCCCCTTAATTCTTCTCTAAGAGTTACATACTGCTGGTTGGGCCACACTGCTCCACTGAATTTTATATCCTGTTACCCCCTCTGTCTCTATGAAGTTGGACCAGTCCAATTGTATGGAGGTTTCTGTGATGGTAGTGACCTTGACTGGAATCATGTCCTGATCCTCCCGGATCATATCCTCCCCTGACAGAAGGCGGGGGGAGTGGGGGGAGGTGCTGACCAGTAGCATGTTAGAGAAGGATGAGTCGCTGTAGAATGAGTTGTCACTTAAGGCCACCAGCTGTACTTTGTAGTTCCTGCAAGTCAAAAGTAATGAAATGTATATATGTACTTACCAGAAATGTTTTGTCTACCTTTTTCACATTTCAAGGCATGATAATCATACAAGAGTACTAAGACATTTTTCTATTTTAGAGACTTTCTTTAGCAACGTGTGAGATCCTCGATATTTATACTTGTTAATCCCTCCCCACTTCCACCTTCAAAAAAAAAACCCTACATCTCCAGCATATCAGATAATTTTTTTAAAGAAAAACCTTAAAATAATAGATGTGAAAGTGCATAGTCCTAAAGCCAGTATTAATTTTTTCACAAGAAGTTGTTAATTAAGTTTTACTGAAACACTTACTTATTTGGACGGCATGGTATTACGGCCTTGCGATGAGAATTACTAAGTTCATTTCCCACTTTCTTGTCATTCAAATATACCTTCAAATGAAAGAATAGAAAAAAAAGACAGGTTACAAATTTCGTTCAATCTTGTACGAAAGAAATCCGATCAAATCTCTATCCCAAATAAAACACAGAAAATACGTCCATGATAAGAAAGTTTATCTTCAATAATAAATTAAAATCTTGACAGTGTATCACTTAACAATGAAAGAGGTGATAAACAAAAGTTCTCCAAATCAATATCTGTCAAAAGATCTGGATAAAGAGAATTATTATTGACATGGTTGCTATGGAGATATTAAGGAAGCCATCTTAAAATGAAGTGCCACTGTGGAACCATGTTGCTACAAGGATTCTTAATGTCAAAACACTTGAGCTTATGGGGAAAAAAAAATCAAATACACCTTATCAGAGAGAAAGAAAATAGAGAGCACTAGACAATCAGATAGGGGACTGTTCAGATAACATTGATCTGTTACCTAAGCCTTATGAGTGTTTACCAGTAACCTGTCAAACACTGGAGTTGAACATTAAACATGCATGTACAAAATGCTTAGAGAAAATCAAACAACTTTCTTCTATGACAACTGGGCATATTTCATTGTTTCAGAAGGGTCAAAATTTGGGTCAGTTATGTTTCTTCTATTAAATGATTGATTAACATGTATGTTGTTGATTAACACACTATAAAGAATTTCATTGTAAATATGAATTTAAAATATTCAACCCATTTTTAGAATTTTCAAATTGAGCATGCACAAATCAACAAATTTATTATGACAAAAGAGAAATAAGAATTTAACAGAGATTATTTTTAGAAAAATTTTAGCACACATTGTACATTGTAAAAGTGTTCAATGATAAATTTGACAGGTGCTTCTAAAATAAGAGTGGTATACCTGTCAAAGTCTTATCTGAGGTTTCACAAATCTTGTTTAACAATATCTTGCTTTACAAATTACCTATTAAGGCTATTACATTATGGCAATGTACTATCATCAAGCCCTTATCATTCAACCACCGTAATTCACTACCTATTGATTTCTTAATCCTAGCTAATACATTTGATTCAATACTTGTCTTCATGGCCTTGAACCTTCCTAGACACTGACCTGGTAACCTCGAACTTTGACCCCTCCAAACAGCCTAGGTTCTCCCCATTCTATGACAAACTCCTCTGGGCTAACAGACTTCAGAAAGATTTCTGGTGGATCTGGGGGACCAGGAATAACCAGCTGAATTTTCTGGTTAACCTGGTGCAGGGCATCTGTAAAGTAATCTGGTTCCACTTGGATATCATAAGAGGCCCTATAAAGATATTTCAGGTTAGAATCATATTTATGTCCAGGATAAAAAAAAAGTACAAATATGTACATAACAACTCAATTTTATTAATAGTATATAAGGAATATTAGTAAAGGAGTAAAACTTGTATTATGTAAATTTAAATTTCAATGAAAGTATGCATTTTTGATTTTTCTTTTTTAAATAAAACGTAGCAGTCTGCATCCAGAATCTTGTGAGTATCTGAATATAAGTGACACACATAATTGAACTCAGATATGCCTTGCTACTTACTTTAACCTTGTGACCGGTATCAGAGTTTTCCTGGCATCAGGAGTGACAACTCTTGTCTGGACCTGCCTCTCCTCAGTGTTAGACCAGATAACGTTAAACTGCTTGACGTGAGTGATGACATCACTTCTCTCCCCTTGTGTTTCCCAGCGAAGTTCAATGTCACCAAATGTACTGTTGTCTCTATCCTCATCATGCTTGAATGTGCACTCTAAACTCTTGATGTAACCTGGAAGGACAATTGTATATCTTTTGAATGACTGAGGGTATTTTATTTGTGGTTTCTGAGTGTTACACATCAAGAAGGCTTCTATATCAAGGTTACCAATCCATATTGATCTGATCTTTCAATGATATAACAAGGCATAATTATCAACCAGAGAGAGAGAGAGAAAGAGAGAGAGATTTAACTTCTTCTAGCTAGTAATCAGTATGGTATCAAACTTCTACTGAGAGTGAATGTTTATGTCAATTCAACTTACCATCTTGGTCCCTGGGAAGGACAACTTCCAGAGGTTCTGAAGGTGAAGGGTCAAGGTTATCCTCATCTTGGAGTAGAGCTGAGTAGTCTACCGTCTGTAGACTGACATTTCTGTATACTCCCTTGTACTAAAGAAGAAATCAATCAATATTGATCTTAAAACAATTTTTTTTTTTGCCCTTTTTTTGCTGCATAAATTTCTGTCAAAGAGACATTTAAGTAATTCATCATTTCCTAGTTTAACACAAGACAGAAAATCAATACACTGCCACACACAGAGCACCCATTCTATTATTTACATGAACAATTTAATGTACCAGGTAATATTCAACCACTTTTTAATATCTTTCATTTTCATTTACCCTGATACATGTAGTTTACTCAATACAATATTAATACGATAATGCAGATCAATTTTACTAGGATTTTAATTCATTTTCTAAATAATATTTTTTTCCATTGAAAGCAATCTTGATTCTGGACAATATTGTACACATTGTACCAGTACCTTCTTTTTGCGGTCTTTCTTTCCTTGGTCAGTACAAGTCAGTGCCACCAGCACCACTCGGTACTTTTTGCCCGGTTTACACTTGGTCAGCTGACAACTCTGGGCATTGGGTCCCAAACAGGAATGAAGTCTGTCATTAATTTCCAGTTTATACCCCTCTAAGTACCTCCTGAGATATTTAGGTCGTCCATCATTCTCCTTGCCAATGACCGACACCAGGGGAGGTTTTTCCCAATACAGCTGGGCAGTGGTTTGGGTGTATCCTGTGATGTATACCCTGGGGGGCTCCGTTGGAGCCCTAGTTCTAGTGAACAAAGGCTTTGACATCACGTTGGCAGTTCTGCGGTATCGTTGTATATCTTTGTCGTTTTCAGCAGATTCTAGGGAGGTTTTGATGCTGACCACTGCTTCTACTACAATCTTATATTGTGCCCCAGGGGTCAGGTCTTCAATGGTCACATTATTATCTGCAGGGTCAAGGTTGATATGGCTGGCCACATACCATTCACTATCACCTTTCTTGGAATTTTTCACATCAGACCATCTGAGAACTTGTCCAATTAACTTATTAGATCCATAAACAATCGGTAAAAGCCAGGTCACTGAAAGTCCTGAAGTTGAAGACTCAACGATCTTCAGATTAGCGGGGGGCTCTGTTCCAGCAGTTTTGGCCATGGTGTAAGTGTTTGGCAGCCATATTGAATCATCAGCAGCAACCATTCTGTCTCTGGGAATGGAACGGACTTTCTTTAGCTTGTGCCTCTCTGGAAGTCTGTCGAAATATTCATCAGTAACTGCCGTGACTCGTAGGACATAGTCTGTCTTCTCTCGCAGGCCTTCAATGTCGGCCCTGCATTCATCTGGTCGTACTTCTACAGACACATGATGAAGGTCACTGGTGTTTATAGACTGAGCATCAATTCGGATAGCTGTAAAGTAAAATGTGCTTGTGCATTTAGAAAATTAATCCTTACATATTTTGTTACGGTCATAGCGATTACTCAAGGGCAGCTGAAATTGCTTCAGTATGTCAAAAATTTGATATATCCATGCAGTTATTAATTCACGTTTTACTAGCTAGTACTTAGTAAAAAAAAAAAGATTAGCTTGTTTTATGCCTTTATTTGTAATGTCCATATTATTTGCCATAAGCCTATTTAATTGCAATTTCTGAAACATGTGCCATTGAGAAAAGACAGAAAACTTGTTTCTTAAAAAATTATGCTGAGACTTTTTTTTCACTTTTGATGCTCATCAGACCCATAATTCAATTGTATATGCTTCAATCATAAAATGAATGTTGCACAATTTTCTGAGTTTTTATGTCTGCAAAGGTGGCATTCTGCAATTAATTCTCAAACATTTACACACCTATTATTTCCACTCCATGTTCTACAGGTGGATCCCAGACAAGTCTGAGGGCATTACATGTTGAGGCAGCTATCGACAGATTACTGGGCGGGTCAGGTGGGCGGGCCGTTCTCAGAGTCAGAGGTTCTGATTGGGCGGTTAGGATAAACTTGTTGGTGGTGTCATTTTCTTCTCCTTCAAAACAGAAAATTATTTACATGTATACATAAAAATCTTTACTACTTAATAATATTAACTTGAATTTACAAAAATATTAATTCTGAAAAATCATTTTGAATGTAATTGCTTGAAACGATTGATTTTTAATCAAATTTACTTATTCAAGAAATTCTCGACAAGAATTAACTGATACTGACCTTCGACCTTGTAATTCTCCATACGTCGTGCCTCAACGACTATGGTGTATGTTGTTGCTGGATGGAGCCCAGTGATCAGAATATGATCCTCTGAAAATCAAAAAAACAGTACATTTAATTTAACAACATAATGTTGTGTTCACTTATTTATTTATTTTTTTATAAAAATCATAAAATTGAATTCCTCCTACCTTTAGTCTCTTCACTCTGGACATCGTTTTTATCGCCACACCACCAGGTCACTACATAATGGTCAGGACGAACAAAGTGGCCGTGTAGCTTGTCCTCTAAAAATAAAAAAATAATCAAAAACATTATAATTAACTACAAAAAAAGCCTCAACTTGTCCTGAACAAAGCAACTAAAGTTCAATCCATCAGTTTCAATAATTAAAGCTTATTTATGTTAAGCAAATACAAATTACATTTTGTTTCAATACATGGACATCATATACAAAAATTCATAAACATTGACCTCACACCCAGAACACATCAAATACATAAAGTATTAATCATAGTACTGTAACCGCTTATCTTGAACTGTATCAAATCTTCAAGTGCTCTCTGAATAATGATAGATAAAAAGATCTTCAAGCAGCCTGTAAGTTAGGGCAAAATCCAAGTATTCTTGACACACACACAATGATGAAATATGATTGAAATTGTCAATGTATGGTCAGAGAATAAAATGGCAAATAAAATGCAGAAAAACTTTTTCAACAATGACAAAGTTCCGTTGGCAACCTTTGGCAGCAAATTGCAAGTTATTGACAAGCATGAATAAATAAAGCATATTTCATAACTGTTCATATTAATTAAGTTAACAATGTAAGCTGATCCTTAAAAGAAGTATAAGTTTACATGATGAAAACAAAGCTCATTCAAAACCAGCTTCCATATTAGTGAATATAAAACTAAAACACAAAGCATTCGATCATCAGGTTCACCTGGGATAGGTAATTTCAGCTTATCTTGCTCATGGAGATATTGGTTAAGTTCAAAAATATCATCTATAAAAAAATCAAAAGTAAGAAACTCTAAAATGTGAATGCAATTTAAAATCATTTTTTTTGAATCTGGAAATAAAAGTAACAGAGACAAACAGTATTTCTTCTGTATCTCTCACACAACTGCCATTTTGTTAAAATGTTGTTGATGAATTCATTTCTCCCAGTAATTCATTACATAATTAAAAGTTTTGATTAATCACATACATCTGCATATTCTACCAGTTATGACAAAGTTTTTCATCCTCATGTTCATTTTTTTCAAATTTGAAATTATGCATTCTATATATTCTTCAGTGTGAGAATAATGAACAAGAAAATGAATCCACTGACAGTAAAATTAACTGAAATATTAAAGTGCTTTGATGCCATCAACTGTGAAAATTTTAATGATATGAATAACAATTTTAGCCCAAAAGCAGTTGATTGCTAAGGTTTCCATACTTGAAAAAACTCCATTTATTAATCAAAATATAATCTTTATAAAAGAAAAAAAAGAACACTCAATACCTTTTCAACAAAACACTAATCAATTTTTCTGATTTTGATGCATCCTTCATATTATTTTGTTCAAATAAAAGTTAACTGGTGACTAAAAATAGTCAGGGACTAATAATAAATGCAAACTGGCTTAAGATAAAATTCACAACAACCGTTGGGTACACAGAAAATTCTAAACATGTAAATTAACATGCCACCAAGAGGAAATGGATTATCAGAAAAAAATTCAAATACACAATTAATCTGTCCACAATAATGCCATGTACCATTTAGTGTTAACTTAATGGGGAAATGGATCAAAGGGAAATTTACTGCCTCAGCAAAACAATATGGAATCCAAATTGCAATTATACAGTCAAAAAAGGAAAGCACTTACCAAATGGTTAGCAACTTTACATACAAGTGGCAATACTGGTACATGTAAAAATCTGACACTATTACGCTGTATTTGTGCTGGTTAAATATTCAAACCCAATATTTTTCTTTTGCTTTATAGTTGACAGTCTTGAGAGATTTTGCAATGAAGTCATTATAGAGAGGGGCCAAAAAAGCCACGACATATTTTCTGAAGAAACAAATAATGCTACAATTATATAATTGTCTGTTTAAACTCAGTTAATTGACCAAACATGTTCAATGTATGCATATAGCATGGTATATTTATCTGAACAGAGCATGCCTTGTATACCAGCCAGAGTCTATGGAAAATATACAACTTGCAAGAATTAATTGTCTTCTTTTTTATTCCCTTTCTGGCAGAAGTCATACAAATATATGTGTCAAAAATTGTCAAATACTATGGCATATATGCTTTAGACTTTGTAAAACTTCAATTTGTCTTTGACATTCAAGGCTATAGGGTTCTGATTTTAATTGAATTTCTTTACACCCTGTAATTATTAAGGTTAACCTTTGTTGAATTTAGCCATTTTCTAAAACTACTGCAATAAAAATCAATGTTTATCAATATGAAAAAATTAAAGGCTTCATGTTAACAAATATAATATATCAAGGGAGCTGACTCCCAAGGACCAGATTTCAAGAACAATGATCAAGACAGTTAATGATAAATCTGTTATAACATCTTATTTTTTCCCTAGACCCTATAGGTCTACAGCAAATATGGTATGTACTGTTTATTGAAATGAATGAATTAATAAAGGGTGCATTGAGGAATATTTGAGAATTTAAGAAAATTAGATGTATTCAGTTATGCTTTTAAATCATCTTCATTATGTTTTATAAAAAATCATTGGTGACGATGTAAAACTGACAATTAAATACTGTAACATTATTTCAAACTCTCAATTTCAGGGCTTCGCTAGCATTGTTCTTTAATTAAACAGTGCAGTGGGTTCAATATTACCTGGACAAATACATTTCTGTCCATAGTTACTAGCACACCCAATTTCAGGCTACTGCATAAACATGGAATTATATTGTGTTTGTTTTGTCCATCATATTGCCCTTAAAGTAAACTTGTACAAGTTTAAAATGTGCTCGACAGCTCCGAAAAGCAAATAATGCTTGTTATATATTGTCTTTCACGCATTCTTCAAGTTAATAGTGTCGTGAAAGTGATACCTGCACTAAAAAGAAATGTCGATATCGGTGTAAATGTTTGATTTCACAAATCTGACACTTTCCATGTTTGGAAAGGATATTAGATTCCTAATTCAGATCATGATGGTAATGATAACCCGGGCCCTGCTCTTCAGTGCTTTTATGGAATTTACATAAAAAATATTTATTCAAACAATTTTTAAAGTGCTGTGTATACAAGTAGGGATGTATAAGTGAAATAAAAAGTTTTTTTTTTAACATATTGATTATAATTTCATTTACATTGGTGCCTAAAAAACTTGAAGAATATCCCTTTTGCAGATTGAATTAAACATATGTCATTCAAAATTTGCATGGAGACAAATATTTTAAAATTCATAAAAAATGTACCTAAGAGCTTTTTGGCTTCAATTGTATCTTTTTGTTTTTGGACAACAATTAGTGAATGTAAACTCCTTTTAGATATACTCAGAAATACTTTTTTACAACATTTATATAAAAATATGACATTTTTTAGGGTACAATGTGAAATTGTTATCCTACAAAAACCATTGTTGACAGAGGCAAAGCAGTGTTTTTTATTTCCTTAAATAGACAAAAGGAATTTAAATCAAAAACAGAATATCATTTAATTAATTTTTGAAAAGAAATGAGATACATTCTTCAAAATGATAACATTATAAACACTTGAACTTTAATAGAAAAGACAAAGTAAACTTACTGTTAAAAGATAAAAGAAATATTCCTCAACACAGAATGAAAGATTCTCACACTTTGAGAGCCAATGAATATTTAAGTCATTTTAAAAGGCGTGTAAACATGCACCATTTAAATGTCATTCTGCAATACTGATCACACATAGGACTTTCTTATCCAATGAATAAAATAAAAAAAAGGGAAAAAAAATCAATGTTCAATTATTCAGATCAATTGGTTAGAAGTACACTTATATCCCATTGATCTTCCTCTTCTCATAGTAACGATACAGAAAAAGGCTCGTAAAGAGAAGCAACAACAAACTTTGTAATTCCTTCTTAACTCCCACTACTAAACACAGAGATATACAAAGAGTACAGGGGATCGTGTATAGCTCACACCCTTTAATTTAAAACAAAGGCAACAAAACTCCACTGAAAAAAGCTTTTATGGGTATCTTGGATGTTTAAAACGGACGAAAATATGTGTAGTTTAAAATTATTGACCATAATAATGTGGAATGAATAAGTTTTGGTGCCGCATGTAAAGAATTAATTGATCTGAGAATGCTTGTCCAAGACTCATGATGATATAGCAACCACGGGATACAATGGAATTTCATTGATTTTGTATAAATGTTTATTTATGGTGGAAATGTCAAACATTTAAAATCTAATAAAACATATTTAGTTACAAAAAATAAATAAATAAATAAAAAGGTTGGAAAATATTATGAGATGGGCATAAACAATAATATATAAGAGACACAAATAAACAAAAACAAACAAGCAAACTTTGAAAAAAAAGTGTCACTTGATTTAATAACATGTTAATTAAAAGTGGACCAATATTATTCAAGTTCCATTTGACTTTATAATTTTGAAACACTTTTCTACATGGTCTGAAAAAACTCTATCTTATCTTGCCATGGTTTAACTTCTTCAATACCATCTCTTTTAATTAGTGTTCTATAGTTCTAAATGTTACGTACTCAATATTTAAATTCAAACAGTAGGGATATAGTGTATTACTAAGCATGCGTCTCCAATAATTTTTACAAATGACGGACGACCATACAAAAAGCCTCCTGATGTACAAGATAAGATTGATGATCTGATAAACTGCATAAGCATTTTATAGTCAACTTGAATCTCTAGATGATCTACCATTTACTCAAGAGTCTAGCAGACCATGATTTTTAAAGGGCATATTTTTCGCACTGCGATGAGAGGACCCTCGTGCTAGCCATTGTTCTTAACTTGGGTACACATCTTCTATCAGATCCTAAACCATGGTTAAATTACCGATTGTATGGGACGTTATGATCTTCTAATTTTTATCTGACCCTAGTGGCTCTGTTAAACCAACCCTTTCAATATGTAGCTTTTAGGAATATTGGAATAAACTGCAACAATTCTGATGTCATCATACCTAAATCTTGTATACCCGCAAGGCCGCAGAGCTATTTTAAAATTCCAAAATAAAATTCTTGTCCTAATAGCCTTCAATATGTGAATATAATTATGAGCTGCTAGGCTTAAGCGTGCATAAATGTCTCTTTTCTTATTGATATATGGGATGGAGTGATGGAAAAATGGCCCATACTTTATCACATTTAAAATCATCCTTTAACCAGACATTATGCAACTTTTGCTTCAAACAGTTTTGAAGCTGTTTTCAGTTATGTCAAATCAATAAACAGGCTTTTAAAATGTATTATCTCTTCATTCTATGGACTGTGTAGATTTCAAATAATTTCAATATTTATGTCATTTAAAGATGATTTATGACCTATTGACAATTACAAAACAAGCTTGAATAAATTTCAGTTTAGAATAAGACCTAGTTGTGATGTAAATACATGTATCATTAAAGACAGATTCTTCGTTAAGAACCAATTTAAGTTAGGTTTCCTCATTTTTAACATTTCAATCAGCTTCTTATAACACTACTATGACCTCCATTAACACCCAAAATATTCTTTATCAAATATCCAGCCTAATACAGTCTGAAACCTATACCTGTTCATCAAGAATGATGAATTCTTTTTTTTTTTAGCTATTTGTTTATTAAGAAAACCAAACCTCCAAGTTTAAAACAGATTTTGGAGCAATGTGTTGAAACACTTACTATAGTACATTTCCATACTTTCCCAAATTGGAAGTCGATTAAAACATTGTATGTGTAAATACAATCTAAATGAATGATTTTAAACTTGCACTGTAAGTTCTTGTATTTCAAAATTTGCAATCAGGTCAATAGTACAGGTGTACTAGTTACACCTACCTTTTTTCCAGACCACAAGTGCTGAGTGTCCAGTCACCTGCTCTAGCCACACATCGTCCGGACCCCTGACGAGGCCTGTGTAGTGAACGGTCAGTTTGGGGCCTGGACGACAACCTGCATATTTCTCTCCAAGCAACATATCTGTAAGTAATGACAAGAGAAAGTGAGATTTTATTAAAGTTCTTGTAAAAAATGAGTATTTTTTTTTAAAAAAATCCCCTAAAAATGCAGTGGAATAAATTTAATGAATAAAAATGCCAATTAAAAATAGTGGGGGATATTTCATTATAAATGAACTATTTGAAAAATCAGTAGTAAGCACAGTATTATACAAGCAAAATTTCAGAGAAAATCATATGGAGAGGCTTTGTAAGGTTGAGGGTTGAATGAAGCATGTGCATGATTGTAAAGATCACCTTAATACAAATATGCTTGGATCACATATTGAAAATCTTAATGGTACACAGTGATAAAATGCCTCTATAAATAAAATTGGATTTATTTTTGTCTGTAAATAATGAACAATACATTTGGAGTTCAGTGATGTGTAAAAACTGCCCATTGTTTTAAATCGGTGACAAAGCACTATGTAGCCTGTATGTCTATGTGTGAAGTATACAGTGTCAATCAGTGAAACATACATTGACGTAAATAAAACAAACAATGCACATAACTGATCTTTATCTATGATAGTGTTAATCAAAAAACAACTTTTTTTCTTTCAAAAATAATTCTTCAAACTATAAAGCTTGATATAGTATACAAATATTTAAGCGCCAACACTTTAAGCACTGAACATGCTTTAAAAGATTCAAAATTTACAAGGTTTTTCTACAGTCATAATGGTAACTGTTTAATCAATTTTCTTTCTTGGGCAGAAAATGTTCATTTAATACAATTCCTGTGGTGCTACAATATATCCATGATTGAAGTTTTTTTTAAACATGCATTTCCTTTATACATACATATGCCAGCCATAAGCTAAAGCTATTTGCTAAGTCCATGAAAATCTAACAAATCAGCATCAAGATGAGTTAACAACAGCATCTAATTAGGCAGCAGTTACTTGGAATAGAAATGCAGACAGATGCTCTGGCATAGATTACAGTTCAAACATAAGAATGTCATTCCTAGCTTCAATCTGGTTAGTTACCCTCAAGCTCAATCTGTTATGTACATGTAGCTCTAAGCTTACAATGAGTTAAGCATTAGTTAGGATCTATGAGTTAAGCATTAGTTAGAATCTAGTTAATTACCTTCTAGCTTCAATCTACTATGTAGCTTTAAGCACAAAATGAGCTTTAAGCATACAAAGTTAAGGTCTACTTTGTTACTAGCTTCAATCTACTACTTTATATAGCTTTAAGCATAATACAATGAGTTAGGAGTTAGTTAGAATCTAGTTAGTTACCCTCTAGCTTTATTCTGCTATGTAGCTTTAAGAATACAAGGAATTAAGAGTTAGTAAGGATCTAGTTAGTTACCCTCTAGCTTCACTTTAAGCATACAATGAGTTTATAGTTAGTTAGGATCTAGTTAGTTACCCTCCAGTTTGTTAGTAGACTCGGTTTTAGTCCAGCCCTTGGTTTTCACTCCCTCTGTCAGAGTGAACACTTTCTGATCACTACCAGTGAGTTGTGCTAGTGCAAAATCAACATCATAAACTAATGGTGTAAGATGTGTAACTTTACTGAAGGCATAATAGTACACACACTGCTGTTGAGATGATCACAACATCCCTTCCATAACAATACTTCATATACAGACATTTAGCCAAAGTAAGAAAGAAAGCCAAATTGAAGAGTACAACAGTATTTTTTGTGCGCTTCTGAAAACTTAAAATTTACAAATTCACCAACATTAGATCAAATGGACTTGTCATCTGTTATGCCTTCCTGTTACTTTCAAAGTGAGTGAAGATTAATTGAAACACAATCAATGTCATGAGTTGTGCAAATAATTGTTCAAACCATTCTAAAGCAATCAACAAAAAAAAAATTACTGCAACAAAGAGAGCTACTGTCCACATACTTTCAAAGGTTTAATTTTGAAATGAAAAATTGAAAGAAGAAATGAGTTACAAACTTATCTACCTTGTTGTCGTGGTGATGATTCATCTCTCTCGAGTTCCATAAGAGCTCGCTCGAGTTTCCCTACTGGATGATTTGTCAAGGCCACCAGCTGAAGGACAACCTTGTCACCGAGGGAAATCCCAGTAATATCTACAGCGTTAACGTCAGGTCCCATGACGTGTCCATACAGTTTACCATTCTTCAGCAGACGGTAACCCTGTGATTTTATGGAAATAAATAAGTCTCCATGAAAGTATATTTCAAACTCTTTTATGAGATTGTCCTACTCACTATCTTTTTCTGACAATACCATTAATTTGACATTCTACTTTTTTCTCCCAAACCATTCATGTTTTAATTAAAGATAAACAGAACTTAATAATATTTAGTAATTTAAGGGAAGTAACTCACAAAGTATATAGCTATAATTGTGATATTCATACAGTATTTGTTTCTAATAAAATAAAGAGAAAAAATTTTAAGTTATTAAATGTAGACATTTAAGAGACACTTTTTCTTCAAAGAAATTTTTTTCTTATGCAACTCACAGAAATTTCTGCCTCCCCGTACTGCTGAGGTGCTAGCCATGTGACCCTGATTCCCTGGGGGGTCATGCTCTCTAGCCTGAGCTCTGGAGATTTAGGAGCCGCTGGAGCTTGGACAGGGATAGTGTTAGAGAAAGCACTCTCACTGATACAGAAAATGTGGTTCTGGTCGGGATCGACATGTTTTTGACCAGCCATACTCTGTGAAAATCATAAAAATAAAAATTTTAAAAATTGTCATACATGCACATGTGCTCAATAGTCTTATTCCTTAATGATTTTCCCTAACACTTTATAGGCTCAATGAAATCGTATAATCAAACTGTCCAACACATTGCTTAGCTCTAAATCCCTGTTACCAAAGAAACATCCTGGTTCATCACTGAAGTAATTCTTTTGTAAATACTATAACATAGATATAAAATGACTATTTATTAATTTCTTTGAATGATTCCCTAGCATGTTGAAAAACTGCTTTGTACACTTTGCACAGTATCACATAAAAAAAAATTAAAGACTGTAAATCTGTACATAATTTGACAACACAATTATATACACCTACCTTGACCTTGACATCATAACTTTCCTCGGGGTTAAGGCCAGTGATCACATACTGGTAACCTTGGCGATCCATTTTGGGGGAGGCATCTATCTTCCCAAAGTATTTATCATTGACATATATCCTACAAAATAAATACAGATACTTAAAACTCCACAACTGACTCGCTAACTTTACAGAAAATAAACCTTGTTCCTATTCTATGAAATTTCAAATGATGTCACATATCATAACACTCAAACCTACAGTATGCAAGTGTAACTATTGGTATAAAGTCTTAGTTATTAAGTTAACACAATTTAAAAATAAATCTGTAAAAAGATTTTAATGTTTTAACAAATTCCATGTCTTCTCTGAAATGAAATACATGTACATTAAGAGTGAAGATGAGAAACAACCGAGTATACTCAAAGAAATTTTGGGGTACCTGTAGCTGGTGATTCCCTCCTGAGCCACGGCTCTCCTGACCCCTCCTGGCTTGTCCCAGGCCACCAAAACACTGCCGTGTTTGTGGAGGGGCTGCTGGCTGATATGAGGGGGAGGGGGCCTCTTAGGACAGGTGATGTGTATCTGTCGGGAGGGTTCACTTTCTATACCACTCTGTCTCAGGACCGCTACCACCGATACACCGATTGTCTTTCCTACATGAGAAAATGAGAAATTGAAAGTACAATATACATGTACAATTTTTGTATGGAATTTGTCAAAGGTAAACTATGTAGTGAACACTTGGTTGAAAAGGGAATAGAAGACTCTTTATACAGATATCTACTGTGAAAATTTCATTGGACTTAATTACTCAAATTAATAAATATTCAATTTGCTTAGAAAATAATAGACTCCTGGAAAAAAAGCATGAAAAATGCTACAAGTACTTGAAAAGAAAAACTAGGATAGATACTTCAAAAACCAGATCAAAATGACAGTTTTAACCATAAGTAATATACAAGATTGCTTTTTAAGGGAGATAACTCTTACCTGGCACCAGGTCATTAATCACCAATTGTCGTGTGTCTTTTCTCTGAAGCCCTTGTAGAACCTTGTTATCTACATAGATTTTATAACCCAGTAACTCCAGCCCACTCTGTAGTCTGGGAGGATCCCACTGAACTGTGGTCTATACAGAAAAATAGTTTCACTTTATAATAACCCAGTAGTTATTGCCAAATTTATAGCATCATTTGATTTTCTTAATTTCTTATTCCTGCACAATGATAAACTCTCCATGAATTCTAATTGAGTTTTTTCTCATAATAAAACAAACTGTATCATTATATGAATTTAATTCTGCATGATGGATAAATAAAAAAAAATATTTTATTTTAATTTACAAATCTTCACATGATTTTCTCAACTAAATATCTACACAATCATTGAGTGTAACCTGTACCTGATATAATCCAACATTAAGGACCCTGACAAATGGAGGGAGAGGGGGTCCTATTGTGGTGTAGTAAATCACAGGAGATGTAGCCTGGACCTCTATAGGCTTCTGTTCCTCCTCCTCGTCACGGAAACCATAATTTGCCACCACAAACACCCTGAATAAATATGTCAATATATACGTCTTTCATGTTTCAATACTGAAAAATATATGTACTTAAAAATAAAACTGCAGATAACATACATGTAGATAGTTGTCTTGAAGTAACATATGTACTGTATATATATAGCCCAATCTTTAGCACCCACCTGTACGTGTTGTCAGGGTACAGACCCCTGATGTTGATTTTACGTTTGTTTCCATCCAGAGTCCAGCAATGCTGGGTACCTCTAACACTGTGACCTTTGTTATCCACAAGGTTACACTCAAAACTAAAAGTGAAAATATCAAATATACTTAAAATCCTTATATACATGTATATAATTTTTGTAAAAGTTCACAACTCTTCCTGAAATTTAGTGTTAGTGTGTTCGGTACCTGATATGACTGTTGACATCCTTGGCACTGAAGTCTCTGCCCACTATGTTGACGATATACTGCTGGACTTCATACTCCGAGTCAATGCGATTGTCAATGTACCACTCCACAATCAGCCCCGATTTGCCCATACTGGATACTTTGATAGTTGGAGCAGGCACACCCACTTGTGCATCATTGGCAGGGTTATATACAGGCTGAAAATAAGAAAATGTGTGTAAAAATTTAAACATTACACACCAATTGTAAATAACAATACTTTGTAGCTAAAATTAGCATAATTTTATTGAAAAATACTTTAATCAATGAAATCTTAAATTTTCCTCATTTACCTCCCCTTCCTCTACTTGGCGGCGTCTACTTCCTCTTTCTTTGGACACAACGACACTCTTCATCATGTGGTCTTCATTCAAATCAATTGAGGCAGTCTCCTCTACTTCAATGAGTGCCCTTCGAGCTAACCTAGGAGGACTCATGTCTGAGCGAGCACTGTGGGTATCTCTATACCGCCTAGCAGAAGGGGGTCTCGGAGTAATATCTGACTGTGTCCCAGTGTCAGTTTTGTCATCTCTAGCAATGTAGCTGCTCCTGGGTCTGCTCTGTTGCACGACCTCTCTGGTGACCTTTGGAGCATACTTTGCATCCTTCATGCTGACCACCATAACACTTCCTTCATTAGATAATCTAGTTCCTTCTGAGGCAGTCTCACTTTCGGTTTCACTTTCAGTTTCTGATGAGCCAGTCTCAGACTCAGTCTCACTTTCTGAGTCAGAAATTTGTGCTCGCCGAGATTGGGCTCGCTCCTCTGAGAAGTCACCTGAGCCATAGCTATCTCTGAGATTTTTCACTCGAGATTTGCCCCTTGGTGTCTGTGTTCCCTTCTCATAGTTGTCATCTGTCATCATACTCTGATCTGCAAAAGAATTCAAAACATATATATTCTACTGAAGAAAGAACAACTTTTCATGTAAACAAGGATTTAAAAAAAACAAACAAAAAAACCCCATTAATTCAAGACTTCTTAAGACCTTATGAAGTCAATATTTCTTAAGACTATTGCAGAATTGAAAAACATGTAAGAAACAAAGTTTTATACAAAATCAAATTGTGAAGACAAAATGCAAAACTTGTACAAGTGTTCCTTTAAATAAAATAAGCATCAAGAACATTTAGAGGATGTGACAAGTGCATTTTATAGGGAAGGGTTATCTATAGTATGGAGGGACAATTGATGAAGGAAAACAAAGCAGGAATATGTATAATAAACAAAAATCAATGTACCTTTGGCTTATATTAGATAATACCTAAATGTATACGATAGGAATGTATAGTATTTATATAAGAATGTACAATCAGTTATTCAGTTGGGTACATTTGGCAAAATCATTGGGAAAGGTACAAAAATCAAAGAAGTATTTGTAGCGTCAATGAATGCTTTGTACTCTTGTCAAAGTTAAGTTTTCAAATAAAGCCCCTGGTTAACGTAAAGAAGTTCAAATATATTTCAATCAAGCCCAATTAAAACTCACTGTCCTGGCACAAGATGTGACATTTTAGTTTGGAGATGAAGACTTTAAGCCAGTGTCCTTTTGAAGTAAATGTTTTAGCAAAATGATGTAATCTTTAAATGTCTTTACACAATGAATAAAACACCAACATGAAATCTGACACTAGAAAAGGTAAAATGTTAGTAAACTGGTTCTGTGACAGTCACATCTGAAACTGGTTCCCTAACTTACCATCAGAGGATTCTGAAATCAAATTCAAAATCTGTAAACATTTTGTCAGGTGGTATTTAGTGATTGTATGAAGGATATAAATAATGCAATTAAAAAAACTTAATATGTAAATCTATCTGGTATTGTCAGAATTTAGAAAGAGAATACAGTAAATTCAACTAGCATTAGATATGCTATACACAATATGAACCTGGATTAAAATAAACAAATATATTTACACAAGCACCTAGCATCAAATCAAGCTGTCAAAGAATAAGAAGCAATACCAAAAGAAATAGGTCTATAAATGTCAAATAATCATTCCAAACAAAAAATAAATTTGGTTCAAATACATTCTGAAATCATAAAAATCAATGAAGTAATCCATTCCATTTAAAGTGATCATGTAACAATGTTAGAGGTCATGCAGTTAAATCTCTGCAAAAGGAGTGCCTCATTCTGCACTACAGTGATTCATTCTTATCAGTGAATTTGTCATCCATGCAGATATCTTCCTCTACCTTCATGGTCCATCTGAATGGCATCCTGGAGCAGCTGTCCATGAAACATCTTCCCATAAGTGGCCAGGGTTTTGAGAGCTGGGGGGAGCTCTGGGGGATACTCTACATCCTGGTCCAGCATGTTATACAGGGCTGAATGTCTCTTTGGTCTCTTCCTCTTCTTTCTCCTGGACTTCCTTTGTGACTCATTGTACTCCTTTAGAGTTAATGGTGGGGGCTTAGATCCTGGTCCACCATAAATCCCAAAGTCTGTGTCAAAACCTCTTGATTTTATTTTCTGCTTCTGTTTATCTTCTGGGCTTCTTTTCCTGTGACTTCTTACATTCTCTTTCTTATAACTTGGCAAATGTCTTTTTTGTCTTGGTGGTAGACCTCTAGGTCCACCTCTTCTATGGTATATTGGCTGTTCTCTGTATCTTCTGCTCTCCTGTGCATAATATGGGGGACTCTCATACTCATCAGAAGAGACAATGAAATCCTCATATTCTTCATCATAGTCTGATTCACTCTCATAGAAGCCATGGTCTCTGGAGTGTCTCTCATCATGAGAATTTCTTTCAAATCCACTGTCATAGTCTCTTGCACTTCTCTGTGGTCCAGACCTTTCTCTGCCTTGATACTCAAACCAGTCATCATGGGGACCCATATCTAGCCTCCTCTCTTGAGAACGGGAATGTGACCTTGACTTACTTTCTCTTCTATAAGGAGAGTGTCTTTCCTCTGGTCCATAAAACTCGAATCTTGGACTCCTTCTACTTCTGTCAGGACTGGCATGATCAAATGATCTTCCATGATAGGTAGACCCCTCTTGTCTACCTACATCCAAGTTATGCCCAAACCTTGAACTTCTAGAACTTCTTGGAGGTTCATGAGAATAATATTCATGTCTTGGTGATCTGTGCTGCCCACCAGTATGTTCAGGATAGAGATCTGGGTCAAGCTGTTGTCGCATAAAGTTGAGGTGTCTCTCTCGCAAATGATCAGTTTGATGTTGATTAAAAACAAATTCTGAAGTTGCCCTGTCCTCTTCCTGGGGTGCGATGGATGGGGTAGGTGCCTGAAGCTGATACATCACCCCTGCATCTTTCTCCTTATCAAATGGCTTGGTTATGTGGATCCATGTTCTGAACCGTGGCCAGTCAAATCTGAACCTTTTCTTCACCCTCCCTGGAGCTATGGCTGTCATGACAATATTCTGTTGAGTAATGAAGTTTTTCACAGCTTTTGCCACCATCTTGAAGGTTATTGGGTACTTATGTTTCTGCAGTTGAAGATTCACAGGCTGAGGTTGACTAAGTTTTGCTACAGTTCCAGCTGATCTCAATGAAACGTGGTGATGTCTTTGAGGTTCCTCCACATTAAGTTGTGGTGGAGCTTGCAAGACAGGCATGTGATGCGATTGGGAATATGATGGCATATCATGTTGGTCTATTCCTTGTCTATTAGATCTAAGAGATAATCTTCTTTGAATCATAGGGTTCATCTCTAAATACTGATCAGCTACACTGGGAGAATTAACCTGCTGTTGGAAAAAGCTCTTCTGGGATGACCGTCTGCTTAGATCTCTAGAGAGTGGGTCTCCACCAAAATATTCACTGTTGGCTTGACTATTTGCTCGGGAATTCAAACATTCATTTACAAGTTCAATACTTCTTTGTCGTTGGCGATCAGAGATTCTGTCGGCCAGTGATGGAACAAGAGATTGGGGTCTTGATTGTTCAAGAGCCGGTGTGGCATATCCATGTGAAAGCATGCCATCCGGAAGCGGCATGGATAACTTCTGATGTGGATCAGAAGCAGACACTGGATGAGATGCATTGTGGGATGCATTAGAGGAAGTTAAGTCCGGAGTCTTTGATTGTAAAGTTGTTTTCTTTTTCAGTGGTTTCACTCCTATTAGTTTTTAAATGTTCCATGAATGAAAGGTGCATGAATGAAGATCAAGAAAGATTGAAAATATAAAGGAGTCAGCATTATCTCTATCAATTTTTGAAAAAATAATGGTATTTCTGATGTATAATGATAGATGCTAGTGTTTCAGAAAGGAAGAAGTTTGATATTTGACTGGTAATTTTGACCATTATTTACCTCTGTATCTGGGATCTTCCACTTCTACCACAGCCGGTGCTCCCGGTCTTCTGTCTGAAACAGAAAACAGAGTAAAACATAAAATATCAATAAAAGCTGTTAAGTGTGCAAGAAACTTCAATATATATCATGTTAATGCAAATCAGCTATGGCTTTGTTAGGTAACTATAATCAAAATTATCCATTTGTTATGAATATATGAGAAATTCCTAGCAAATGTAACAAAAACCTCTACCAAATGACTACACAAAATCAGCATTGTGCATCCACATTACGTTAACGTGTTTATGATAAGTTCACAATCTACATACAAGGCATTCTATTCTGATTTGATGAGGCCATTCTCTCTGTAGAGTGGACTTGTTAATGTGTAATACCTATACATATAGTCAAATTATTGATAAAAACCCTGGATTGGAGTGAATTCACAATGGAAATGGCATACATGATTAAGGATCAATTGGACAACTCTGACAAGTTGATCAATTTAAGAATCAAATCAAATTCCCCAATTATATATCTGGAATCTTTTCTCATGAGAGTAATTTTAGGATTCAACAAATTCCAGTAAATGTAGCTGATTTTTAGCTTTTTGATCCATAATCACAGGGAATTCCAATGGAAGTGACAAAAAATTACACAATGTACAATTTATAGAAATATGTTCTATATGGTTTTCGAAATTTTAATAAGTTTAAAACATTTTCAATAAAATTTGCTTTCTGTAAGAAATACATTACTACTTCACATTCATGAATCACCTACTTTTAAGCAAACATTTTTATTTCTGAGAGCTTCATTTTTTGAAAGTGGCATTTCAAAAGTGACTCATTTTTGCCATAGATCTGACAGAATTCCATATATAAAACTACACAATATACATACTGATATTATAAGTGTGTTTTATACTTACTATCTAAATGGGTCATTATTTTATTTTAGTTCATCAATAAAATTAATGTTGTATTCATTGATGGTTCTTATATTTTAGGGAAAAAGTCATTGTTCTCGACAAATTATGGTATTTTTGGAGTAAAAAAAAATTAAAAAATTAATATTTACAAATTATTTAAGAATTTGAAATCAATATGTTGCTTATAAATCAACCATTATTACTTTAAATTTAAGAATAATTATTCAGAATCATAGAATTTCACAAACACTCTCTGATTAATGACTATAACTATAGATTTTATCACATATTTGGGAAATAACCTCTATATTATTTATACAGCAATTTAGGATCATGTTTTAATTAAATTGATGTCAGCTAGTCCATGGAAAATCCACCCTTATTCCATATGTTGTTTGGCAACTTCAACAAAATTCTTATTTAACAACTTAATTAAAATTTGAGGAAATTAAATTTTTTTCTTAAGTATGAATAAAAACAGATTCCATGCATTTATCATGAAAACTTCCCTAAAACTATATAAATTTAGTTTTTGAATATATCCATTACTTGTACATCAGTGCTGTAAAAAAAAGAGGAGGTAAATAAGCATGCAGACTATTTATTTTTTCATGACGACAATTTATCAGTTTATTTCAAGTTTCTTAAAGATAAAAAGGCAAATGGCTGTCAAAAATGCCAGAACTGACTACAATAGATTTTTTAACTGACATATTTACCCGTGGGTTGTTTACTTGACGTATACTGGTAGCTGGTAGTGAGAGGTGGTACGTTGTTAGTTTCAATGTGATGACGTTTCGCTGAAGAATGATGTGAAATACCAAAAGCTCAAGCAAAAATACAAAGCACTTCAAACACACAACACCAAACAAATTTATTCAAGTGTGTCCTCAATACATGGAAGTATAATCACCATAATGAAAAATTAACTAGGTAAATTAAAATGTAACCAATAAAGAATCACAATGTGTGAACAAAATATTCTCGTGATTCAAAATTCATAATTTCAATATAATAATATTATGTTAAAATATTCAAGTGTTGACAATTTTAAAAGAACATTTTTTTTAGAATATTCTCGACTCCCTATTCAAATTTTCAATTTTAATATGCTAAAAATTAAAAAAAAAAAAAAGATTATAGTATTGATAATTTTTTAAAAGAACTTTCTTTTTTTTTTAGAGTTTTTAAAGTTTAATTGACAAATTTTTGAATTTTAAAAGAACTCTTTGAACAGGTGATCAATGCAAGAACGTGTATTTGATGAAACACTTGGATAACTGTAGAATGAAATACGAATACATGTATTAATAAAAGTGTTTGGACTACAGAGATGAAACAAAAATTAATGCTAGAAATATATCTTGATCTAAGAAGTTACATAAAAGAACTAACTGCCTTCAAGCACCTAAAACTCAAATTATTACTACTGAAACACTAATCAAAAGCCTACATATTTTTTTTTTTCTTTTTTTTTTAAAATATTTATTATTAACAGTGTAAAATATTAAACTTGAATGAGATGAGTATTAGATTATCATTGCTTTACAACAATTTATTAAGTCTAATGAATCAGTTGCTGCCTTACAACACAACACTACAAAAAAAGCTCTAAAACACCATCACAGATAAATCAAAACAGCAAATTAAAGAAAAAAACCCAGCACACAACATCTAAGATCACCAACAGGAAGTGCCTACCATCCATGGCTGCCAGATATCCACTTCCTTCCTGTATAGAGATGTACTCCTGATAGAGTTCCTCTTGGTCCAGTCTCTCGTCTTCCTCAGGAAGTACAATCTGTGAGGTATCCAGTGGGAGGACCACCTCTATCACATTGGACATACGCCCATCTTCAACATTGTCTGTTAAACAAATCACTAGAGAGTTATTTCACATGAAAACTTCAACGTGTCTTTTGACATTTATGTAAACGATTTTTGCAAATGCAACATTCATAACTTGAGATGAACCAGTAAATGGTATTTTATGTTCCTTTAATTTACTCGAGTATCTCTCATGCATGAATAAAGAGTTAGTAACATTCCTGATACCAAGAAAAAAAACCTCTCTGTTTCCATATTTATATTCAGAAAGAAATTTTGCTAAATCTAATCTAACAGGCATCATCTTGTGCAAAGTAAAAAATAAAAAAAATGTCAAAATGTATGCAGTTTAATCCTTTTCCACAAAGGTAGTGTACTAACACACTCTTTCTTTAATAGATTCTAACATTAAGGCAACTAGACTCTGAATAGTACAGAATTATACATCTGATGCATATATACAACAGCTGGTTCGATCGTCTAATAATTGCTACTACTTGTAGATAATATTCTTTTGAAAACTTTCCTCCAAAAGTAAATACAAGTTAGACTTCGTACATATATCAAATATACAGCTTTCAAAATGAACTTTTAATCTCCATTAACACCACTTTACTAAACCTAGACTGAAAGCCTTTAACTGTGCTTAATATACTACTGATATGATGTGACGAATGAGATTCATACTACTGGTAATAAATAAATAAATTCATCACTATTTCCAATGAAAAGTTAAATTTTTATCCTTCTCTATTTTCTAGGCTTGGTAAGCCACTGAAGCAAATATGCAGAGATAGAACTCCGAAACTATAGAAAAGAAGCTCTGTGTTCAATTGAATGTAAACTCACCATTTGTACCATCTGACAAATATATCAACGAGAAAATAAGATTTCAGAGCAAAAGGTCATAGAACTGACTGATAAAATACCATAAAAATGATTCTGATAACATATGACACCACAATACATAGTTTACAGTAAATTTACATTCATAGATTGTTGACAGTTTGGAAATGTGGCTGATTGTGGATATATGATATATCATTTTTTCTTTGACGCCTTACAATTATGCAACTGTCTAGCTATAATTAATTTAATAATTATTTAATGTTTCCACAAAGTCTTCATCTCTGTTTTCCTGCTCTCTCTCCTAATCCAGAATTACACAAAAGCATATTCATAGTATTTGTAAAATATCAAACAAAGATGCATGACTTTGAAAAAAGAAAAAGATTTGTATTACAGGATTTGACTGAAGTGTGAATAGAAATCCCTGCAATACAAACACTTAAAATTTAGTCCTGAAAAGTTATTGGTTTTTGATACTTACCTTTTGGTAGAGCAACAACATAGATCCTATGCTCCTTATTCAGCTCACATCCACCAATGAAAACCTTACATCGGTTCTTGTCTGGATCAGGCACAAGCTAAAAAATATAACAAGGTTGCTATAGGAAACTCCAATATAGTCAAGAGTACTAAAGATCACAGATGAAAGTTGATAATGTTATCATGAATAATTGAGAATGCTCTCTCTACCTGTAACAATAAACAAAACAAGTAAATACACTTGAGGTGTTCAGGAATACCTAATTATTGACCAAGAATTAATTTCCTCTCCAGAGATGGATATTAAAAAATAAATAAAGCTTGTGTTAGAAGAAAAAAAAATTAAAAACAGACTTTGAATAATGAGGAAACTGTCGCTAATCAATAATGGCTTTTGGAAGCATTAAGCACTGTTTAAATATTGGGTATGTGAAAATAAACAAATTCTTTGTGAAAAGCTTCTTCCAACATATAAAATGGTGTCTCAGTGCTCTGAAAAATTTAAATCAATTGTTCGATGGGAGTGTAAATAACAAGGTGATTGAGTATGGGATAATGTATTATTCCCTCCCTTCTACATGCCAGATATTGTACAGTCCAAAGCACAAAGAAGAAATTATACCATTTCAGTATATGGCATGCAACCTTTATGAACAATTGCAATAACCGTAGCTCAGACCTCACTTAATAAGTATATAATTTAAAAAAAAAAAGATAACTTATTTTACAATAATTTTTCATAGAAGCTGTTGAAATTCAAAAAGATTTACAATATAATTGCCATGTTAATTAAAGTTTAAGATGATAGTCATGATAGCACTTAAAATGTACCTATAGTAGTAACTAATTTTAATTAAAAAAAAACAAACAAACAAAAAACAATGCTCAAGTTTAAGGGTGGTATTAATTAAATATACCTATTTTATACCTATATTGTAAAACTAATATATACATGCATTTATACATTAGTATGCAGACAATATAACACGCATCATCAATCCAAAGATTGGTTTTGCAAATTGACTCAGCTCTTAAATCAAAATTTTACCTGAAATCAGAGATTTCCTTATCCATGCAATGTCCAGAGACATATAGAACTTTATATGTACATTCACAAAAGAGAAGTTATTCAGAATTTTGATGATTTGTACTTTAAATGTACTTAATATACACCACTCACTAGTAACCACAGGTCAGGTTAAACAACATATACCAGACATTTAAAGTCATGTAGCTAATAATACGAGCCTTCTAATCAAACGTAAAGGCTATTCAAGTTCCAAATGGATTAATCACAAAACCATGTCAAGGGATTTAAATTTTTCATGTAGTACTAAATCATTCCTCAACCTGTTCATAAATTTTTTGATGTACCTGTTGATATGGCTTAATCCTACTAACTTGTGGAAATAAGTTATGAGTTGTCTTTAATATTAACTTTTACCATTTTGAATATTTGTCTCAGAAAATAAAAGACACCCCCCCCCCCCACAAAAAAAAGGGGGGGGGGCAGATTTATTAATTCAAAATGTTATATAATGTATTCTTTTCTGCAAGCAGTGGGATTTAAACCCTTTCAATCAAAATATTTAATAGTTCATAACTCTAGACATATTATAACATTAGAAAGAAGATCAAATCATAGCAAGGAAGTATAAGCACCAAAGAAAAACGAAATGAATGAAAAGAAATTGGATAATGATGCAATGAATTCATAAAAAACTAGAATCAATATATACTGGCATCTCATAATATTGTGGTACTTATTTCCTTTGTGTACAAAAAGTTATTCCAAATTCTTACTTTAAACTTTTCATCAAATGCTATATTCATAAACCTAACAATGAGTTAACTTAAAGTTTTCAGTTTCCCCCTCCCCATTAACAATGCTGCAATAGTCTGAGAAAACCAATTTAAAGCACCCAAAAGTCATTAACATCAACGCATACTCTCTGTCCAATTACTAAATTCCTTGCAAGTTCATTCTATACAGGATTTCAAATTAAACAATTTAGAAAAATGAGACTCACCATAGCTCCACACTGCTGATCATTTAGGAACACGAGGTAGCCCTTGATGGGGTACTCAGTGGTGTCGATAGACATCCATACCACAACCAGGGCATCCTGCTTGTTAGCCCGCTCAAGGGAGATTACTGGTCCACCCTCCTTTGTCATCAGGGGCACCTTCATTGTCTGAAGAGATAAAAATGACACATATCAATATTCAACTTAGATTAGTGCATTTATCCAAGTTTCTTCAATTTTAATACTAAGGTGAAGTTCATATATACATTTTCTTTGTTGTTGACATCTCAGCTAGGGGCCTTTTACAACTAAGATCAAAACTTAAGTTAATTGTAAAATTTTCTGATATGATTCTCTTAAAAACTGCTTGCATAAAAATACCTTAAAGTTTCTAAATTCTTTTAAAAAAAAAGATTAAAACCACCTTGAGATTAATGTTAAAAAGAAAATTAATTTTCACAGAATTACATCATGGTCATAGTCGTAATTTTTTTGTAAAATGGAGCCCAGAATAACAATCTTTTAAGCTATTTAACTATTTTTATTTTCACACTGTTTACAAGATCATGGGAAAACAACAAGAATTCATAGAAGGGGTTGAGATTATGAAAATATGCAAGGTAAATTGAATTACCTGGCCTTTGTAAGGATTTTGCAGTGTGCATATGACTTCAGTGATAAACAATATGACAAAGTAATATTTCAACAATTGTGTATAATCTTAAATTGTGTTTTGTTAATAAATGTGCTTTACTGGCCTAATTTAGGAGTGGATGGGGATAGTTTAAGCATTGAAGCAGCTGTTTTATTGATAAACTGACAACTCACCAGTTTGTTTGAGGTCTGAGGGTTGAGTTTTTTATCCAGAGAATAGACCTCTACATAAACCTCGTATATCCGATTTCCTGCCAGTCCAGTGATGTTAAGACTATTATTATTGGGAGGGAACATTTCACAGTACCTCACTCCATTCAGGAAAATCTGATAAAAAAAAAAAAAAAAAAAAATTAACAATCACAATAAAATTTCAATTTTTTCAATATTATCTTAAATGCTGGAATTTCTCTAGGATAACGCATTCATAAGCATCTTTATAAAATTGGTTTGGTTCTGCAAATTTCACTGCAAGAAGGCATATACAAGTACATGTACTTTTAGCTAGCTAGGTCAAAGCTGGGTTAAGTGTACACTACAACTAAAATGTCCTTCAAACTAAGTAAACTATGCACAGCTTCATCTGAAATGCATGACAAGGTAATCAAAAACAAAGAAAAGACCGTTTACCTGGTACCCTTTGATGAGTTTTTTCTGGATAGCATTAGGCTCCTCCCAGAAAACCTCCATGACCCCGGGGTCAGTAAAGCACGCTTTGACGGTCGGCGCACAACTCCACCAGTCCCAATTATCATTTTTCTACATAAAAAAGGGGAGAGAACATGTCTCAGAAATTGCAGGGTTTCTTGGATATTATACTGAAAACTTTTCCCCTCAATATGCAAAACTTTAATTTTTCTTTTACAATTAAGAGGATTTTTACCTGCGGAGTCTGTCGCTTCTCCTCCTTCTGGTCACCAGATGTCTCTGTTTCTGAGGAACTTTCCTCCACCGTACCCTCTTTGGCCAAAACCCAGTATCGCCTACAATATTTATAATGAAATGGTGCATATATGGTCCTAAAGTTCAGGTAAAATAAAGGAATATGTGCTTATCAAAAAAAAAAAAGACGAAAAAATTTGTAAGTGATTTCTAACATGTCTTATTTGAATGATAAAATACTAGAATCTTAGGGTAAATTATAAGTTAATTAGCTAACAGGATTGGGAGTCATGTATGAGTCTTCTATGATTTTCTTCAAAATTACAGTGTACAATGTACAATATGATGTACAACTCATTATCCAAATTTTAAAAAGATAATTAACATAAGCATATCTACATCTTTTGAAGAGAAATGATAATACCATGGGATTAAATTTTGTTGAAAATGAATTTTGTAATTCATAAAAATTCAATTCCAATTAACATTATACAGTCATACCTCAATATTTCAAACTCAATGGACCAAGAAAAACTTCAAGATGTCCAAGAGATTGAGATATATTAAGGACTTTAAGCTGACTTGCACAAGTGCATGATAATCGAAATAATGATGTTTGAGACACCAATCAAAGTTTAACTGTATATTTAAAATACATGCTTTGTCTTAACCCAAGTTACTTACTTAGAGGTAAAAATGGAACTATTGAGGAGTCCTTCCTTTACTGCCATAGCTCTTATAAAACACAGTCCATGTTTCTTAAGAATGACACCTTTCTCTGGGTTGTATAGCTAGAGAAAAAAAAATCAAGAAACAGAAAACATTTAAAATTTTATCTTTCAGGGCCTAGATTTGCTAGGATTATAAATCTTAAAGGCAAGTCTTCATGTCTGCCATTGCCAAGCAAATCTCTCTTCTTTCCTGGAGAGTTCTTTAGTCATTGATTGCTGTATAATATCACCTATCACTTTTCCATGTAAGAAAATCTTAATCATGATCAATTTTTGCAAAATGTAACAAATGACTTATCTTATTTAATCTTTGACCTGTCTATTGATAAGAAATTTAATCAATGCAAGTTTTACCTTTGCTGATTCAATGTGAAGTTCAGGTGGGGATCCATCAGTGGTGTAGAAAATTTTGGATCCGAGTGTTTCACAGACCAGTTCTATCTTGCTGAATTGATCAACAGTTCCTCCATTCAAGGAGTTTGGAGCTACCGAAGGTTCCTTTACATGATCAGCTGAAAAAGGTGAAAAATGTAGCTCACAAATCAATCTTCTATTTACCATAAAGACAATGGATATTATATTTCTCAATCTTTCCAAAACTAGAGCTATCCCAATGAGGTAAAAAATAAAATCCCCTAAAAACCCTCAAAGAAGGCAGGAATTCAAAGTATACCCTGAAAGGGCACACTAAAATCAAGGAAAGGCAGATAATGCAGTGAAGAACACTGAAAAATTTTCAACATTTAACATCCCCTGATCATGGAACATTAATGTTGACATATGAACATGATATCTCTTCTGGTCAGAAATGCTACAGACCTGTAAGAACCTTTATAATCTCTACATTTACATATAACATAACGACTCACACAAGAATTCAGAATCCTTAAATAATTAACTTTTTTGCTAAACAGTTTACCTGCTGTGTGTCCAAGAGTGAAGAAAAAAATCTTTTAAATATGACAGTTTTTACCTCATCACAAGTAAAGATAGGATCATAATGTACTCCCCCCCCTTTCTAATCCAATTATAGCAAATATGTTTAATATATGGATCCTAGTATTTGGCTGAAATTAGTCCAGCTGTTTAAAAGAAGCTCAAATTGTTGAAAGTTTTCACACGTCTTACAGTGAGAGACAAGAACACAGATAGCAACTGGTCATCTGAAGGTTACAAAATATAGAAATATTTTACAAACTACTTTACACATAAGCTTTGAGGACTATTATGGCCCAAGATCTCTACTGCCCTGAAGAAGAACATGCACAAAGTAAGCAACTTTTGGCTTTAATATTTAAATCTATTTCATAAAACAAGTAAAAACACTTCAAATGTTATTATTACACTCCACAATCAATTAATTCAATGCACCAACTTCAGACACTTTTAATACATATTAAATGTTTACCATGCATGCTAATAAATCAAGCTCCATATATGCTCAATCTTTCCCTAAAAAATGCACATTAAAAGCACATCGATCACTCTGCCTTTTCCCTTAAGGCAACGTTCCAGCTTTTTTGGCATTACTCTAGATGCATGTTAGCTATCAAAAAGCTCCCAAGTATGCAAAATTTCACGCCTCTCTTACCATCCACCACAAAAACAGTACAGATTTCATCTGGCGCCCCCTCAGACATGATAAAATACTGTCCGATCCTATCAAATGTGTGTAAAAACTCTCGATTTTTCTCCAACATGCCGCTCCGAAAACCTCGGATTCCAGTGACAATTTTTTCCTTGATTGGAACCTAATGAGATAATATGAAAGAATTTAATCATCATTTTAATATGATTTTTACCTGATGTTATGACGTGAACCGTACAGGAATATCCAGGTGCACCTTGGGAAGCCACAGTGAAACTACCGAGCTCGTCAAATGTGTAGAGGAAGCTGTTGTTTTTTACCTGTTTGCCACTGTTAAATGATTTTACACCACCAACTACATTAAGGGGTTCCTGTTGGCCAGAAATAAGCATTTAATACAATGTATACAAACAATCCTGGAAAGGCACCATTAACTCTGTAAAGCAATTTAAAAATTTTATATATTTGCTCTGGTTTAAAAAAACAGTTTCATTGCTGTTTGACATACAAACATAAATAAATGAATCAAATTGAATTCCTTTAAAAAAAAATCAATTAAACTGTTATTTTCATTGAAATGTTGAACAGATTTTTTAATGTTTTACTACTAGTAAAGTCCCATTAGTATTTAGGAGAAGTAGGAAAAGTACCACATGTTCTCTTATGTGGAGAGGAAAAAGTACTCAGAAAGGCTTCGAAAAATTACAAAATTTTATGAGACAGTATAAATAATGACAAGAGTTCAGAAAATACTAAATACTTTCTAGACTAGTTAGTTTTTATTCATATCTGTAAGGGGAGGAAATGGTAAGATTCATGTCATACAAAACAATTCTTCTTTTTTCAAAATTATAGGTTATTTGACAAATACATGTCATTTTAAACATTTAGCACCATTTCATCAGAGAAAAATATGCATGTAGCAAATGCAAAGGCTAAAATTTGACTCAGTATTAAATGATTCAGTCAAGACTATTTCAAATTCCAGCAACCATACATATTACCAGATTAAACAATTATATAACAGTAAGAAACAGTGAATTAATCTAATACGAAATTTTCCCTTAAACTTGGCCAATGTAGGGTAACATATTTTTATGAAAGTTAATACTACATAAATTTTAATGCTAGATACTGGTTTTCCTTTGGAAGAGTGGTGGATAATAGGATAAATGATAGTATGACCATGAATAATTATCACAGACAGGACTCACTTGAGGGTTCATTCTTCCAAAACGGTCCTTGATTAAAGGATAATGCAAAACAATTAAGTAAATCTATTCTAACTACATCTTTCATGAATAGAATTCCATTAAATTAATTAATGAATCACTACAATTTTTTTACATCTTTTGTAATACCAGTGTTTAGTACCTTGCTATCTGGAGAGGTGACATGGATGATATTGTGTTCCTCATCCGTGTTGATCCAGGTCCATCTGACACTTTCTCCCTAATAATTAAAAACCGAATCAAAGTTTACAAGTATTCTTAAACATTTCTCATTGTACTTCTGAAATTGGTGCCTGTTAAAAGTTACCTCCCTTTAAAAAGACTAAAACACTTCGAAGGAAAATCTGAAGTCAGTTACTAACTGATAAAATGTCAGTTTCTATACAGTAAAACTCGCTTATAAGGAACTCTGATATTAGTAATTCTCAGTTATGATAAGAAGAATTCCCCATCTCTCATATCATAATATGTTCTTACAGTGAAACTCATTTAGTATGAACATGGATATAGCAAATTCACAGATATAGTGAATTTTTTTTTATCCCACGCAAAATTCTAAACAAATCCTAGGAAAATATAACGATTATAAGTAACTCTGATATAGCAAATTTCTGGATATAGCGAACTGTTTTTGTGTCCCGTAGAGGTTAAAAATAACGAAATTACATCTTTTATAATGAATTTTCGGTATCTTAAAACTCAAATATTTATGTGGCATTATTTATCATTAGTATTAATATCTGAAATTCAATTCATCAGAAATCTTTAGAAACTTTAGGGAAAATTTTGTATTTAATACCACCCAGTACATATTTGGTAGTCACATTTGAAGGAAAAAATGCATATTGCGAATTTTTTATACATGTATATACTTTAACTAATTCGTTATATGGATATAACCAAATATGGAAATAGTGTTCAAAGTAAATTCACAGGTTCCTAGAACTTGGCTATAATCAAGTTTTACTGTATATGGATATTAAGTACTTTGGTTACAAGGAACTAAAAATTTATATCTCAAGAAATTCCTAATAAGCAATTTTTACTGTATATATATTTTGATCAAAAAGACAGTCTTAAACCAGTTTTAAATACTATAATTATAGAGTCTGTCCATACCTTCTGTACATATACAAAATGTGGATGAAATCCCTGCTGGTCGACTTTGATGACTGTGTTGTCATAGCGCTCATCACTGATCACACTGCTAAATCTCACATCCTCCAGGTACTGAAGAAACAAATCATCTCACAAATCAAGAATAATTATACTGTTATAATGCCTTATACAGTATTTTCAATTTGGTACTGTAGATAAATTTTGTGAAAAATTAGCTCAATAGGTGAAAAAATAATGGAGTTTTAATTTCACTATAGATGCATATGCTAAGAAATTTTAAAGTCAAGAAACAGTGGTCATCATATACACTTGTGGATGCACTTAAGGAATAACTGTCTAATTTTTTGGTTTCATGATGTGATCAATCGAGTGGCTTGCGTGATAATTTGCATAAACGCCGAAGGCGTTTATGCATAAAATTATCACGCAAGCCAATCGACTGATCATCGTCATGAAACCCCAAAATCTGACAGTTATTCCTTATATGTACATGCTCTTAATTCTGCAAATTCACATGCTACAAGCCCCCGCTTCTGTCTCTATTCGTCCCGCCCCGCTCGTGATTTTTTTTCAACACGCCTATCAATGAACCAGTAGATTTATGTAGAAATAAAGTTTTTTTTACTATTTGAAATTTTATCTCACACAAAGACATTGGAAATGTAAACATTTTATATTTCAGTGAATTAAAACATGTGTCAAAGAAAAAAATATTTGTGATTAAAACAAATTACAATTCATGTGGAATTTGCAAGATCTATTGTAAAGCTTACATTTTCGACATTTTTCTTTTGTTTGTTGAAGGACTTGCTGTAGAAATGCATCACTCCTGTTTTGTCTATAGCCTTGCTCAAACAAGACCTAAAAATAAATCAATCATAAAATTAAAACAGTAAAAACTTAATGAGCAATGCTTTGACAGTTCTCTACATGGCACTAAGTGATATGTGAAGCCATTACAAAGTTAGACAGTGGTAAGACCATGAGCAGATTTACAGCTAGACAAACTGACAGCCTTAGAGAAAGACATACAGACAGACAGACATACAAAGCAGACAGATGTACAGCTAGACAGACAGACAATAAAAACTGACCTTGCACTGACTTCTTCACACTGTAGATCTTCTGTAACTTGGTCAGGATGGGTGATTTCGACTACATTCTCTTTTTGTGGTTTGCTAAAGATCCAGCACACAATGTCGTGAACTTTGACAGAGATGGGGTCAGGACGTATGATGGGTCCTACTTCCACCTCGTGAACCACTGGCTGTGTGGTCACAACCACTGCTCCAAATATCTTTGGTAAACTTTGACTAGAAAGTAAAATTTTCTTATGTTACAAGTTTGCATATTTCATATGTTGTAACTTACTCAGATGGTAAAATTCAAAATTGATTTAAAAAAACAAAACAAAAAAAACTAGTAAATCTTGAAAAATCAATTACCTACAACCTAGCACACAAATCAACCTAATTTTACCTTTTATAGTAAAATACTCCTGGAAATTCGAAGGTGTGTACGAAAGCTGAGGGTGAGTCCCGAGGCATACCGCTGCAGAATCCCCCAGGGATGGGATCACCTTGATGGGACACCTGTATGACATTATGCTGCTTCTTGGTGCTCTGCCACACCCACCAGACCCGGTCATTGGGTCGGACCGACATGATGACCTTCTGTTCTGGACCGCTGTCTGTCAGGTGGATTGTGTGATTCTGAGAAAAACAGAAACAAGAAAAAAATTCTCATGTTTAAATATGAAAAAAGATTTTCAAGGACTTATATCCGAACAAGCAAAATTTTTTTGCTTGTAATATTTCTGTAAGTTCCCTTTTGCCAGATAATATTATATTTTGAATTTTCTTTTTCAAACAAATGAAAGCTATTTTAAAACCCAAATAATGCAAACTGCAATTTATACATTGTCCATATACAAGGGAAATAACTACAACATCACTGACCTTTTCTCCTGGGCTGACTATCACAGAACACACAGTCGAGTTCCGTACCCTGTAATGGTACACTCCAGTTGTGGAATAAAAAACTGTTGCAAATCCCACATCTGTGATCAGTTTTACAGTCTCCTCATCTGGGTGCTGGTATTTAGCTGCAGATAAAAAAACAAAGTTCTCTTTATTTCTAATAATTGCAATTCCACAATCTTTAAATTTTTTCCTTTCTCCATAAGATTTATTATTCACTAAAGTTAGTTTTACAACAAAACTTATTTGTAGTTCTGAACTGTAAATTTATCCTCCACAATGAATGCAAATATAGCAATACATTGATCTACATGTACATTATGCTTTAGAGATTGCAGTTTTGAAACTTTGCAGTTTATGGAATTTTAAGACTGTGTTTAAGACCACCTTCCTGACTTACATTCATCCTCTGGTGTGGAAGGTCGCTTCGTTGCTGGGTTCAGACATTTTTCTACCTCCCTCAGTAAAACTGGAATATTTTTCTTTGAAAACAGAATGGGGTTCCACCAGAACCAGATTCTCTCTCCTGTTCTGATTCGTACTACATCTGTTCAGATTAAAAGGCAAAAAATAAAAAATGATTAGTATGATACTGAAATTTATTACACCAATCATAACTTTTCATTTGTATTGTCCTGTGCTATGAGGTTACCTGGTTCAAAACCGTCCTCCTTGATCATTACCCTGTGTTCCTTTGGTTTAGGTTTGACTATCACAGTACCAATGTACTCAGCTGCCTCCTGGAAGTTTTGGTCCGAGTAATAGAACACTCCAGGTTCTGTGAACACATGAGACAGCAGACCCTGCTTACTGTAAAACAGATTATGTCAATCACTTAATACATGCCTCCTGTTTGTGAGCAAAAATCAAACCACTTCATTTATCAACTTATTGATAAGTCTTTTCTCTTGTGACATATTGTGGACCCCCCTTTCAAATATTTTTTTTTCGTTGTCACCTTCAATAGTTAGTAAATTTTATATGGCACAAATTTAACAAAGCTATATCACATAAACTGTAACTTAACATAAAATAGGCTAAGTGAATCAGTTGCAATAGGTCTAATTATTTAGGAAGTGGCAATATTTAACAGTAAACTATATAGAAGTCCAGATAGCACCCAGTTTACCATCATATAACATAACAATTCAATGAAAACCAGTGGTTATGTTTAAATAAATAAACTAACAGGAGAATTGATTATCTCCCCTACCTTGGTTGACTCCACCTGAAGCCATTCTGAACCGGTTGATATGGTTCCTCATCATCCTGGTTCAAGGTCGGGGCCTCTATCTGATATACACAATGGTGTTTCTTGCACTGTGAACACACAAAAAAAATGTCAGGGTTATTACCTAAAATTGTATAATCTAGAATAATGATGGCCTCTTTTTTAAAAGCAATTATTTTTTTAAAAATCTGACCTCTGTCTATTCATGTCCTCTTAAATTAATACAAAATAAAACAAAAGCTACCGGTACTGCTTTTATTTATTTATCTAAAACTTCTTTTTTTATAATTTTTAATAAATTTGCTCAGAGTTTTAAAAACTTTGAGAGTTCAAATCTCTACCTTGAATTTGTCCCAGTACCACCAGACTCTGTCCCCTGTCTCTATCAGTAACACAGGGGGGTGGTAGGCACGGTCTGATATCTCCACTTTGTACTCCCTACGGTCATCAAATGTATTTACAGTAAAGCAATTCAACATCGTCAAGTCTTAAGCAAAAGTTAGGGAACTTAATGTTAATATTTCCCGTACTTTTTAATAGGCAAACCTTTAAAACTAGACTATATTTAAGAAGAGCACTTTTCAATATCATCCTGTACTTCCAAGAAATGGCATGGCACGTACTGCCATACATTTAGGTAACTAGGCACACAAAAGGAATATTAAATTGAAATTGTTATTAACTATCATGAAGATCCACTTAGGAAACATTCCTTAATGTTAATTCTTTCTCAATAGATAACTCTCTTTAATACCTGATGCTTTGCCGGACTCTCACAACACAGAAATGTTGTTTATGAAGCTCGGAACTCTCTGTCTGAAAAAAGTATATTCCTGGACGCCTGATAAAAAGAAAAATGTTTTCTTGTAAATTTTTTTGATGCATAATTTCTCCTATTCAAAATGCACCATGTACAATTATTACCTCTACTAAAAAGTTAATAATAAAGTCGTTATATATATATATACAATGTAAATCAGACTTACGGAAATTTTTTTGAGAAGTGTCCTGTGATTGTTCTTACAACATTACTGAAAAAAAATAATCATGATTAAAAGATTTACATGTCTTAAATCATAAATACATGTAGTTGATTAAACTAGAAGGAAATTTCTGTGTACAGTGATACCTTTAATAAGTTTAATATATAGAGAATATTACATACTAAGATCCATATCATGTGTCATATCAGCCCGAGTGGCCCCATATCAGCCCGAGGGCTGATATGGGGCCTGAGGGCTGATATGACATATGATATGGATTTCAGTGTGTAGTATTCTATTTATCATATATTTAAAATACTTAATATGCGAGTTAACATAAAGTCATTGAAGAATGTTTCCTGCATGTCTATGACCCTTTTCTTTAAAATCTAATAGCGCCAATAATACATCTTTCAAAACAAATTAGTCCACAAATGTTCATAAAGAATTATTTTACATGTATATTGAAATAAAATCAAGTTAATTAACTTTTAAATTTTATACAAACGTTACTTCCAGTTTGATATGGATTTTTGCACGCTGGTCCGACACGCGATTAGGGTTGGATACCGTTAAGAATGAAACAGTACGATACCATACCAGTATTTTTGAAACGATGAGGTATTTTTAACGATATGGTACTATACCTTGATGAATGAGAATAAGGGTTCATTTCATAACAAATATGCTTTCACCAATCATCAACCTTTCAATGTTATAACCTAAAATGAGCTTATAAACTATGTTTATATTTCAACCTTTTAATAAATGACCAACAAAACAAATAAATTAAATCTCAAACAAATTAACTTGAATAGATACATAATCACAAGTATACACAACTTCCATGGTTGCTAGGACCCATTTTGTTTGGTCACACTAAACAACGAGACATTAGAAGATGGATAGAAATGCACATCATATTATTGCGACATTTTGCCTTTTTAATTTACATTTATTATCAGTTTTTATTAATTAAGTTAAACACGATTAATCTTAATAAAAGAGATATACATACTGATTTACCTCGAATATTGGCAGTCGAAAGCAAGTGTCGTATAGTCATACTAAGCATCCATTTCGTTAATTAGCCTACCCTTTCAATGTGCAGAGAATTCTATTTTAGCGAGTTTTAAATCATTTTGAATGTATTAAAATGTTTCTAAGATTAAGAAATAGTACCGTTATTAGTACCGATATTAAATGAAATGGTATTTTACCGGTATTTTTGAAGTAACTATTCGGTATGGTTTTGGTACCGAGTACCGGTATCCAACCCTACACGTGATATGGATTTTTGGACCGGTCCTTGACATGGGGTATTGTGACGTCACCCATATTGCAAAGTGCAGAATCGGTGTATTTACTACTTAGTATATGATAAAGGTCTTTAACAATTATATCAGAATTTCAAAAGAAACTGGTCTTTGAGAATGAAATTTTCATCATAAATAACTACAATAAAACTGGAAACAATGGAAATATAATGAATTCATGCTTACAGCAAAGTGATTTATATTCCCTGTAGGTTTTAAACATACCAGTACTATATATGCATTTAACAGATATACAACAAATTACATTTATTATGAATCAAGTTGTTTAATACCTGACACTTTGCCAAAACCATGTTTTACTGTAAGTATATTCTTTACAGATTTTCTTCATACATAAAACACATACCTTGCCCCATCTGCCCACTGACTTTTGACAAACACTCCTTTGTCAAACAGATAATTCACTTCCTGTACGGAGTGGGGCACAGTACAGTCCTTCCATGACCACTCAACCGTGTCCCCCTGGTCAACAGCAATGATCTGGGGGTTAAAACCATCGTCTGTCACTCCTGCCCTCAACGGCAGACGTCGTCTTACAATCACAGTCAGAGGTGTACAACGTATCTTAGACCTAAAAGAGAAAGAAACTTTGAAAACTAAGCTGAAAACATTAACTTGTAGAGTACACAGAATGGATCCCACTGAAAACATGAATATTAAGTTGTACACAGAATGGAACCCTCAATTCTCAAAATGCTAGTTTATAACTAGATCACAGTGCGACTTTTATCTTCAGCTTACACTGCAAATTTATATTCTCCTTCTAAGTTGAATTGTTGTATATAGTTATCATCTTTGTCCTTGACCTTGGCATCTTTGGAACCAAATCCACCAATCACAGGTCTTAGGTTGTCACCATCATGGATCACCTAGGTAACCAAATCAGTCACAGACTTTATGAATACATGTAACAGTAAAGTATCTCATGGCAAATTTTAGAGGGTCTTGTAAAAAAAAAAAAAGAATAACGAAATAATTTAAATTTGTGGAAATAATTATAACCTGAACAATCTCCAGGGTCTTTCTGCCTCCCTTTTCAAACAAAACTCCTTGACCTTCCATAATGATGACCTCTGGCACTGCAAACCCTGTATCCATGACATCCACCCTAGCACATTGAACTCCCTCTATTGTTGAAATAAAAATCAAAACATGTCTTTCATTTTACTAATAGGTAAAAAAGCAGCATTTCTCCATTTTACTTTTTACATTTTGCTATAAAAATTCATTCAAATCAGTTGATGCTTAATAAAGTGTAATCCCGTTCTTGATATTTTTCATTGTTCTAGAAGAAAATCTGGCAGATTCACAAGATTATACATTTCCACCTCTACAATAATTTGAGGATTGCAAAAACTTTTCTGGAAATAAAATGATGCTGTCAAACACAAAAACTTCATTAACTAACCAACATATTTCATTTTACTGGTATCCACTTCCTCCCCATCTATCTGTGCCAGATTCCGGGAGCCCCTCTGACTGAGGTCTGTTGGCTTACTAGCCTGTTCCTCCATGGTTGATTGGGAAGGACCCTCCTCTACTTGCTCAAGGGGGTCAGTCCCTGTGTCCACTCTTGCTGGTCCCTCCTGTTCCTGGTCTGGGGGGTTGGTCCCTGCTTCAACTTTTGTAGAACCCTCCTCCTCTTGTCTTATGGGACTAGTCCCAGTCTCAACTTTTGTTGGAGGGGTCTCTTCTGGTTCCTCTACAAAATATAGATCATACAATTGTAAACTCTTTCTCATCTCAATTTTATAAATTTGAATTTCAGCAAAACTTTTAAATTGACATTGATTTTAATATGAAGTCCTCTAAAACTGGTTTCATTGCCTCGCTAATTTCAGTGCTTGAATAACTTTTGCTTCAACTTTCGAAAGAAAAGGAAAATTTACAAATTCAAAAGTTTTCTATTTTCCTCTCTAACTGAAAATTTTGAATATGAAAAATTATTACAGGTTTATTAGCTAATTCTACAATTGCCACCAACCTACATTTTAAATTAGTTAAAGCAAAGTACAGTACTACTTGTAGTGTCCTATTCAAGCAGTATTCTATACATCTGAAATCCACATATATTCAAATTTACATTTTTGAGGGATTATCATTCAAACTCTACATCATGAGCAACTATACGTTGCAATCTAGTAGAGTAATTATTAATCAACCAGACTACATCAATGTTCATTTGTAACATGATTAAAAAAAGGGGGATGCAGCAATTGTCTGACTATTCAGTAAAGTTTTAACATTGTTGCTATGACTAATAGATATAAGCAAATTTATATTCTTTGAGAGAGAGCTGAGTTTAAAGTGTAGGGAACTCAACAGTTAAACAATTGTTTGGTAGCCATCAAAGGATTTCACTGAAGTGAAAGTAAACATTTTATTTTGGGCATACAATTAGATAAATTATATACACTTGAAGTGTTTTCTGTTATCATGAAATAAATACCTAAAATGTAGATAAAGCAAAATGTCAACAAAACAAATGAACCTCTTGGTAACCCAACTATTAACTAAATACTTATAATCAGTTTTCTCTACGCATACATGCTAGGGTAAAAATGGCATTCTATGTGATTTCAATTTTTATGTGCACTTAAAACTAGCTTTTAACTGATTATGCATTTCAAAGGAAGCTATAGCAGCTATAATATTGGCCTTAAATCAATACTGCAAAACGTGGTAACTTGTGCTGATATCTTGAAAAGATGACGTCGCTATCAAACTGCTGAATTTTGCTCTCATAATGATATATGTTCTATAGATTCTACAGTAAATAGAACACTTTCTTGCAATATCTGCATTATTACAAGTTAAGTGCAAGTTTATACTAAACAAATAACAACATGACATTTTGATGGATTATATCATTACTGGTTAGATTTATAGCCTGTAAGTGTTTAAAATGCACCTGTCCAGTTAATATACAGTAAAACCTCGTTATCTCGAACTTGAAGGAAACGAGAAAATACTTCGAGATAACCGAGGATTCGAAATATCCAGGGTAAAATACTTAAGAAATAAGCAGGTGGGACTTCAAAATCACTTTGAAATATCCATGGTGTTTGAGATATCCGTGTTCGAGATACCGAAGTTCAACTGTTTTTGAACATGCTGAAAGCTGAGTTACTTAGTATAAGTGTAGCTCTTTGATACTACAAAATATATACATGTAGCTATAGTTGTCTGAATATTTCTTTAAGAACATTGCAGATCAGGTATCTGATATTTATTGATGATACATGATTATTTGGCTAAAACCTCTAGTAAATATGAAGATCTTTTTGATGTTCAAACACTTGTGTGTGAATACCTACAGGGATCTAAATACAAAAGCATTTTCCCAAAAAATTAAACGTTTAATTATCAGGAAGGCATGAGGCATGATTTTTCTTATTTTTCTCTGATAAAGCAAAAAATTTACACCAGACTTTTGTCAATATATCGATACGTATTGATATTCCAGAATGTATCATATCCAAAATATAACTTACAATACGTATCAGACAGGCAGTTTTCCTTATAATTCTGTGAAAAAGTTGGGAATTTCAATTACCAAAGATAATATTTAAAGGAGATAGCACATCTTATATAATTACTACAAAATACATGGACAACTATATTTTAACATGCTAGTTTTACAGTCGTTAAAAGTTTGAATTTGAAGTGTAATTTGTAATGATAGTGAGACAAGAACTTCGAATTTGGTTATAAAACATAAACATATAAAACACTCAGTTTTTATCAACTTTATGCATTAAATGATTTAGAAGAATTTTTTTGATAGACTTGTTAAAGAATCCAATATATCGCATGTCGCTTTATAAAATTTTGTATCATATCATGTAGCATCAAAAAATTCTGCTCAATACACAGCCCTAGGAAGTATTTATTAATAAGGATTTGTCCTCAAAAAATAATCACTTAAAGGGGTAAATATTTGAAAATACATGTACTGAACATTACTGCATCATACTATTGTACTGAAACAGTATCAAGCCATATGAACATACAATAGTGTATTGATATGGCCACTTTCTTCCTCATCCCTAAGATACAGGAGTGAAAACACTAGGGAAAAAATATAACTGAGCAAACAAACAAGAGCAACAATTGAAGGATTGAGAACACGAGCCTGAAAAAGTGAGAGAGGGCAGCAACAATTGAGGGTGACAGCAATTAATAGAGAGCAAAATGCTGGGCAGCAACCAGAGAAAAGCAACATCATCAATTTGTTGCACTTAATTTTCTATGCACCCTTGATTTGCTGCTACCTAAACTGTGGACTCTGCAATCTCATATCCCTCATATTCTCCCTGACCTGATCAGTAAGCAATATATGAAAAACACATTATTTGAGATTTACATGAAATACGGACATAACAAACAGTAATCAAGCTCAAAACTCCACTGAAACTATACACATCGGGAGCAGAGCAAACACGATCTCTAAAAGCATCCGAGGTGGGATCAGCTGCCATGCAGGAGTAAGCATCCCCTGTCAACCAGTCACACCAACCATGTGTTCCTTGTTATGATCGAGCAAGCAGAAAAATCCATAAATTCAGTGTGTAAATAATGGCCTAACAATTAGTATGAAAAATGTGCCAACCCACAGATATGAATATTAAGTCTCCCAAAAAGATGCATTTTAAACTAGCATATGAATTAAAATAAGATTAATGTTCACAAAAAATAATTTAGCTATTATCATGATGATAATGAATATACAGTAAAACATGCTTATAGCGAACAAGCTTATAATGAATTGATGCTTACAGGTAAGTGATTTTCATTCTGCCTGGCCTTAAAATATAATATGAACTTAACGGATATTTAACTACTTATCAAAATTTTCCTTCCCTGGCACTCTGTCTTTGTTATAAACATGTTTTACTGTACATGTATGTAAGCTTATAACATTACAGAACATATGAACAATTTACATTTCTATATAGCATATTACAATGAACATTTAAATACCTTGCACAGTTTCCATATTTTGTATACTTATATCCCAGATTTCTAAAAACCTGTTAAATTCCAACAAATATTAATGACAAAAATCCTTAATGAAACGTTTTCAATGTTTATGAGTTTAACTTATAATCGTTCACCTTTATTGATACACAAGCACGCTGCTGCCATTAGAAACACTATCAAATTGTCGCCTGAGATAGGAAAATGGAAATTTTAAATCGGAACTTTCAATCCTTCCACCTATACCCATGTTACCGAGAAATCTTTGCACTGCAGATCTACTCATTTGAAAGTGTGTTTGATATAGCGACAGGTTTTGGATTGATGTATCAATAGCCTGATATCTAGTCAAACAAGCAGGGAGATTATTAACAGAAAATCCTGTCCTTGTTTAGGTTTAAATTATATTACCCAGGTAAGTTTCAGTGCAGGTATATTCTAAACAATGGCTACCTGTGTGCTTGTGCATAATATAATGCTTCTGGTCTGATCTTTACCTGGTGATTTCTCCAAGAATGAGAATTGAGCAATTTGAGCAGAGATGCAAACTGTAATGTTGCATTTCGATCAAGACAACAACATTAAACATAGGATTTTGTCACTTCCAAGCTTCAATACAAGCTTGACATACACAAATTTGGTACTCCATGAAAACAGCTACTCAACATTCCTCAATCAAGGTGTTTTATATGATTTCTCTGGGAGGTTGTAAAACAGTGAAGGAGTACCAACAACCTTAATATTCCTTTAAACATGTATTGATTAACTATAAAGGTATAACGCATGGTGATGAAAATGTGAACTGCCATTACATGTATGTAAAACTTTACATGTATCCAAGTAATTTATGTACCCGGTACCAAGAACATGCTCATAATGTTTTCACTGTAGTAATTCCTTTGAAATATTTTTTTTTAACTTTGAATGTAATTAATAAAAATGCTACAGTATTAATAAAAAATGCTACATAAATTTTAAAATGAATAGTCAAGAATTTTAATCTCAATTAAATTTTAATTACATTTTTGTATGAAAACTTAGCATAAAACAATTGCTATACATTTAACACAGTATAAAACACTTAGGCCAAAGTTTTATGCAATTTAAAATACCAACCCAAAATCACCTAAAGCTCCATGATTCCATTCCTCTCCCCAATGGTATCTACCTTAAAGCCCCCCTCAGATAAGATCGACATTTTATACGTATATCAGAACATATCCAGTAAACAAAGATTTTAAACTTTACGCTACATAAACAATCAACCAGTAGCAACCTTCATTGACAGACTCTGTAGTAAAGATCGAGTCAAACAAGTTAAAACATAAAATACCTGTGATACTACGATAGAAAAAAAAAAGTTCATTAATCATCTTCATCTGCATTTTACAAATGGGATTACTGTTCTAATGAAATTTCAATTAAGGATACTGATTAAATTCCCTCTCTTTAACATTAATCAACAATCAATTTATTCATTATCAGATACAGTATCACATCTGATTCAATTACTAGTATGTATAATTATATAAAATGGATCAAGACAAATCCTATACAAGAAGTAATCGGTAAAACTAAAATTTTAAAAATTCCAAAACAGAAGCACAGCTTTTAAGCCTTGGATAATGCATATTAATCATACATATGCATTTTACTAATACTCACCAGTGTATTATTAGTACTGTGAAGTAGTGAAATAGTCACTCATAAGATTCCTAATTGTACTCATTTACATCACACTATCCCCAAATCTATCATGTATTATCACAACAAAAACTGATGGGTACAATGCAACATGATCCATTTAAAACTTCAGATACAACTGGAGAAAAAGTCCTGAATACAGAATCTGTTTAAGGAAATATGTACATGCAACTCTGGCTTTATATGGAGCAATAAAATAGTTAGGTCAATCATATGGTCCTTGAGACTTAAACAAATATCATAACCATGGAAATTAAACGGCAATAAAATTCATTGATTTTCCAAACTGAGCAACATTGGGGAAAGGTAGCCATGAAGTTACACTACACTACTTAATAATTCATTGACAATGGCTTACAGCACTGGTATTATACAACACTGGCATTTTATACAGCCCACACTATACCTAATCTGGATCATATTTATGCTTTAATGTCTGGAGAAGCTTTTCAAATGGAACATAATTTTATGTTTTCAGTTTTTTTTTTTAAAAGTGGTTGAGAAATTTAGATAGGTCGACAATAAAAGTTGGAAATTTATCAGATGCTGAAGCTGAGCTGGACTTTAATTAAGAAGGATATCAATTATTCATAGGCAGAAGGCTGTAGATGTGTATAGTCAACAACTTGTTGAAACAGTAAAAGAAATATAACAGTGTCAAACACAAAAGGTGCTGCAATGGTAATTTTACATAGGCACTCTTTACATGCATGGGGGAGCTGGAAATCTATCAGTCTGTCAAATACTATAAGCACTTCAGGTTTATATCACAATCAGTTGTACCAAATGAACTATTTAACACCCAAAGACAATATATTCTAAATTCACATCATACTCTCTATTTATAAAAAGGCAGGTGATAAAGTCAAGTAATTTTGTTCAATTTGTTCCATGCATTCTTGTGTGAAATTTAACATTTAATTTGGCAATTTTACTCTAAAACAGATAAATGAGATAAAACTCGTTTTGTAAAACTTTTTCTTTAAGAAGGAAATATTATAATTATTTTATCTTCTGCCTTATTCTAAATATTTAAAAAAAATTGCTAAATAAATGAAGTTACAAATTTAAGAAGATATAGTGAAAAAGATGAAAACTTGTTATCATTTAACCTTTTGCATAAACTCTGATGATGTCACTATGATAAATTGAAATTTTTTGTAACAGTTGTTCATTTACGTACATAATTATACAGCCTTTTCAAGACCCCCCCCCCCCCCCCCCAACAAAAAAACCCCTCGATTGTTTTATCAATACTAGAGTTATCTATGCATTAATTAAAAAAAGGTGTACAATATTCATATTTCTAAGAATATGAAAAGATATTTTGATATCGACAAGCATTTTTAAACAGTTTTAATTGGTAGGCAAGATTGTAAAACAAGCCAACATTGTTGGTCTTTAAGTAACTTTTTTTGTTTCTAACAGCCCTGATAAATAAAATGCTCTGTGAAAATATAGCAACTAGATGTAGAAATTTAATACTTCATTACGTTAGCTACTGTATGTTCTTTTTATTCAACTGAAATCATTTCAGCATTTACTAAAAAAAACCAGAGACCTATATACTAATGGGATAGGCAACTCTCGCAAGTCTCGCGATATTTCGTAAGTTGCGGGATTTCGTAAGTCAATTTTAATTAAATATATCTCTTTTGTTATCAAATATTTCAGAATAAAATCTTAATTTATCTATCAAAAAAATTATTCAAGATTTGTTATTAGCACTGTTTTTATTCCGTATCTTAGTAGTAATTACGTTTATTGATCAGTGCGTGCCCCTGATCGGCCGTATTTCTGAGAAATCGCCGATTTTGGTGGTTGTTTACTTAATAGCTAAATTATTTTATAATATGTGCTTTTAAATTTATTAAATTTCCATTCTGATACACAAAAAGAACAGATTACATTAATCAGAGAACAAGCTTTTTACTGGGAAAAAACTTAGTTTGAAAAACTTGCAGTGTTGTATGTGCCGTTTTGGGTAAATAAACATGGCGCTTAAGGAGTTGCTTATCCCGTTAGTATATAGGTTTCTGAAAAAACACATGACATGTTTTAGCCTCAACATTTTCAGCAAACTTACCCATATCAATCTTCTTAAACAAATCTACATGACCACAAAAACCATTATACCAAAAAATGTGTCAAACCCAAAATAATTAAATATTCACAACATTGCTGTTTAAAAATGAGAGAAAAACTAAAAATGAAAGTACGTGCATGCCTATCAGCTGGATTTTCTATAAATGCGAGTAATATATATTGCCAATCTCTTAAAATCAACAACAGAATAAAACAAATATCTTTTTTTCATTACCTATCGTCCTTTTAATATCTAAATCAAGATGAAAATAAGTTGTTATCAAACTTTGTCATGTGTTTAGAGGAAATTCGAACATATTAGACGTTAGACGTCTGTATAAAAGCAAAGGGCAGAAAAAGGTAGAATTCTCAAACATTAAATAACAAGTTATTCAACACTTACCTACAAAAAGAGATACACCCTTAACAAAAAAGACGTTTGCGATTAATAGTAGAGCTTTTGGGGTTTGCCGCCTATGGCATCCGCCATATCGTAAACAACCGAATCGTCATTCTTCGTCAGGGAAACTTGTGTCACGTGATCACGCACCTGCTAAACCACGGAAATATTTCCCGCATTTTGCCGTACAAACAGTTATGAACGATAAGCTTATATTTAGACGGTGTCCTTGTCTTCAGAACCGAGTTACCCCCAATTTTTTTTTCATTATCTAAAGCTGAAATTTTTGGAAATTTGGTTTTAATTAATGAAACATTTAAATTCTTTTTCTTCGGTGATCGTATTAAATTCTTCATTTCAGAAAATGAGTTTCATCATGTATACTCTTTACACATAAGCGATTTTTTCTAGGGATGTTGGTAAACGTAACCACTTCAATTGTTGTAACCTTTGACAGGAAAATCTTAATTTACATCATGTGCATAGAGATCTTCTGTGATCAAAAGTACAGTACGTAAATAATTCTCATAACCCCACTTTTGTTCGAGTTGCACCTATATATATGCAGGGACCTATATACTAAGTATATAGGTCCCTGATATATGTCATTGTGTGCTTAATTTTCCATCAGTATAGCTTTGTTGACTACGCCAATATTTTACATAATAATCTAATATGGTTTTACTACAGACTGGCTTAATTAAAATTAAATTTATGCTTTACATAACAAACTAACTGGTTAATTCATCTCTGAAAAAGCAAGACTATATCGAGCCAACGTTGGTTGGTTGGTTGGTATATAGTGTTGGCGTTTGAATTTCCCGGTATTAAAATTGTAAGAAATGCAATCATTATATTTGTTTATTATGTTGTAAAATTGATTTTTTAAATGTTTTAAAAACGTTTTTAGAAATGTTTTCAAAAACGTTTAAAAAAAATAAAAATGTTTTCAAAACAAAAGTACAATGTTTTTGAAAAACGTTATAATAACGTTTAACAAGAGGCCCATGGGCCACATCGCTCACCTGATCACATTGGCTAGGAAAAAAAAAGCAAAAATC